AGAGCGGTGACAAGCCAAAATTTGTGTGAGGGGTGTGTCGTTTTGATTTGGTCTAGGTTTTTGTATTTGCAAAACTCTTTGACTTGCTCTTATTCACTGAACTGTTTTTGAAAATGTTTTGAACAGAAAAATAAAAAGGTTTTTACAGAACCCATTTGTCCGATTCAAGTCTAGCCTCCATCCATCCACCCATCCAGTGTTCATACTCATGCCATTCAGGTTAGCAGGTGAGCTAGTCCCCCCGCTGTCTCTGGACTGAAATGAGATGCTAAAGAGGGAACCATGCATGTACAGAGAGAACCTGCAAAGGCCCCCTTCACCAGGATTCTAACCATAAACTCTATATACTATGGACAACTTGGTTCCGCCTTCTGCCAGTATACGGATTTGAAGCCAAAAAGCTCTCAGTATTTCCGTGATTTTCTCCACTTCCTGAAACCAACATTGCACAGCAGCATTGTACGCATTCGGCGGGAAAGTCGCAGAGACTTGATGACGCTCGGCTCAAACAGCGTATCCCCTGGGTGAGCAACGCAATCTTCGAACGCCCATAGGCTGTATCAAGTGTCAATCATAGAAAACATGAACCCACTAATAACTTTTAAAAACGGGGCTTCACAGAAAAAAGAGGACTTGAGCACCAACCAGTCTTACAATAACTACATGTCAACATCACAATCAGGGGGGAGAAAAATCTATATTCTGTGTAATAAATTTCTAAAGTTTGTCCACAGCTCAGTAGGGATTGCTGGAGGAGGCGGGATTTATGACCTATATTGCAACCCGTCACTAGAGTGTGCTGTTCTCTGAGTGGTTTCACCCAGCGAGGAGGCAGACGATGTCCATTTTATATATAGTCTATGATTCAAACCAGGAACCTTTGCTATGCTTTGCTATAATGACTTAATTAAACACTGCTGTAAACCCAAGACATGTAAATCATTTTACTATTTTGTTTGTTTGTTTGATTGTTTTGAATAATTTTTGCTATTTTTGTGATAAGATAAAGCATAGCAGGAGACCCTGGACCCACCTTAGAAAACATATGCTGATAACAACAACAACATTTGAAAAATCATCATAAAAGACATGTAGTGTGAAATACCTTTGTTTTAAAAAAAAGGTTAATTTCTGCTAGAGCTCTCAAACAATCACTCCCTCTAATGGCAATAAAACTGCAGAATTTCAACAGATAAATTAAATTAATTACATTTTTAACAGCATGCTAAAGTTTCCTCATTTTGCATTCCAATACATTTTTAGGTTCATGTTAACTATGTAAAGAAGTGAATGTCAACATTAATTACACATGGGTTGGATGTTGTAAGTCTACAGAATAACTTGAAAATTCAGGCATTGGTAAAAAAGGGGCATGTCACAGCTGTTTTTACTGAATAAGCAGATCACAATCACGTGCAACAGAAGATGCACAATTTGTCGTCTTGTTGTGAGCGAGACAGTTTAGAGTTTGGAGGATGGCCCACTTCTTTCAGCCACAGACACATGGGAGAAAAGGGGTGAGAGACGATGAGAGAGAGCGAGAGAGAAAGATGTTAGCACAGGTTTCAGTAAATTTATTTTGTGACTCACAGGGTCTGCCTGGACCTCAGTGCTCTCTGTGCTGCTGGGACAAACAGGCCGGCGCATTCACACACACACACACACACACACACACACACACACACACACACACACACACACACACACACACACACACACACACACACACACACACACACATATTGATTTAACTCTGCAGGTCCATGCACATGCACAGGTAAGCCGATGCATCATCCCGCGCACAAATCTCTCTTCAAACAAGTAAATGGGTTTTGTGACAGCAGAATACACACTCTGAGGAACAAACAAACTGCTTACTTTGTCAGGATGAGCTTTAAGAAATATATTCAAGGCTTCAGACTCAGATTTATGCCTAACACAGCTCTGCCATGCCAAGAATAACCTCTTTGTGTGTTGCTCTGCACCCTGGCTCACCTTGTGCAAGTATATTACCAAGTTTCTGCTTAGTATTCATGATGTGTGCATACCGCTGAGTGTGTTTGTGCATGTGTGTCTGTACTAGGCTTAGGAAGGGGTCTCTCCCATAACTAAATGTCACAGGGATTTAGGCGTCAAGAGTGAGTTTCCTCCCAGCTGACTAACTGCGAAGTTCACTAAAAGCACAAGATTAAACAAAGTCTCAACTTTCCAAAAAGCATCCAGCCAGTTTCCATTTTTTCTCCCTGTGGCAACACATCCATGATGCAGCGCAGGAGTTTAAAGAGAAGCTGTAGGGCATGCGCCAAACCTGCCAAGGAGAGATGCAGGTAAAAATAAAGAAGGAAGAAACGAAGAAGAGGAGAGAATAGAAAGTAATGATAGGTCAAAAAGAAAACTCATTTCTCTTATTAAAAAGGATTTTTCAATAATTTTAACAAAACCCAGTCATTTGCATTCATGTTGTTCAGTCTTTCACTCACTCTACAGGTACAGAGGTTCACTCATGTCTGTTTTGCACTCTCTGGCCCACCCTGTTGGTCGCTCCATGTCAGTGGACCTGAGGGATGTTTGTTGCTGGGTCGGTGTTTGTGAGATGCTGCTTGTTTTGTCCTGTTTGTTTACTCCTCCTGGTGGCCACTCTCTGTATCACAACACACTCTGACCTCTCTCAAAGCCTACGGAAACCGAATCGGGCCTAAACACAAAAAACCACTCACAGTTTGTCTTGACAATTGCGCTGAGCTCTCTGATGATGGTGCATATTTGAGAGGAAATGCATGTGTGTGACGGAGAGGTATAGCAAGTCATCCCTTCCTGCAGCTGTTAGACTCCACAACAAAAACCTCAGTCTGCAATTAACTATTTTATTATATGCACATTCTAGCTATATAGTCATACAATAAATATCTAAAAATTTCCCACTGTAATATATCAAACATGTACATAACATCTGTAAATAATACGTTTATATATATATCTTATTTTTAACTACTAAGTCTTTCATCCTTTAATTTCTCTTTTGTGTTCATCACTGCGGTAAATCAATAATTTCCCCCTGTGGGGCTAATAAAAGAATGTCTTCTGTGTAACTAAAAATGACCAATTTTAATCACTCAAGCTCAACATGCCAGGAAGAGTCGACCATCTACTGTATTGTGACAGTGTTTCAGGATTATTTTGGGCCTTTTTGGGTTGAAAGTGAAATTGAGTACATAATTCATGGTTAAATCAATTTGAAGAAGCAAAACTTTTGTCAATGAAATTCTGTGTTTTCCAGTTAAAATGATTTTATGAGTGACATTTAGTGTAGAATCCTAATATTTTAGGTAAATTTAGTATATTTTAGCTGTTGTATTCGTGCAATATGAAGTAACAGAATGCTAATTTGAAATTTTCTTAATTTTTACAAACACTGTTAGTCCTCTATTGTTAACAGTTGCTGCCTCGATCTCTGTTCATCTTAATTTTAGTATTTAAAGACTGCAGGAGCAGAGCTATAGTAATAGGTAACCTTGTCGAGGTCACAGTGAGAAATAAAGCAGTGTGCTATAATACTATATATATCCCTGGAGGTAAAACACTGCCTATCCAGCAAGCTGTGCTAATAATAGAGAGTAAAATGGAATTTATAGAAATAACTCTGACTCTGTGCTCACAAATGTCAGGTGTGTTGAGTCAACACCACTTACACACACTCAACACTACTCAAGTATTAATCTAGTACATGCTGCAGGACTCAGGTGATGTTGTTGTTCAGACTATGCATGTAGGTTACTATCATTCGTACTGATTTGGACTTATTTAAACATCACATTTGAATTTCACTGTGGGAGGGGCTGATTTCTTTGGCAATACTAAATAAATATGTTGCTCTTCTCTTTCAAAATCCAGACGTCTAGGAAAGATAACAGTCCTTTAAAAAGGTGAGTGATATCCTGCAAGTTTTTGTGTCTGTATGTTTTGACGTTGTTTGGGATAATAACCTATCTATTTAACATTCAGAATATATTTGAAATGTATTGATTCATCCACATGACGACCCGTGGATAAGGCCGTGTGAGGGCTTTTGGTTGGCCAGGGTGTCCCAACTGGGGCTCTGACTCGTACAGGTGTGTGTAAGTCAGAGCACTAACAGCTGTACACAGAAAAATCCAATCAAAGAAAAGCATCTAATTTCCCTTACAGTTTTTACAATTTAAATCTAGTCTTAGAGGAAAATCCAGTCATTTATCTGTGTATAATCTTTTTCTTTGAATACAACATAAAATTTTCTCAGCCTTATTTTGAGGACTGAGTACCAACTCAAGAACCTGTGCAACAACAAAAAAAAAATTAAAAAAGCTAATAAAGCTTGTTGCAGTCCGTGGTAACATAGTCTATTAAATAGTTGATTTTAACCAGATAACAGCCTGTCACGGTCTGGAAACTCTGGTTGGCACAGGGGATGACCAATGAGATTTGTAATGGGCCAGTGCCACCCTGGACATGATGGAGGACACTTAACTCTTGACCAGAATGATGGACATAGTGTGAACTTGATTTACTACTCTAGATATGTGATTTAAATTATGCAGTATCTAGGCTTGGTTGTAATTTCGCCTTTAAGACCTCAAGTGTCACTTTGATTTGATTCTATTATGTTGTAGTGTCAGTTACTAATATCTATGTATTTTTTAAGTTGATTCGTTTGGACCTGATGTGATAAGGATGCAGCTTTCTTTGAAAAGTGCTGCTTCAGAAAGCTGTTGACCTGATGAAGGTCTTGCTCAGGTAAAGCAGAGTGTGGGAGTTTAACTTCTCATGTAATGTAACTTAGAGGAAGGTTTCTTTTTCCACACACCGGTTGCTCATAATAATTATGACTCCTCTAGGCTTAAGCTTTGCATGATTCATACTGAGAATATGTATTTTTCTGCCTTCATATGTCACAGATTAGCTGTTTAAGTCCCACATGTAAGGATGTCCTGTTATTCTGGACATGAAACAAGAAGAACTCAGCGTAGGACAGTGTAATAAGTATTTTTATTGCATTTTATAATGCCATTGTCAATAATTAGTACAGATTACATGCAACTAGACCTACTGTACAGTTTTTTTATTGTCTGCATGGACAGACACAAGAAGATTCAGGTTACAAATACACAGATATATGTGTGTGTTTTTATACAGCATGAAGGAAAGGGCAGTGACTGGCATTACATGGCTACCCGGGTGGAGGGTCAGAGAGCTGGGCTCCGCTGTCCATCTAAAAGCCACCGCCCAGTCCCCGTCCCTGCCTCTTCCTCGGGTCACACTTTCAAATAACAAGAAAACAGAACAAAAACCAAAAGATAAAGAGAGGTAAACAGGTAAACTGAAACTAAGAAACAATTCAGAGAGTCACTGCTGAAAATGTACACACATTCCTAAGGTTTAACCAGAGGAGAGCTGAAGTGGTAGTTCCATCTTATTCTGGCTGTCTACGCAATAATACCGTCAGGCAATGCTCCACTTTGAGAGTCCCTTCCCCCTCACGTGACGCCCCAGAACTGTTCAATCACACATCAGAGTTTCGGATCCCTGTGCCCTTGAGTAGCTGGTCCTTTAACACCATAACGTGGTTAACGTTGAGAGATAACAGCTATCGGTAAAGGTGATCAGTGACGTCAATGGAGAGTTTTGGAAGTAGCTTGGTTTTTGTTTGGTTCAGGTTGTGGCATTGGTTTGGTTACAGTTTGGTTACAGTTCAGGAGTTTGGACTAAGCAAACAGTTGCTTGCAATGCCTTTGGTAGTCAGAGGATGAGCTGCATCTCTGAGAGCCATTCCACATTTTGGTATTGGAACTACAGAAGAAGGCGGGTATCAAAAATGCATCACTGTCAGTCTTTGATCTGCCTCTGTGGGACTGGGAGATGAGGTGTGTGACTAGTCACCACCAGCCAAAGCCCCATGATGCCTGTGGATGATTGACGGCTCTGGGGGTCAGAGTTCAGCACAGGAATGACAGGGATCAGGGGTCAGAGGGAGGGGTCACAGGGAGCTGGGACACATATTGGCACCTGAGAGGACCAACAGCAACACCTTTCAAGAGCTCCATGTTTTTAAAGCAAGAGAGGGGCTACATATTCTGACATTTTTTTTCCTCTTTCTCTTTTTCTTTTGTCGGAGGTTTTGGTCCTGTCTTTGAGAAAAAGTCCTTCTGAGGTATCAATACATAATGAAGTAACTTTTTAGTTTGTTTTCCATTTGTTTTTTTTTCTTTCCTTAAAAATGCATAAATGCAGTACAGAGACAAAAAAGTATCAAAATAGACCTAGCTAAGATAAATATACAAACAGGTGTTACCTAAACCACTGATCTAACTTTTATTCTTTTCATTTTTTTGAGAGATAATACACTTAAAAAATCAGCGTCCCAGACGTTTTATGAAGAACTGAAAAAAAGTGGAAACAAACAAAACAAAAACAGAACTAATAAACCAAGATACCTGCAGCACTTAATATGATAAATACATATACTTCAGCATTAGCAGTACAGTATAGGAATCAGAGCTGAAAGCTTTACAATAGCTAAACAGGTGCAGAAAAATTAAAAACCCCAAAAGTGAAGAGAACTTAAAGGACAAAATGGGAAAGAATGCCCTGGAGAGAGAAGTCAAGCATTAATATACAAGAATACATCATGTTATGCCAAGCTGTGAAAGAACAGAAGTGTTAAATGGTGACCTGTGAACAATCTACATCTTTATAAAACAGCTTTGTTTACAGGTGTACCTTAAAGCACGAGTCAGAGATCTTCTATGTTCTGTATGCAGCAGTTCCTCTTGGTTTGGATACAACTCGTAGTAGTGATGAGTTTTATTATGCCTGTTAGTCCTCTCAGCATCTCTGCGAGTGTTGTGGTGATGCGGGTGCTGCTGTGCTGTGGGTCTTTGGATATCTGGATGGTCAGAGCCTCTAGTTGCACTAACCCATAGCCCTGCTTCTATGCTTCTGTTACACTGCTTTATGAAAGTGTTATTTCACCGCTCCTCATAAACCTGACCAACAGCCATGAACCACCAGTTTCTTGTGGGCTGTTACTGCGTGCATATTCATGCGATCATGAATATAGACACAAAAAGTGGAGACACTTTTCACTCAGCTCAGCGCTAACTGGGTGAGTTTTTTTACACAGCTGATAGAAAACGTTTCATATACAGCCAGCACTTCACCACACACTCTGAGACCTAGAGAGTGCTTAAAATGTGGTTAAAGGAGAGGTAGTCATTTTTAAATCCATGAAAAGTGAAACGTCTCTGTGTTTTTTGGGCTCGAGCAGATGTATCAGGGAGTCCAGATTTTTTTTTTTATATATATAACGTCAGTCATACAGTAAGTGAAACAACAATTTTGGCATTCATTATTATCATCCAGGAAAAATGGAGAACAAAGCGAAACAAAAAAAAATTAAAGAGCGTTCAGTCTCCCATTGGCTATATGTTGAACCGTTTTTGAAAAGGAGGTAGTGTTTTTTTCTTTCTTTTTTTTTTTTTTTGGTTTTTATCTTGTTTCAAGATGCCTGTCTGCCACTTTGTACTTGGTTAGAAATCAGTCTCTAATGTGACAGGAAACAGTCCTGTGTGAACACAAAGTCTTGAGAAAAGGTTCTTTTTTTAAGGAAGAAAAATCATTTGAAGTGCAAGAGATAGTTTGAGAGAAAGTATGAAAATATGAACCAAACTTTTTGACTACATGACGTCCCTTGGTTGTTATTCTCTTACATTGTTTAATGTTTTATTTTTTGTAGTTCCCTCTTTGTTGTAATACATGTTTTTGGAATAAGTCCCTGTCGAAAGATGTGACTTTAAACTACTCTTCCTCTTCCTCCATGTAAATGGAGAGGAGTATGTTAACAGATTTAAAAGCAAACCGATCTGACTGAGCCAAATATTGTCACACTTTATTAAACTTGTTGTGAATTTTATACCTCAGGTTGTAAAGGTACCTACATGTTGTGTTTTAATGCCTCAGGAGTGCTTCATTTTTGAGCATACTCCCACAGTGTTAGGGCCAGTCCTTGGTTTGTGTTTGGAACACAGTTTAGCCTGAGTAAGAGAGACAGGGCTTCACCTCTAAGTGCTTTTTGTCTTTTTCTTTATTGTTATGTCTAAGAGGAACTGTGCGAGGTTTGTTAATACTAGTTTTTGGCCTCTTATCTAACGTGAGTCTCATGTAACGGCTTATCTTGTAAAAGCTTTGATGTCTCCAAATTCTAGTTTGCTTTACACACTTTGGTTTTTGGAATGGTCAGCACTGTAAGTCATGTATAAGTTCAACACAATAGTTATATGAATACAACAATAAGAATTCAAACTCCTGGTTTGTTGTCTTTTGGCCAATTCTCAAAGAAAACATAAACATAAAGGAACCTCATAAAGGGCAAAATAAAATACAGGGTTTTTGGTTTTCTACATATTTCTTTGGTTACCTGTAACAAAAATAAAATGGGAATAAGCAGATAATAGATTAAAATAAATGTTAAATTTGGTATGGCACTGTAGAGAAAAAGTAATGCTTCACAGAAAACAGAACAAACAAAAAAATAAAATCTCACGTGCTATTTTTTAACACAAACTCACACAGTGAATTGCAGAAAGCTTCTACACAGTAACTATTACAACCATAGAGCTTTGAATCGAAGCTGAGCAGAGTCGCCACATTTGGTGTCCCACAGAAAGACTTCCCCCTTTATTTTGTTTTTCAATTTGGACACAGTTCCAGGTGAAACCTTTGTGGGCTGAGGTATTCTCTGACTGCAGTAATAATATATATTTTTAAAGCATTACTTAATATTTCTCAACTTAATACACAACCAAAAAAAAAAGGTGAATGAGCGAGAATTAAAGAAAGATTCAGCTGTTAAATAATTTGTCTGGATAATGGCAGCTTTAAGTGCTATTCTCCAAATTTTCTTGCCTGCTACAATTGGGAGAGAAAGGGAAAAGGGTAGAATTAGGGGTCGGGTATAACAAGTCGGGACAATACTGCACTTTCTTCCTTTTTTTGCCAATACTCATTTGGAATGGTGTGAACAGCCAGAGTTAATCAAACAAATCACAATGCAAAAAAAAACAAAACCGAAACAACAGCATCTTTAGAAAAAGGTACGTCAAAACAGAACGCCACCGTGGAAATATTGATCCTCAAAATAAAACAATGATAATAACAAATAAAAAAAAAAGGAAATGACAAAAGCTACCACACTTTTTTTCTTGTTATATTCCATACTCATGAACAGTTTTCTTTTTTTTTAAAGTCACAATATTTCTGTAGACACATCCTCCCTCTATTCTCTTTGCTTCCTCTCGATTTCAAAGTGTTCCAAGTTGACGCTCCATCCAAAGGACAAAGGAGAGGAGAAGGACAGCACCAAATGGTCCTATTCCTGCAGTTTTTGGGGGATGGGTGGGAAGGGATGGAGGAGGGGTAGGTAGATGTCCTCTTTTTTTTTAATCTCGTCTAGAAGCAAAGAGTTTAAAAGATGTCCGTCACTAAGTGTCTCTCCGGGAAGTTTGGGCAGGAAACAGGGCCACCTCTGTCCCGTCGGCCTCATCTATGACTTAGAGACAGAAGCCTGCTCTGCAGAAGTGTTGGAGCACTGTTGGAGGTAATCTTTGATAGCACTCTTCTTCCCACCTTCAAGCCCAAAAAGTTTAAATTCAACCAAATCAAAGAAAAATGAAAAAGTAAGTGATTGACTCAGAGAGGGGCGGGAGAAGGAGAGGTATACTGCACAGTCCCTGTTGACTGCTCCATATCTATATACACATGATCCTGTGTGTGTGTCTTTCTCGCTCTCACACACTCCTGTCTGACAAAGAGATAAAACGGCTAGCCAGGCAGCCCGAGACGACAGTGAGGAGGAGGGTGTATGCAGAGTGGTGGGCCGAAGAGGAGAGTGTATGTTCAAATATCCAGGCCGAATTGACTGAGGGAAGATGGAACATAGTTTGACAAGGGATGACAGTGTAAGTGTGTGTGTGTGTGTGTATGTGTGTGTGTATGCATCGAGTGGTGTTACACCTCTAAACCATGTATTGTAAAAGAAACACATGGAGGTAAAGCAGTACTCCACAGTTTTGTTTTTGCGTCTGTAAGTAACAAAGGTTTTTCTAACCCTGTTTGGAGTTTCTTTATGTTGTCCTTGGTTTCTTGCATTTTCTCAAAAAGCAAAACAAAACAAAAAAAAACATTCTCTTTTTTTTCTCTCTTTTCTCATAAGTGTACTGTAGCTTTCTCTTCCTCTTCACACTGATGAGAGGGCTCAGGTGATCGATCGCGGTCTTTTTCCCCTCCCTCTGGTACGTCACGGATGGGTCTTACTCCAGCTCCTCAGTGGGGAGATCCTCCTCCAGGTCACGCTCGTCAGGCAGGCTGTGTGTGACACCAGCCAGGAGGGACACGGGCCGACTGTCCTCCTCTATCTCAGTGGGCTCCTCCTTCACATGCACCGGGTGGCTGTAAAAGAGAGAGAGTAAACAGCTGTGAGCAGGCTGACTAAGGCTGACATGCTCACAAAAAAAGCAGTTTTTATTTGTTGAATCTATCTCTGTTGTCAACTTAGAACAGGAAAGTTTCAACAGAGTTTGAAAAAAAAAACACAAGGTACACTGAAAAGTATCTGGCTGCCCAACGTTGGTGTGTGTACTCATGTCAGCAACTGCTTAAGCAACCTAGTATTTTGTTGGTGAATGTAAGAGCCAAAATATATTTGTTGAAAGTATGATTTTTATAGGTAGGTCACTTCTGGGGATCGTCACTGAGGGGTGTGGTTTTAGGGACGTTTATTTAAATCTCACAGGTGTAGTCTGACAATGGGTTTGGCGAGCTCTGATAATTTTCCGTTATTGTTTCTCATCGTTTTTCATCTTTTTCAGCGTTTCACTCATCCTGCTTTTACCTCATTTCAGCATATCACCTTTTTCATTTGAAGGCAAAGGTTTTAGAGCTGGATCAGTGTGTTTTATTTCCCTCTTTGAACAATAAATTACTTTTTTTACACTAAAACTGGACTGATCATTAAAACGTGTCACAGATGCAAGTGAACCTAAACCCCAGCGGCCCTTTTTTGTTGTAGGAAAGCAGTCGCTACAGTGAAAGTCATTTTGTTTATCAAATGTATGTTTTTCAAAATTAAAGACATAGTTAAAAATTGTTTTGTTTTTTTTCATTTTATTTTTGGATTTAAAAAAACATTATATCACTCCTTCAAGTGAAAGTGCCTCAACAAAAGGCACTTTCCACTGACCATGCAGGACATCAACAATATGACCCGCAACATGCTGTGCTGTCACCTGTTTACTGTTTTTTTTTTTTGTAATGATTAATCTACAATTGATATCAACCTGATATAACTTTAATGGAGCCTTTTAGTTGCAGAGAGCAAAGCATTGTGTGTCTTCATCATATGAACTGGACTATGTAAACATGGATGCTTGGATGTTGCTGCGATTACAGATACTCCTGGCAAACATGGAATAAAGCAAAGTGATCCACAGACTGTGTTTTCTAGAAAACAGAAAACAAATATAATTTCTGGTAGCATTATAATATCCATATTGACATATTAGGTCTGATAAACCAAAAGTGGGCCACATTTATAAATCCACGGAAGATGTGAAACACTGAAAAATATTAGATGAAGGTGATGAATTTGAAAGTTGTTTTGCAGCTTCATACCTGTGCATGTGTGTGTGTGTTTGTGACCGAGCGTACCTGTACTGTTGAGGGCTGAGTGTCGGGCTGCAGCTCCCGTTGCTGTTGACCTGCTCCACAGTGGAGCTGACATCATCGTGGCCCACGTGCAGCATGTTTAGGCTGGCAGCAGACGGAGGGGTCATCAGTGAAGGGCTGTTAAGCAGGGACAGACTGCTCTCTGCCAGAGCCGCCTAGATTCACACACAAACGCACACAGAGTCGTTCAGTCACTTAGAGAAAGGCGCTCGTGCATTTTTGGTGAGTTTTTTTCTGCAGTGGGGTTTTGATTTTAAAAAGGTGTCCACAAAAATCTCATCAATCATTTGATATATTTACAATTTACCGCTCAGAATGACTTTATAATGTGAATTCACACACAGCTCTGTTTCACATAAGGACTTGTAACAAATACATGGTGTTCCTTATGTCCTCATCAAAGTTCTTCTATTATAAGGAGTACATTTATACCCACTAACTTGCAAGTGAACTTGAGAAACCACTAGGGGGCACTTATACACAATGCTTTTCCTTATTGTGGCTTACACTTGAACATTTAAGACCTCATTTCAAGTGTGTGTGTGTGTGTGTGTGTGTGTGTGCTCAAGTGAAAGTCTCATCAACAAGGCTGAGCCACAACCTCAAGTTAAACACACAAAAACACTATGATGACACGTCACTGTCTGCAGAGGAGAAAACAAGTGAACCCACTGAGAGCAGCTTTTGTGACTCCTCTGAATGCTCACATCCAGACATCCAGCGGTTAATACATGAGACAGGCCGGGCAGCAGAGAGTGACACACTCATCTGACCTCCCCTCGCACACAGGAGGGAAAAAAAAAACACACAAAAGGAGAAGTCTCTCCGGCTCAGAGATGGATTTTCTGGGTTAGGCGATAATTTCATGCAGTAACCTTAATTGACAACTACTTGACGCTATAAATCATCTCGGTGGCAAAATTGCATTCATGCGCAAGTGTGTATATGTGTGGGAGATGAGGGAAAGGTCTAATGTGTGTTTATGTGTACAGAGTAAGGGGGTGGTGCATGTGTGAGAAAGTGAGGTGGGAGGTGAGGGTGTGTGAGTGTGGGAGGAGGAGGAGGAGGAGGGTGTGAACGTCGTTAGGGAATCTGCTAATTATAAGAGGGAATTGATATTAGTGCCCTTGATTGTGATTGGCTGCTAGATGTGTGTATGTACGTGAGTTAGCCTCTGTGTGTGTGTGTGTGTGTGTGTGTGTGTGTAAAAGGGAGGAAAGATAGAGATACAGGGGAAAAAAAAGAAGTACTGCTCACCTGGTAGCTGGCATTTAGGGATCCAAAGCCCAGGCCTGAAATCATGTTTTTCACCAGAGTGGGACTTCTGCAAACACACACACACACACAGATAAGAGTGAGAGAGAGAGAGAGAGAGAGATAGAGAGAGAGAGGGAGGTGAGAATCACAGCTTGAGTGCATATGTGAAACGATGTCACCTCAGCCAGAGTACAAATCTCACTAATATGTTTGTTACAAGTAGGAACATACACAGACTGTAAACAGATGCTAAAACACACAAGCATACACACACACGCACACACGAGAATGAAAGCAGCGTCTAATATCTGGGGTGCAGGTGTGTGTGTTTGTGTGTGTATGTGTGTAATTATCCTTGGTTTCTCTGGCGGTTGGAGAGAACATCTGTTTACACACGCTAACAAGGTTTTTTCCTCTCCTGCATTTCACACAGCTGCTTACTAATGGTGTCGACAAACAGGGAAAAAACACACACAAACACACACACACACGCACACATATAAACTGTACATATGTACACAATAAGCCAGCAGCTGTTTTTTTTTTTTTTCATCTTATGATTGCTGAGTTGGCCTCTTGGTAATAAAGGAGGGTCCATTTAGGCAATCATAGTGCCAGCACCCATAAACTCACACTCACATCAACCTCAACTGTACACCAGGAAAACAAAACCTGTGTGATGTGTGTGTGTGCGTTTGTGCGTTCGCCTACCCGGTCATCTTTGGTGGTCTCCTCTTTTGGTATTCAACTTCATCCACAGTCCACACAGCCCCCTTCACGTTCTCGACGCGGACAAAACATTTGTGCAGACTCAGGTTGTGACGCACAGCATTCTGGGAAAAGACAAAGAGGAGAGGAAGAACTTGAACACAATGTTGACGTAAGTTTTTAACACCCGATGTATATTTGGATCGTAGATTTCATTTAGTAATGTGAATATTTTATTGTTTGGTCAATCCCACATAGTTTTTTTTTTTAATGCAAAGACAGAGCTGAAGGTTAACAACACTCACTCAGCATGTGTTCAATACAAACAATCCTTTCCAGCAAGGCGTTAAGTTACCTTTAAAGTCATGTGACCTGAGGATTAAAGTCCTTCTTTTAAAGCCATCATCTATGAGCGCACACAAACTGTAGCTGGATGTACTGTTGTTATAGAAGGAACAGTTTTTCTAGTAGCTGTATTTTACCTCTTAGTTTTTCTTATCTGTCATCATCAGCACACACACACACGGAAACACACACAACCACTGGCACTCAGACAGGCAGGCACACCGCTATCTCCGTCTCACCCCCCCAGGGACCGGCCTCCCTTTTCATCTGCTATTTGTAGTTTGTTCATGCCCAATTTCATTACCAATTTTAATTCGTCTATAATTAAATCCTGCATATTCTCTCTGACACGCTGTTCTAAGCCGAGAGGGAGGGACAGGCCAGGCATGCATCACTCCTCACCGTAATTACACACAGAGCTACACACACGCTCACACACACATACAAAGACGCATGCAAACACACACACGTAATTACACAAGCCATAATCAGCGGAGGAACCCTTTCTCCCCCGCATCCCCTCAACCCCCCGAGCCGTGATGCTAAGTTTTGTAAATGAGTCTGACCCCAATCTGCGCCCGCCACCCTGACAGTGCAAACACACACACACACACACACACACACACATACACACACACACAAACACACACAGACACATACTCCAGACACCAGTGCTATTGCAGTGCTATTTGCATTCGTCTCCGTGATGAAAGCCTAATTTTCCCAGTTAAAACATTAGCAGTCATTTACAGTGGGTCACAGCACATGTGCCACTCATCTCCCTTCCTCTTGTGGCTGGGGGGGTGGGGTGGGGTGGGGTGACTGGAGGCAAAATTTGGGGGAGAAGAGCCGAATTGTGTATCAGAAAAATAGACAAAAATAATCACAAGACTTAATTCACCCAAGTTCATAGTTGGCCCTCGGAGCATGAAATATTAAATACTTGAATACTGTGATCAGACTGTTCGTGTGTCTTATGTGCTGCCTGATTCATGCCAGGGCCACTGATTGTATGATCCTAAATATCAACATGAGAGCAGGCAGGATGACAATAAGAGAATGAATCAAGCATTTGAATATTGATTTGAATGAGAAAAAACTCAGGTAACACTTTCCTTGACGCTTATCTCTATAACACATTATAAATATATTTATAATGTGTTATAACCATGTTATAGTACTGTATAACTATAGTTATTAACACTCATATATGATCATAATGCTTTATAGAAATAATAATAACATATTATAAAGCTTTTTATCATGACTAACAAGGTCAGGTATCATAATGCATTATGCTTATTGTTATAAAGCCTTATGATAATTAATGAGTGTTTATAATGATAGTTATATAAGATTATAAGCAAATTATAGCACATCATAGATATATGTATAATGCATTATCTATGTAAGCATTGTCAGTGAGTTGTTAACAGTTATAACACATTATAATACCTGACCTTGTATGTAATGATAAATGCTTTATAATGTGTTCTGATTATTGCTATAAAGCATTATGATCATTTGAGTGTTAATAACTATAGTTATACAGTACTATAATGTGATTATAACACGTTATACATATATTTATAATGCATTATAAAGAGAGAGATAGGCATCAAGTAAAGTGTTACCAAAAGGTTCATTATCAAATAAAAGTACAAGTCTAGCTATTAGCAAAAATACACTCAAGTATTTAAGCTTGAACTACAACAGTGAAATACTAAAAAAGAAGCTCCTTAGTAAGTAAAATGTGTTTACCATTTTAGTTTTATTACTAACGCAGCAATGTTTTATCTTACTCACTCAGTGGTCTTTATAAATGTAGAAACCATTGACCGTTGACTTTTACTCCACAAAGAGTCTTTTTTTCTTCACTCATTAAATCCTTTGGATGTAAAATTTTACCTTGTAAAAAGCTTTTAAGTGAAGTGAGTAAATAGCTGCTGTGGAATAACAAGAGTTACTCTCAGGGGAGAAGAATGCAGTAAAACTGAAACCTTAGGAACTTATTTACTCACAATATGAAGTGACTTTTAACTGCAATATTTATTTTAATTTCATTTCTACTTACTTTAGGCTAAAACCCTTATAATCTGCATTTAAATAAATAGTATACACCTTTTCTGGCAACGAAAACTGTAAGTAAGGTCTTCTGTAAGGCCCCTAACCCATCACCCGACACCTTGAAATAATACTCGACTCTCATTCCTCCTCCTCCTCGTCCTCCTCCTCTCTCAATCATCCCTTTCTTTTTCTGTCTCGTCTCTTCCTCACTCTCTGTCTCTTCCTTTCTATGATCAATGACTTCCCCTCCCTGCCACCGCTGCTGTCCTCATGAAATATAACAGCTTATTAAAGGACGTACATCTCTACGGCCCTATTTGACTCTGGGAGCTGCTATATAAATACATAAGGCCAGGCTGGGCTATATTTAAAGGTCTGTGAGGCCAACAGGCACAGGAAGCAGACAGCAGACATTAATAGTTAAAATTCATAAAAGTCAGATGAGGGGGTAAAGATATTCCTGGTTGCCACCTCTTTTAACCTTCTCCACACCCCTCCCTCTGTTCCTCCACCACCATCATCATCATCATCATCATCATCACCTCCTTCCTTCCCTGCTTGGTTTGGGGTTATTAGAGGAAGGCCAGGTTCTCTGCTCGCCCCCCTCTGTCACTCCTCTCTCTTTTTCACTCCTTCTCTCACTTTCCTCTCTCTGGAGGAACTGACACTCAAATTAGTGCGAGGTTTTCTGCAGAAGTGGGTCATCACCTACAATGGTGGGATCAGGCCAGGTGTGTGTGTGTGTCTGTGAGTGCGAGAATTGAGTGTGTGATCATGGGTTGTGTGTATAAGCGTCTCTGTAATGAGGCTCTGTAACAGTTAGATGTGGCTCTTCCAGGCTAAGTGGGGCCGACTCTTCACGTGCCAGAATTGTTTGGGCTTAAGGGGAAGAAGGACAGAAAGAGAGCAGCAGGAAAGTGTCTCATAAAGAGACAATACCGGCAAATCACTTACATCTGATGGAGCAGAGGAAGTCAGCTTTTAAAACTGTGTGTTGTTGTTGTTATTGAGTATGTGTCACTCTTAGCTTAGATGTTAAGTTTCTGCATTAAAAGTGAATCATTTTTTTGCATCATGAAGTCATTTTGCCCGATGCAACTGCTTGAAATACGCTAACAAAACCTACTTTCATATTCCGCCTCTCTCCTTCAGCTGGCATCTGCTGGAGTAAGGGGCTTCGTAGTACAGCATAAACCATAATTACTTTACAGTCACTGGGATCAGCTGCTATCCAGCCACAGCCACAGTTTAGTTTTTGGTCTTAATTTTGTGCTCTGATTGAATTAAAGCCGCAGCCAAACCTTTCATTTTCTGCTGCTCATTTTGCCATCATGTAAACAACTCTGAAGTAGTCTGCAAATAAATCTGCTCACCATCTTCCATCAGTTGATTTTCATTTTATGTAAATAAATTGTTGTGGCATATACTGAGCATGGAAAGTTGACATTAATCTGGCTCTTAAGGCGCAGTCATGGTTAAAATATTGCTATATTACAGCGTATAACAGTGTTATAAAAGAGTTCATATTTAGTCTTTACAGCTGGAATTTCCATGACTACATCTGATCAATCGAATGTTTGATGTAGGGTGAACATAGGCTTCATGTATAAGCCGTTGTGACCCCAGTTATTTTCAGTAGTCAAGATAATTCCGATGCTCCTGAACGCACCATCCATATTTGTCTGAGAGTTGCTGAGAGGCACAACGGACTTTCGTGAGGATAACAAAAACAAGCAGCTGTCGTAAATTTGCATCTGAGCCAAGTTGCAGCTGCGACCCAGAGTGTGCTTTTTCTTCTGATAATACCTGAGAAAACTTGTTTAACCCTATGATTATCCCATGAAATAAATATATAAAAGGGGGCGTTAGTTGGTTACATGAAATAAGTCTATGCGTTTTATCGTAGCCATACCAAAAGTAAAACCAATTATAGTCATCATCCAAAAGTCACTTTTGCTAGTTGCCGCCTCCCCCACTTTTCAAAACACACTGACGCCCTTGAGGGTGAAGTATAAGTATTAGTGAGCTCCTTACCTTCCATGTGGCTGTGTTTCTCCTGAAATACGCAAACTTTCGTGTAAACCAGTTGTAGATCTCATTTAGGGTCAGCTGTCTGTCCGGGGACTCCAGAATGGCCTGAGGACAAAGAGACACAACCGGATTTAGGCGAGAAAAGGGATGGAAAAAGGAGAAGATGAAACGTCTTTTTAGAGACTTACATGACGTATAAGAGAGGCGTAGGTAAAGGGTGGCCTGACATCAGCGTTCTTGTAGAACTCACAGTTCTGAGCCAGCTCTGAAAAAAAGGAAAAACAAAGGAATTAAAGATCATCAAAACTGCATGTAAATTTGAGAATTAACTTTTACACAAGCTGAGTATTCTCCAAAACTCTTATCCTATTACACAGAAATATTGACGTTTAAAGGAAATAGAAAAATGTCTTAGTGGTATCTTTTGGATCTGTAGAAGAAAAGGTTAAAAAAAAAAGGTTACAAATGGCTGTTTGGTTTAATATACTGTGAGTATTTTCACAGTTGATAATATTAGTGTATCATATATTTGAAAGGAAAGTTTATAAAGACTACAGCTTCTCAGTTCTAATCCTAACAACTATTCAAAGCATTTTACGGCTTTTACTAAATAAATGTGTGAAACGGTCAATAAACATTGCATGATAATGACAAAGGCACATTTTCCAGAGGCCAAAGTAATTTTCTTTCACAAGAAAGGCAAGAGGTGGCGGCAACTTCATCATCTTTAAAAAATGTGTGTGTATGCGGAAGCCATTTCTAATGTGAAATACTTTGTTTTCCTCAAGGAGGTATTTTTATGTGGAGAAGAAGAATGTAAAAACAGAAATTAAGTTTACTAAAAAAAACTGAAGCAGTCTTAGAAAATGTTGAACATGATTGAAAATGATGTTTAGACCATTCAAAATAAATCTATCTAGTCATACGCCATCTATCCTACAACCGTTTACAGGCAGAGTGAATGTGTGTTACCTGAGGCGATAGGGGTGCAGTACTTGTCGGAGTTGCGCCTACGTATGGGACCAACGCCATGCGTGTGGGTGTGGGAGTGTGTGTGCAGACTGGAGGAGCTGATGACTGAGGGTCCCTGACGCAGAGGGGTGATGGGGGCCGCAGCCGAGGTGGGGGGATGAGGAAGACCCTCTGGGTAGGGCTCAGTTTCCCGCTTTAACAGAGAGCCACTGGAAGCCAGGTTGAGCTAAAGAGAGACACAGAGGAATTAGAGTGATTAATGATGCTTTTATGAGAGCAGTTTCATAGTTTTGCTACTTGGTAAATCAGCTGAAAAACTGTGCCCTTTACTTAATTAACGGGGGACTGACGCCAGCCTACAAGGGTGAGAAACTTTCAAACTGAAAGGGCTGGAGATAGTTTTTAGTGCAGAGGAATAAAGAGGAGCTCTTATATAACTAATGTTCCTCTCATGTTTACTTTGAAGCTCCACCATCTGCCGAGTGCTGCTGCTGTTTACAGAGAAGCATCATCTACACACAACAGGATCAGGGTCAGGTGAAATCAACGCATGAGACTATGCTGTTGTGTTTTGTTGAATACAGATCTCAGCCTGGAGAGTGTGTCTTTGCAGCTTTGTCATCTAGTTGCATAAAAATATGAGCAAAGTTAAGTTTGGAAGTCAGAAGTGAACTCCTGTTTTGCTCTACACTGAGCACAGAAAGGAAACACACAAACTACTTTTCTGATTGTTGCAAGAGTTAGCGCTGTTAGCTTACTGTGGTCACGGGTACAAATTTCTCTAATCATTATTTAAAAAGTTAACATTGATATATTCTTTTTATTATTGTTTGAATTTGTTCCTTCACTCTATTACTGAGCTGATGTTAGAAAAAACGCTTCCTCCAACTCTTATTGATCGTCTAATGATACTGGATCAGATCTCATGCCCAACAGAGGCCCCTGAACAACCTGTGAATTTGTCTTCTTCCTCTTTGCAGAATAGAGGCTGCCTCCTTGTGTAGAACCACAAAAAGTTGCACATATTTAACATATATTTGAACACACAGAGCTGGCTGCAATTAACCCTGCGCGTACAAATACAAAACCACACGACAACATGTTTGTCAGGAGGGAGCACACACATGCGCTCTGCGGTGGCAAACTCTTCACAGACCAATACAGCCCAATTAGGCAGAGCCTCGGAAACACAGACACACTCACACCAAAAACACAAACACACACACGCAAACACACAGAACTGGTCCTCGCAGTCTCTTTGGGACAGCCGTTTTAGGGCTGCTAGTTTAGGACTAATTAAAACCTCCGAGTGTGTTTGTGTGTGTGTCTGTGTGTGTTGTCCATATGTATATAAAATGTGGGAATCGCCTTCTCTCCACTTAGCCCTCTCTGTACCATTTAAAGCTGACTGGAGGGGGCGGAGCTGTTTAACAGGTACTTCATTAACGCTGCAACCCTGCCACATCACCACGGCAACAGTCGAACCCTGTTAATTGAGGCCAAGCTTTGTTTCCATTCCTGATGCCCCTCCCCTGCCCCTCCTCCTCCAATCCCTGACCCCGAGGCTCGTCTCCAGTGGTGACAGAACACGCCTCTTCCTGATTTCCCATTAGATGTTAATAGCAGCTGATCCCCCTGCGATCAACACATCATCCAGACACACAAACATGGACAAAGACACACACACGAGCACACATATTGCCACTCCGCTGCACCCATTTATATCCCCTCAAATTAAGACACTCTGCGTCTAATTGACAATTAATTTCAACATCTTCATATTTTAATAAGACTCCTCGTCAATCTGAATAATGAAATATTCATTAGATACCTAATAACAGCCGCACCAGTCAATGTGGACACACACACACACACACACACACACAACACATCAAATTTCTCTCCCCTTTGTCAGCACACACTATAAGAATTCAGCGAGCAACTTTTTTTTGGCTGTTTCCTCTCTCTGGAAAGTAAAGACCTCTGAATATTAAGCACTGAACTTAACTCAGATTTAAATACATGTCAGAGGTATAGATCTATTGATTATGAAATGGGGTAGATCATGAGAAATCTGATAAAAGATTATGATAAGAAGAAGAAAACAGAAAAAAGTCCTCTCGATGTAAGTGTAGCACATTAATCCTAAATGGTCAATAGGGGGCGTAAATACCATGCTACACAGGAGGAAAAGAGTGAGAAATCCCAAGATGCTTTGGGAAAAGAGACAGTGATACATTATGAGGAGTTTGTAGATGTAGATGAATAAGAGGTATTAAGCAAAGGTTAAAGGTCAGAGGACAAAAGTGGGTCACATGACACTGGGCTCCTGTGCAGGTGTGTACTCACAGGTTGGTTAAAAGGCTTTGGCTCTGAGGGGCGCATGTGCAGGTGGGCCATCATGGCTTGAAGTCGCTCACTCTCTTTTGCCAGCTGTGAAACACACACAAGAATGGAAATCAGCATGAAAAATAAAAACACTTTGCCTTGTTTCAACCCTCGGATTGATATAATGTGGTATTGACACTGAATTACAATCACAATTACACTTTGGGTAGAGAGACGAATATGAGAGCCGGCCGCCTCAGCACCAGGAGCACTCTCACATACACACACTTACACAAACACACACACACACACACACACAAACAAACTCACACTAGCCTGCAGACACACTCGTCCCCGTTTGACATTGTTAATTGATGTTTAATGTGTGCTGTTACAGCCCGTTGAAACACTGCATCCTTCCTGTGTGTTTGTGCTGAAGTGTAAGCGCGCAAACGTGTAGCCTCCAGAAAGACCTGATCTACACTGAGACTGATAACACCATTAACATACTCAAACACAGCAGCCATGTGCAAATATGATACATTTAAGCACGGTGACTGTGCTACTTTTGGTGTGTATCTGTGTGTGTGTGTGTGTGTGTGTGTGTGCGCGCACAGGAGGCTGAAGTGGTGGGCTGCCGAGGGATGAAGTGACATGTCAGGGTGAGAAAGACGGCCATCCTGATGTGATGTGACACCAGCTGCCTCTCTGTCACTTTGTGTTCTCTGGTAGTGGCTTCAGGGGCTCAGCTAAACGCTGTTTACTACAACCAAACACAATGCTAACCCTGATGCTGGACACACACACACATTCACACACACACAAATACATTGACAAGCAGTGATGCAAACAGGGCATTCAGATTTGGAAACAATGTCGAGATGTGTGTGTGTATGAAGAGGCAGCCTTCGTGTTTTCACTTTGTTAGTAACTTTCCTTATGCGCTGTTTGAGTGCAGTGTTTCTCTTCTTCTCTAGTGTTGGCATCCTGCTTTCGCTGGAGCATTGAGATGTTTCAAGAGCATTGCGTGCATGAACCACTTTTGAGAACAAGAGAGGCAGCCTGCTCCTCTGTTTTCTAGCTCTTGTCTCTTTCTCTCTTTTCTCTTCTCTCTTTCTCCTCCCCTCTCAGCACTCGCTCTCCCTTTGCTGGTGACCAAAGCAGCTTTATAATTGGAGCAGAGATGGCAGCTTCCCTGCCGACTGCTCCTTTTAAATTACAAGCTCCACTGCTCTCCATAAACTCTGCCCCGTTTCAGACAAGTTACTGCCATTGACTGGCTAAAACAGTCGTCGCTACTTTGTTTGCAAGCAGACAAAAACTCAGTGTGTGTACGGGCATGTGTGATAGTGACTCACCTGTATCTCCAGCTGCTGAACCACCTGCATCTGTACTCGGCACTGCGCAGTGCTGCGGTCATCTAGGGCGTGCTCATTGTTCAAGTGCCTGGAGGTGATGAGAAGTGCATGAGCATCAACATTCAGTCGGTTTTGGGAAATCAGTTAAAGGAAAAAAAAGACATTTTCAGAGATGGTTTCCAGGTAACACAGAGTCAACACAATCATCGCTTAATCAATTCACAGAAAGTGCACAATGAAGCAACAAAAACTCTGCTCTTTCACTCTTATTTAAGCTGAGTTATGAGCTCCTCCAGCACTGTAAAAATAAATCCTAATCCTGGGAGTTTATTTTGTCTGGTGAAGGACGCAGCAGCTGTGTTTTGTGTGTGTATACTTCACTGGTGCTTGCTGAGCCGTGATCCAAGACAACCACCTGGATATGAGCTCATGTGTTATCGCACAAAGCCTTATCTTATGAAGACTTTCTGTAAGCTAAACTCCACTCATCTTATTAGCACTTGTGCGCGTGTGTGAGAGTGTGTGTGTGAGAGTGTGTGTGTTTGTTTCCTCCAATGTGGGAGGACCCAAGACCTTCTGATCTTTCCCAGCCCACCCCTCCCAGTCTCCCTTCCTCCATCCCTTTCTCTCTCGGCTCTGTCATCGCCAAGGTTATTCACAGGTTGCTGCTGCCCGCCTGCCTGGTGTGTTTATGAGTCTGTGTGTGAGTGTGTGCTGATGCATGTCCCGGTGTGAGTGTGTGCCTGCAGATCAGAGAGAGTTTTCCGTTATCCTGTGGCGTTAACTTATAATCTGAGTAATCTCCAGAAAGCCACTTGTATGTATTTTACACAAGACGATCTGTCTTTGACTGCAGTGTGTGTGTGTGTGTGACTATTTATGTGTGTGTATGTGTGTCTTTTCAGAAAAGCAGAAAGTTGGGAAACATCAGGCCAAGACTAGAAATGAAAAGAAAACAATGATGTCATGGCGTGGCTAATCCAGGCAGATAGACGGCTCAACACAAGTGCACGATAATAATAACAAAAACATGATCTCACCCTCTCCCTCTCTCTCTCTCTCTCTCTCCTCTCTCTCTCCCCTCAACTCTCTGTTAACCTTGCTCTCCCTCTCCCTCACTCGCACTTCTGTCCACTCTCATCTTCCCCCGCAACAACTCCCAAAATGCCAATGATTCACACTCATTCCAACCAAATCGGCCCCCCCTTCGCTCTCTATAGCTGGGCCATAAACAGTAGCGGGGTTTTTTTCTGGATGTGTCCCGACAATGAGGCTCTGTTTACTCCTCAGAGTGCTGGCAGACAAGGCTTTAACCCACATTACACCCAGCTCCTCCGACCACAGCCAGAGTATTATACCAGAGGACGAGAAAGAGAGGAAGGGGAGGGGAGGTGGGCAGAGAGGAGAAGAAGAAAGGCCTGAAATAGTGGAGTGTCTCCCTCTTATGTTCTTTTGCGCTACCCTTTTCCCCTCCTGGGGCGATGACTAAGGCTAGCTGGAAGCTAATGCAATGTCGGACTGACGGCATTATCTGTCACTGCTTTTATTTTTTCTTCACCTCCCTCCCTCTCTAACACACAAACACTCCTTCACTCTCTCTCTCTCTCTCTCTCTCTCTCTCTCTCTCCTTCCATCTGCCCCGGGGCTACGTGAAATGAGACACCAAACAACAGCTTTCCTCTCCAAACTTTCCCAGCCTGCCTGCACACTTTGATCTGACTGTCCGATGCCATCACGATCACTACACACTTTTGTTATTATGAGTGAGTGTGTGCGTGCGTGTGTGTGAGGACTTATTTCATCACCCTGGCTTATTAATATCCCCACTGTTCAAACAGCTAAGAGTTCCACATAGATAATGAGAGTGTGAGTTTGTTTAGGGCTTCATTAGAGGCTTGTGAAGCCTTCGTTAGCAGCCATAGTGCCAAAGGGGAAGTCCACTGTATTCTGTGTGTGTGTGTGTGTGTGTGTGCATATATATATATATATATATATATACGTGCGCGCAAATGTGTGCGTGAGACAGAGGAGGAGGAGGTGGCTGAATGTCAAGGCCAAGAAACTGCATCAGCATGTCCAAGTGAAATGACAAACTGTCAAACATTGTTGAGGACGCAGAGTGAGGAATGTTATTTGATTGTTTTTTATGTCGTTGTTTTGTCTAGTTATGTACAGCACTTTGTCCAGCTGTGGTTGTTTTAAGGTGCTTAACAAATAAAGTTGAGTTGAGTTGAGTTGAGAGAGCTACGTTTTTTTGCACATCTTTTGCCTCTGGACATTAAAAAAGTGCATGAGAATGGACCGATCAGGAATAATTTGCTTTTTAAACAGCAATTCTGTCTGGTTTGAGTCTTAAGAGAAAAAATAAACACTAACAAAACAAAACAAAAAAACCCACAAACTAAATGAAGGAGGAACTCGGGAACAACCTCTTATGCTAGTCAGCATTCAGGGGACAAATAAATGAATACATTTTGCTGACATGTGCAGATGAAAAAATGTTTGTTAAAAAAAGAGGAAACTGGGAGTTCACACGATTCCTCAAACACACACAATGTGTGTTTGTGCGTTTGTGCACGCGCAAGTGTCCCAGACCAAATGTGACAGCAACAAATAAATTAGTGAGGTAATGTGAAGCAGCGGTGACAATACGTGACTGATGCTCCACATTCAGCACAGACCAGACTGTTGCTTCACTCTGCTGGGCTTCATCAAATCAGTAACAACAAAAACAACATCCCGAATCAGAGTTTAAATGAAAAACGGGTTGAGGTTAGTGACTGAAAATAAGCAAATTACCTGATGACATTCAAGTTTACGCTAATTACATTTCCAAAAGCAGAAGAAGATTTTACCAATCCTCTGTGTGTGTGAGTAAAAGTCTCCTTCTCCAAGGTCACTAATGGACCTATTGAACCATCATTCACAGCTGAGTTGATGAAAACACACACTGGTCTCAGTCCAAACATAACCAGTCTGAGGTAAAAAAAATTAACAGTATGTAGGCACTTGCCGTCGTAAGCATTCATTACAAGTGTATGTTTTTTCTGTGTCTTGTTTTCAATCTGAAGACCCAACTTTCACTCACACACACACACATCATAAGTTATACATTTGGCTGGTTATTAACTTACTTGATGAACTGTCCCATGTCCTCACACAGGGCTTCACAGCCAGGCCATTTACACTCTCCATGGCCGTAGAGAGGATGGGAGCCAGCGTGCTCTTCATGACTGTGGGAGGGAGACATGCAAAAATAAAGACAATGAGAGAGATGATCAATTTTCCATACACTATGACATAATGAAAGAAAAAAAAAGCAAATCAATGCTTTTCTTTTCTCAGACTAAGACGTAAAGCTTCAATAAGCCATGCTGTCACACTCAAACACACACATGCAGAGCTAACTGTAGCAGCGGAGGCATCACTGCAGCCATCTGAGTCTGGTTAGCAGTCATTAGTTTGTACAGTTCAGGAAGCCAAGTGCAAAGAGAGGAGGATAGAGCAGAGTGGGGTCAGTTACAGAAGCCAGGCAAATGAGGGAGTCGTTCCAGCAACCTCAGAGGCTCAGTCTTCGAGTCCATGACCTGTCTCTCTGTCCTTGGCGTACATGTTGGGCATGCATGTGTGTGAGTGTGTGTCTGAGTTGGTGTGTGTTCTTATGTTACAGGAGTTGACACAGAGTCGGCACAAGACCAACCAGCCATGACTGATTGGCGGCGGCTGCCGTCATGTGCTGGTTGTTCTTTTGTGGTGAGCTTGTGTGTTTGTGCACGTGTGTTTGTCTGTGTGGGTAGTGGTGCATATTTATGAGTGTGTATTTGTATGTGTGTGCGGTGATGAAAAACTGGGCCAGGTTTGGTTTGGGCCCAGGGTAAAATAACTGTATTCGTGCATGTGTGCATATGTGTGTGTGGCAGGTCCAGTAGCAGATGTGGTTCAGACCTGGACCATCGCCTGCGACTGCTGTCTCCACATATATTTACATGACTGCATGTGTGTGTGTGTATTTGTATGTGTGCATGTGTGTGTGTATCTATGGGTGTGTGTGCACAGACTGGGATGGGGATTCTCCCAAATCAACATCAGAAGGTTGTCTAACAAAAACCATTTGTCTCACAGATGGAAACATCTCTCTCCCTCTTTTTCTCTCTCTCGTTTTCGCTCCTTTGCTTTTTCGACTTTTCCTCATCATATGTGCTGCCTGAGGTTGGAACTTGTGTGTGTGTGTGTGTGTGATTGTGCGTCTGCATGTGTGTGTATATCATGTGTATATGTGTGTGCTGGCTGTGGTTAAGTCAACTCAGAAGCAGCTCAGACAGCAGACATGACAAACTGCTGGCAACCACATTCTCCTCCACATCAGCCATGCATTAGCTTAGCGAGCTAGCAGGCTAACGCTAGCTCCTTAATGCTCCTTTACACACAGTCCTTTAGGGATACAGCAGCACACCGTGGCTGCAACGTGACAGTGTGTGATATCCAGTTCTTTATAAGAATGCCTGAACCTTCTGCCGAAATGAGGTCAGAGGTCAACAATGCGGCTGGATCAAGCAGTGCATTAGCGAGTGAACTCTGCAGACCACCCGCAAATTGTGTGTGTCACTGTCTGCCTCCGGTCCTCTTATGTGTGTATTTTTGAGTGTGCATGTGCTACTCACTGGCTGGGGGGTTGGCTGCCTTTGGAGTAAAGGGGGACATGGTCATCTCCGCTGTCTGCCTTGGTGAAGGAGGAAATCCACTCAAACAGTCGGGCTCTTAGAGACGGAGACAAGCCCATGAGCGGCCATGACGCAACAGCCATAGGACAATAAAAAAGCCCTGGAGAAAGTTTCCCTCGCATATGCATCTCTGATATACCAACACGCAAACAAGGATGTGTATCTCTGCAGGAAATTTAGCCCACCCCCCCAAAAAACATCTCTACTTCTACCATGCAGCCTGCATCCTCCATACTTTCCTCTCCTCTCCTTTCCTCTCCTCTTTTCCATACTATGGTGGCATGTGGCTGACAGCGTACTGACAGAACATACTGACCAAACACACCTCCTATCAAATGAGCTGCAAGACATTTACACCCTGGTGATGTGTGATATACTGCAAGTGCATGTTTTGTACCCGTGTTTACGTGCGTAGTTATGGAAGAACAGCTAAAAGTTAAAAGCCTGAAAGTGACATAGCAAAAGTGTGTGAGTAAGAGAGGTACTACAGGTCACACAGAGGACACACACATACACACCACCACAATGTGTGCTATACTAAAGTTGACTGACATACTGCACTTCACTGTACCTGTCTCTCTTTGGGGTGTGGCTCTGTCCGTTGGCCAGGCTGTGCAGTGGCATGTGAGCGCTGGCAGCTTTGGGGAAGGCTGAGGTAGTGTTGGAGCTGTTGGTGCTCAAGTCCAGGCCCTCCTGTTTTAGGGCCTCCTCACTGCTCGGGACACCCGACACCTCCTTCCACAGCTGTTGGAGGTCTGACGGACACATCGCTAGAGAGAAAGAACAGAGTTACTCCCAGATAGATCAGGGAGGGAAGTCATCACTGTCACATGTTCAGAGTAGATCTGATAATAGGAGAATTAAGTCTCTAAGAGAATTCATACAAAGCTAAGAAATGTAAGAAATAAAACATGAGGTGAGAGAACTGAGAAAGCATGAATAACCTTGAATCACAGAGAGGTGCCATGGGAAGCACAAATGCAACCCTTACAGTTTCCTGGTAATGATTTGAAGTGTAAAATATGTCAAACTAAAACAGACAGGAGCTTAATTTCTTTTCACTTTTTTGCATATTTTTTTCCAAACTGCTAATCTCTGTTGGCAACTGCTACTGTCCAGCAGCACCACCGCTCCTGTCACAACCACTTTTTATCAGAACAGAGTGGGCGCACACTGGGTTGAGTTTTTTTTCTGCTTGCAACTTTGTTTTTCCTGCTCCAATTTCACAGTAAGAGTGACGCCTAAAATGCCACAGCCTTTTTACCAATGGCTCTTACCATGCATGTACACAGGCACGCACATATCTAGCCATACACACACACACACACACATCCATTTGCACATTAACACACACGCATACACAGACCTCGCAGCAATCCAAATATTATGTCTGCTTTGTCTGCATTCTTCTGCGGTCCCGCCAAAACAAAAGTTCTCACTCTGGAAGAATGAGGTGGTGTGAGCATAGATTTCTGTGCCTGTGTGTGTATTATCCTAGTATACCAGACCAATCTGTGGAAACGCCCGGGGAGTGAAAGTGTGAGCCACTTAAGGGATTGATAGATCTAATGTTTCCTCTTTTGACTTTTCACTTGGCTCATAACATATCTATCCATAAAAAACGAAAAAGACAAGAAAAACAATCTGCCTTAAAGAAGAAAAAAAAAAGATTCTAGATCCTGGTAAAAGCTGTGTTTTTACTTGCGATTACAAAAACAAGCACACCAAGGTTGTAAACAGCCAAAAGCAGAAGAGATTTGTCAACAGAAAATCCAGATTTTTGTGTTTTCAGCTGAATGTGTGCTCACACTACACTCCTTCCTCCTGCTAGTGTTGACTGATACAAATAGTTTGAGAGGATGAGAGTGTTTCAGCAAACAAACAGTGGTTCAAACATTCCTAAAGTACACATCTGGTTGCTGGGATCATGTTTATTTCTCTGTGTGTAGAAAAACACAGCATCTGAGGTTGAGGTCTAACAAGACAAAGTTAAATCTAATAGAATTCTTTGTAGGAGTGTGAAAAAACCCCTGATACTTAATAGATTTTAAACTTTTTATATTTGCTTCAAAAGACAAGAGAGTCTGATTCTAGTCAAGCACTTTAAAAAAAATCTTGATCAGTTTTAGTTTTGCAGGTTTAAGATACTTTTAAAATAACTTTCAATTTACTGCTGTCGAAAAAACCAAAAGCTAAAGCTTGACCCTTCATGACAGCCCCCACCGACCTACTACAAACCGGACACAACTGCCCTTTGAGGCGGGGCATTAGCGTGTGCAGTTGTGTGTGTAGGTGCGGGTGTTTATGCCTGTGTATTTGTGTGTTTGTGTGGCATGGCTGGTCAGAGGAATGCTCTTGCTCACGCCTGGCTGAGCCATCACAATGGACCGGCTCTTTCACACTGCAGGGAAATTCCACTCCGATACAGACGGAGGGAGAGACAAAGACAAAAAAAAGTGGATGCTAAAAAGTTTGCAACTGTCTGAAATATTGATCTGTTGTCTTTTCAAACCTGTAGCATCTGTCTTTTTATTTGTGTACAGTTTGTATCTTTTTATTCACAGTCTGGAAACTGGTATTTCCACTTGCCCTCCTTAGGACAAACACACACACACACACCCTTCCCTGAAGCACTTGAGCAAACACAAGCGCAAGTCTCTCTGAAATTTCTGTGCAATTCTTCAGTGATGTATAAAGCTTACGGTATATAATTCTTTTTTTTAGAAATTAAATGGATTTGATTGAGTTAATCTTTGTTTTTGTGTCAGATTACTGTGTGTGGTAGTCGTGTGTGTGATGGCATGTGACTGCAGATAGGAGAAAGGGAGAGATCAGACAGACGGAGGGAAGGAAACTGCTCTGTTTGGTCAACGCAGTCAGCGCTTTAGCAATGTTACGGCCACTTTAGACCCCCTAAAGCATTCTGTGTATGTGTGTGTGTGTGTGTGAGGTGGCATGTATGTGTGTGTTGGAGTGTACAGAGGAAAAACACACCCATGCACACACATGCTCCCCGAGGGCGGGCCAGTAAAGAGTCAACTTTTATCGTGTTAAAACCATGCTGACAAAATGAAGGGGCTGTGGGAGGGGTTACATATAGGAACAAAAGAAATCCAGTGGGCACAGCAATAGCACAACGATGATGTTGTTGTATCTGGCTAATCTCAAGCACACACATACACTACACACACACACACACCAGCATACAAAACCTCCAAGCAAGGGGCTTAGTGGCATATTTTACCCATTATCCAAATGAGTACCTTTCACAAACCCACCAATCAGGTTTCCTTTTATCTTTTATAGGCTGATTAACTTAACAGGCTTCACATGCAGCACCGGGTCCAGGCCCACATGTGTGTGTGTGTGTGTATGTGCGCTTATTTGTGCATGCGTGCTAGGTAGAATGTGTCTGTGAATGGTGTACAGTGAGAGTGGTATATATGAGTGTGTGTACCTTGCTGCAAGGACTGCATGGTGGCAGTGGGCTGCAGGGGCACCAGGCCTTGTCTCTGGAGGTTGAGGATGTGCTGCTGCTGGAGCTGCTGCATCTGGATTAGCTGCTGCTGGAAAGCCAACTGCTTACTGCCCAACTGCTGTGAAACAAGTGACAGAAAGAGAGAGAAGAAAGGTTTTTTGGAAAGTTTATGAATTCTGTGTTATCCACAATCATCCTTTATCCACTTTTCTCACATAGTCATCCTGTCTGTGTTTGTGTTGACATTTCCAAATGACTAAGAAAATAAAGTCTGAAACTGTGAGACAAGGGGAAGGGAAATCACCTAACGACACGGCCTGGGGAAAAACCAACATGTAGTTTTATAACAGTAATCCTATGATCACATTTACTTGAATCTTACACAGTCGCACTGATTTATAAACAACTCAAAATGAAAGCAAGTTCACAATGCTTAAAAAACTAAGAATGATATTAAACCCTAATCATCAAATCGAAAACTATGAGGGCTGATTGGAGAAGATTGATCCTTCAAAGTTAAGAGGGGAGCTCGAAGCTGAGCTGAGAAGACCCCAAGGGTGCAAGAAGGAAAGGGATTGAAGGAGGCTGAAGAGAGAGAGAGGGAAAGACTACATGGTGATAATGTCGGCATGTGTTACAGTGATAAATGTCCTCTTTCCTGCTCCCCCAGTCTGGGGCAGACCTGTCCTGTGCTGCTCTGTTTGAAGTCCCCCCTGACCTACCCCTGAGGGAGAGAGACGGACTTTATCTATCACAGATAACTAAGGGGAGAAGAAAAATAAATAAATACAACTTGAGGAACTGCTCATTGTGTGTGAGAGAGGTGTGTGTGAGAGAGTGGCAGCCTGGAACTCTTTGAACAGAGGGGATCTCACAGGAAGGGCAGAGAGGTCGCTTCCTTTCAGACTTGGTGCCTGGAGAGGAGAAGTGGGTTGGCGGCGTGCTCGAGTGTGGGAGGGGGGCGGTTAGGGAGGTGTTTAAGGAGTGTAGAGAAGTAAAAGAAAACTATTTTTTAACAGCTAACATAAAAAAAGTTAAATCAAAACTGGATAACAAGCAGTAAACACCTTTTTTCATGCAGTGGTGTCACTTTTCCCATGTATTTCCATGCTCCTAAGTGAGTCACAATGACGGTGTTGGTTTTTACTGTAAAATTTACAGCCAATAAGATCACCTGACATGGCAAACACTGGTCAACATGTTGTGACCCTCATTTCCAATCGTTCACAACAAATTTTAAAATATAAGGGGCATAAAAGGTAAAAACCACCAACAGTTCAAGGACCATAAATTTCCCAGAATTTTTATCTTCGCCTTTGAAAACTGCAAACACAAACAAAGCGTCTCGGTAGTTCAAGTTTAGGTCAGGCCGTCGAGTCACCGATCATGTGCAAACACCGCCACAGTCCAAGAACCAGCCCAGACACCGCCTAATCCTGCTTACCCCGTCCACCGCCGTTGTCTACTCCTCCACTGTTCTTAGAATCTAACTCTACATTTTGTTGGTTAAGAACAACTAATATTGAAACAAAGTTTAATCTCTTAGGCTTTGTCAAAGGAAAGGGGGCTGATTTGGGCAAAATCTGTGTCATGCTTACATACTTGAGTTCTTTGAAGTGTAGAGCCAAATTCTCATTTGTTGCAATAAATGGTTTATCATGATCACAAAGTCCTGACTGAAACCTTCCCTCCCCTCCTGCTCTTTTCTTTCCGTCTCAAGCCGCCCCTGCCCCTCCTTTTCTACTTGTCTGTCCATTTTATTTCTTTCACTCCCCCTGCTGTCTCTCATTCCCTCCTGAGATATGGCCACGGTTCTTTAAAACACACATTTCTAGTGTGTGTCTGTGTATGTGTGTGAGTGTGTGTCTGTGTTCTGTTTACATTAGCTGTGGCTGAGTGGCCAAAGCTAGCGCAGTAACAGGCTGTCAATGTGATTTATGAGCACATCACACACTGTCTGAGCCTGCCAGTCACACAGACACACACACACGCACATACACGCACACATACACAAGAGAAAGGACACTCAGAGACCGACACACGCGCATACACATCGAGTATATGGATGCTCACACACAGATACACATGCACAAAATGCACACACCCCTCCTCTTGATGGTCAGAGTCACTTCATTAAGCTGACTCCTGACCGGTCCCAAATGCAACACATACACACATATACACACACAAACAGTGGCTTGACATACACATACATACACTCTCTTTCAATGCATCACTTCCACGCAGACGAGAAAGTGAGGAGGAATTGTAGAGAAGAGGGAAGAAGTCAAAAAGTCACCGGCACTCAGGCAAGAGCAGAGATTTTTTTTTCTTTCTGGTTTATTCTCCCGCCTTCCTCCACTGTTTTCTATTTCTCTTCCTGTTTCCTTGTTTTCTGGGTGTGCTCAAGGCCTGCTGGAAACTAAACTTTGTCCAAACACACCCTCAAAGCGCCTGCTTGACCAACAGAGATATGAGCTGGAGTTAAAGGTGTTTTTTCTCTGACTGATGGCCTGTGGATAAGGAATAAAAAAGAAAAACACCCTGACTGTTGGAAATGGCCTTAGTCATATCAGCTGAATGAAGCTCTGTAATAGTGAGGCATATTCCCCAAAGTGTATGTGTTTGTGCGATGAACCATCACACATCAAGCCTCTCACTCTCTGCGTGTGTGTGTGTGTAGTCAAGTGACCAGTGTTTGCACTTGTCTCGTTGTTACAGGACAACAAACCTGAAAACTGGGACAGCAGCGAGGAAGGAGGGAGAGAGGGGAAAGCGTTTGAGACACCCTCTCAACATGCGAGTCAACCACAACTGGTTTGCTTTGGTCACGGTCGAGTTGGTTGACCGCTATTGGCGAGGAGTTTTGTGGGTTTGAGGCGGAGGGATTGGGGTGGGGTGGGGGTGGGGGTCTACCCGCTGGGAGTGGGGAGAAAATCTAGGATGTGCCTTCTCATGCGTTTATCAGAAAAGTCTCAGGAGGGTATCCTTCTAAAGTCCGTCTCCTGCTTGCTCCTCTGTGAGTTCAGTTATTTCTGTGAATGAGCATTCATGTACCAAGAATGTCTCTATTACAGACACACACTCACACAGCTCACACATGCACAAATGGACGTAAACATACACACACAATCTTTCCTATCCACACATTATGAAAGTAATCTCGTCTGATCGATTGAGATCCTCTTTGTTGTGCTATGATGTGATCCTAGTTGATCCTCTTTTATCCACTGTACCACAGCTGTTCTTAAACCTGGTACAGTCTGTGTGTGCGTGTATGTGTGTGTGTGTGTGCATATTTCTGTGTGTGTGAGATGGAAAAAGAGAGAGCAAGGGAGGATTCTTCTGCTGCAAGGTTAATTGACAATTAAAAGAGTGGCAGACCCCTCCTACAGAGAGATTTCACCTCAGGCTTAGAGCTGAAGGCATGCAAATGAATACTCTGGCGGGGTAGCGTATGGCTTAGCGCAGCAATCTTTCACCGCCTCCACAAGGCATGCTGCTAAAAAAAAAATAAATAAAAAATCTTTACTTTTCTCCGCTAAAGAAAAGCCTGTAAACAGAAATGCAAACTTGAGTGAAGTAGAATAAAAAAAGAGAGAAAATAGGAAGCCAGCGCATTTATCTTGCAGACTAAATTTGACTTCTTTTAGGTGATTTTTCTCCTTCAGCTGGTCCCCATGTCAACCACTATTACTGCTTTTAAGGGCACTTGTGCACTTCAGAGGGTACTTGAACTGAGTGAGTGTGTACTTGGTGAAGTTCACCTCTTTTGCCGCTTGCTTCCCAGCCTGCTGCTGCTGCTGCTGTTGTTGCTGCTGCTGCTGCTGCTGCTGCTGAGTCAGAAGTTGGAGATGCAACTGCTCCTGCTGCTTCTTGTAATACTCCTGTAACTAGAGACAGACACAGAACAGTGTTCATTCAGTTAATGTGGATTATGACAAATTTCATGAACAATCTTTTTTTCCATGACGAAGACAAGACAATGATGAGTTACAGTACATCAATGGTGATACGATCTCTCAGGAATGCATTGTTTGTTTTCATTAAGGAGACTGACAGACATTTAAAATCGGTCATATTTTCCTCACTACACATCTAATCTGTCACTGTGATGCAGTTGTGTGATGATGAGCTAGTTAAGGGGCTTAGTATTAACTTGGCAACTCATCTCTAACAAGTGTCTCCACTGTCTCTGTGCTTCTTATTCATTTCCATTCATAAACTTTTTCCTAATGTATGCTAGAGACAAAGACACAGCCAGACAGATTTGATGAGATTTGGGAGTGAAAAATTGCAAATGTGAACAGTAGCAGAACATTGATACCAATTTCTGAGTACTCTCAAATGGCAGTGTGCCAGAACTGATTTTTCAAATACATCTACCACTTTGCCACCTTTATTATTCTCTCTGCATATGAATAGACTTAGGTTTTAGCCTATTTAATTATGCATCAGATATGGCACCAGTTGGCCTCTTGCATTGAGGGGACATTAAAGAAAAGAAGGTATGTTTAGGATCATTTAACTCTCTGACTGGTGTCTATCAAATACTTTGGAAATAAACATCACTAAAACAAAGGAAAGTGTCATATCATGCTATCAAGATATTCTTGCCTTATGCCAACCCCTACAAAATCTATTTAAGGAACAAGTATGTTCCCTAATTATATTTTTACTTTCTTAAAGTATAATCAAAACTGTTGAATATTGTTCTCTTTGTTTATGGATTATGTGGACTGTGGCGATGCAAAGGACTCCAGGCGCTCTTCTCATGTCTTGTTTTTATTTGTCCTGTTTGTAGGTCAGGTCATTGTTTAAGATCACTCTGAAGCCAAAGACAAATTTCCACTTATATAATGAAATAAAAAGTGAATTCATTCATTCATTCATTCATTCACTGAATCACTTTGAAAACAGGGAATGCTTTGACTAATAGCAAAGACTGTAATGTAATGACTTTTTAGTGACTTTAACTAGATTAAATCTATAAAGGTCAAATAATGTTTAAAATCGGACTAAAACTAAAGGCTTTTTAGTTTATAGACTAAGACTTAGACCTAATCTAACAAAGCCACAAAAATGAACACTAACATGGAGGGAGAAGGAAGGGTGAGGAGGAGGGGATGAGAGAGGGTGAGGAAATATGAAGGGAGAGAGGAGGGAGTGACAACACAGCTTATAAGACCCTCGATAATGTCTTCTAACAACTGGACTCTCAAGGAAAGCATTTTTCTTCTTAAGGTGATGGTTGTGGTTTATGTGTATGATATATGGTCTACTGTAATTCTGTTGGATAACTGACAAAGAGTTAAAGCCCTGTGTGGAGGGCTGTACCTGTGGTGCAACACAGAAGGAAAATGCACCCATGCATGTGCACCAAATTAAACATTAAAAGAGGGAAGCTGAAATTGTTTGATCATATGGATCTGTACGGAAAAAAATTAAATTCCCATGTATTTATACTCTGCAACATACTTCAAGCCAACACCAACAGTCTTGCAGCAGTAAAGCACTAGTGGAACTGAGAGTGAGTGAGTGTATTAAAGTTAAAAGCCCTTAAACCTTAAAATAGACTGTTTTTACGGCATGCTCCGATAAGATCTCAGGCCCCAGGTTGTTTGTGGTTATTTATAGGCTCAGGCTGACCATCAATTGCCATAGAAACAGCCTGTTGGACTCGGAGGTAAGTGATTGAAGTTTTCAACAGCCACTCCTGCACACTTTTAACCTCTACTGGCCTTTTTTTTCCTGCTGTAATAATGCAGACAAGCTCAGGAGTGAACCAGAGAGCAATGTACCGTGTATTTATTTTCAACCACCAGGCTAAAATTAAAGACGACCAGACTGAATGCCAAATTTATGAAAACACACATGCACATATTAATTTATAATCATATGTACAAACACACACAGGGTAACGTAGTGTCCACTAACCAGCCACAGCTTGTCTGTTTGTTTGACTTACTAATCACTAATTTACTCAGGAAGCTCCATTAAGATCATAATCTTGCTGAGAGGAGAGCGAGGCTGCTAGGAAAACTCACACTGACCACAGTATGTGTGTGTGTGTGTGTGTGTGCGTGTGTGTGTGTGTAAGTTGAGGGGGGTTATCCTCTTAAGAAAAGCTTGTACATGTGTCTGTCTGCAGTTTGTCTTTGTTTCATGGTGCGTCAAATGTTCAAAGAGGCTTTTCAGCGGAGAATGACTTCACAGCGCAGCAGTTGTTTCAGTCTCTCATCTGTCTGACCCCGCAGTGAGCCGATTCCACACACACACACACACACACACATGCACACACATCGCTGCCCATCCTCAACACACACTCTGCATCCACTAAAAGGGTCTTACTAAGTTATTTTGCATTTCCACTCTCAATCTAATTCAGCCACAACTTCAGTTTTACATTATTCACTGTTCTTTTGAACGATGACGTTCCTCATGTCCTTAATTTATTTAAAATGCACGACTCACTCCTTCTTGCTGCTCTTTCTTTTCCATCTGTCTTTCCTCTCTTTTATCGCTCCTTAGGCGGAGTTAATCTCTCTTTTCCGCGTCACTAGCCCTGATCGCCTCCTCATCACACAGACAAATGCATATGCAAGCACACACACACACACACTCACTCACGCACACACACACTTGGCTGGAGAGTGGTGAGTTGAGGGAATAATTAAGTGATAATTAAGGTCTTTTTAATGATTTGATTCAGTGGCTCTGTGCATTAAGAGTATGTGTAAGTGAGGCACTCACCTCTCCAGCCTATTACCATGACCTTGACTTTAGTGAACAGACCAAGAAAAGAGAGGCAGAGCAGCTGTAGCATTAGGAAAGGTTAGAGGAACCTTAAAGGTTTAAACACTCACTCACACACACATATATGAACACAACTTTGTATGCAAATCCACAAATGTTTGCCCTTACAATTACACAACTGCTGTGTGGGCTGCAGTAGGCTGTAAACCTTACTTACACAATGCTGTATTGCCATGGGGATAAGAAATTTAATGCTTCAGTGAATGATATGTTGGTTGATTGTTCTGTATGTGTGTGTGTGAGAGAGAGTAAGAGTGTGTGTGAGTGTGTGTGTGTGTGAATGACTGCAAAAGTGCCTGATTTGCAGATATACACTAAGAGCAAGTCCATACTGTGGTTAATTAAGTGGGAGAGCAATGTTAAACTCAGTGGTTTTAATAGTGGGAGTGAAACGTGTGTGTGTCCGTGTGTGTGTGTGTGTGTGTGTGTGTGTGTGTGTGTGTGTGTGTGTGTGTGTGTGTGTGTGTGCATTATAAACCCCATTCTCTCTCCCCCATCTCCTTTTTCCTCATTAAAGAAAAAAGAGCTGGTGAAGAGGTTCTTAGCCATCTGCATGTCTGTTTCCAGAAAAGCCAGCACATTTCACATTTCCATTATGATACATGTTGTCAGATCTTCCCACTGCAATTTACACTCGCCTAAAGCTACCGCTCCTTATTAAATCTACGCTCTGCCCCGGCCTTGCCTGCCTCTGTGTCTGTGTGTGTCTGTGTGTGTTTGCTAGTGATCCCGTATGCCACAATTACTCTATCTCCACTCTGTTAATAGCACTCTTTACCACCTTTACAAGGTTGCACGTGTGTTTTTATTTTTTTCTGAATGTGTAGGTAGGAGGTCAGAGGTTGGTGCGGCTGAGTATTTGACAGATCTGTTGCAGATGAAGAGTGTTTATTGGTTTGTGTCGACATAGCAACTCCACCAGCACCTGCCAGGCTTTAACACACACTCCTGAATCACTATGATTCACTGCCTGATGCTAAATAGCTTACAAGTGTGTGTGTGTATGTGTGTGTGTATGTGTGTGTGTATGTGTTTATAGGTGTGCATGAGTGTGCCTGCAGGCAGGAGCATGCACATTCTCTTAGCAACAATGCCAAAGAGGAGGCACTCCACATGACAATGTGTGTATAAGTGGATATGTGGATGTGTGTTTATCTTCAAAGATCTCAGAACATTGAATAAGATACATCACGCCCAGTGTGTCAGCACCTATTAAAGCAGACGCATCGAAACACGCCAGCCTGGGACCAGTTCCAACAAGAGTGTGTGCGTAAATATGTGCGTGCGTGTATGTGTGTTTTACCTGCTGCAGCATTAGAGCCTGCTGTTGCTGTAGCAGGGCCTGGAGCTGAGGGGGGGACAGGATCTGTTGCATCTGCTGAGGAGTGATCATCTGTGGACTCATCATGGCCATAGACACAGGCACCTGAAATCAACACAGACACACAAACACACTTCAATATTATGATTTTTCAGATTGAGATTCAAAAAAAAAAAAAAATAGTAGGATGTCTTGGCGGGTGAGTTAAGATTTGAGTGAGAAAAAGGCACAGCCAGCACTGACAGCATGACCGTGCATGTAAGTGGATGCTCACTTCAAAACAAACAATGTAAATGGAGGGTGAGCAGCATGCTGGTATGGACAGGTAAAGTGAGAAAGGTGTGTTGTCTCTTGATTCTTTGTTGTCAGTCTCTGCGAAGAAAAGCTGGCACCGTCAGACAAAGATAAACACACTGACACACCACTGTTGACACTTCCCTTCACAAGGTAAAAAAAAGGCAATTTCTGTGATAAAAGGACAGATATGCAATCTCCCTATAAGATATAAAATCTTATCTGCTTCCATAAACACATGATTAGGACGACCGATGATTCTCTTTCCACGCAGTCAAGCCTGGGTAAGAAGAAAAGGAACAAAAAAGTGGCTATCTGATGAGATGTCTATCTCATCAGATAGAGCTGCAGGCAACCAAAGGCAGACAGAGAGCAAGGGAGAGGATGTGATTCACGCAGATGTGTTGTGCAAGCCGCTCTGAATGCACATGTATTGTACACAGAGCTGGGCACAGATGCTAATCTGATGACAAACACAGCAAAAACTGAAGACAAGCTAAATACATAAATCAGCAACAGCACGTGCGTGCACAAATAGAGAGGGAATATATTGAGAAATCAGACAGACAAGGCTGCAGACAAAGTGCTTTTGTATTTATTAACTGAATTAAGCTCTGAGACGACAATGAGTGGGATAAAAAAGACAGCAGATCAGGCACAGACAGATATTTAAGGAGTGAGATCTCACTTTTCCACCGCCTGCATATCAATAAACGACACTGTCTTCTCAGTACAAATAATCCTCTCTGTAAGGAAGTGATGGGTCTTGTGCACAGACATATAAGGCTGAGTTATCACCTCTAAAACTGGCCATTTATCTATATTCGCTCCATGGTAAAAATATCAATCTCTCTCATGGTCAAACAGTGTGTGGGTTTTTTGTGTGTGGGCATACACAAAAGCCAGCGTGTGTGAGTGTGTGTGTGTGTGTGTGCAGCTCACTCCAGAGTCTATCTCCACACCACCTGAGGGGACGGCGGAAAGGGAGAGCGATGAGAAAGCAAAGAGAGCGAGCGAGATGTCGAGCTGTCAGTGTTAAATTAAATCTGTAAAGAGCTGATTTGACTTTGTAAACAAGATCAGCCGTAAATACTAACACCCGCTTCCCCACCTGGCCCCTGTCCACCCCCTCCCACCCTCCCTCCCTCCCTCCCTCGCTTAGCGCTTCTCTCCTTCTCTCTGTTTCTCTCCGGCCTTTTTTTCTCTGCGCGTCTATCAGAGGCCCCACACTCTGCTTTTATCAAATCAGACATCCCTAACTAAACACACTCCCAGCCACACGTTTCACTGATGGAGGGGATGGAGAAAAGGTAAGACGGTGCTAAGAAGTTGTAGGTCTGGAATGGGAAAGTAAAAAAAAAAAAAAAAATGTTCGATGAATTAGCTGGTGCAAAATAGTGTGTGTTTGAGCTGAGGCGGAAAAAGAAGAAAAGACAGAGTCAAAGCAGGGTGAGGCGGGGGAAGGAGGGTGCTGTTGTGGCAGTTTGTAAAAGAACAGGCAGAAGGGATGGGGAGTGATGGGGTGTAAGGTAGGTGGGGGGCGTGTGGGTGATGGGTGCTGCTTGGCGTCATGCCAGCTTGCCCCCGCCGCCGCCGAGCCTTGTCAGTCTAAGCTGCCAAATGAAAAGCTGTAATTAATTGCTCTTGTGCATCCCATTCTTCCTCCCTGACAACTCATACATTCTATTTTATACACACCGCCATTGACATTTCCCAGTCACAGGCGTAATAATTACTGGAGTTATAGCACCTTTCTGTGTGTTGGCTGATGCTCTGATGCCAGAAACGAGTGCGCACCCGTGTGTGCAAGTGCAGATATACTGAGCTGTGTGTGTGTGTGTGTGTGTGTGTGTGTGTGTGTGGCAGGCTGAATGCTGAGTAGTTAAGGTTTGACGCCATTAATTGCCCCTATAATCTAATATCACAAAGCGTGGTGATTATGGGGCATGCGTTGCCACCGCCATACGACACCGCCAGCCTGAGAGCGCCGCCACAAAACAAAAGCCTCGCCATTAGAGATTTGACGGGCCAGGACAAAAGCGCCTCACAATGCAGAATTATATTTTCATTCGGCTTTGTCTCTCCCGGTGAATGATTTCTCCCCTTTCATTGGACTCTGAATAGGGAGAGTCTGAAAAGCTGGGCGATTTGAAGTCAGCCATTTATTAAATGCATTTAATTTTTTTTTCCGCTGTCGTCCTATTTTTTTTTCCAGTGTTGCATGTTAATTTAAAAGAGGGAGATGTGTGGTAGATTAGCGGGAGAGAGGTGAAGCTCCGTGTGGTGGGGGGACTGGAGGGGCTGGCAGGGGAGAGGGGAGTACCAAGGATAGCATCCAAGAAAAGAAAAAGAGAGAGAGAGAGAGGTAAAAGGAAATAATGAAAAATGATGAGATGTATGTGAGGGGAAAGGAAATCCAGCCAGCAGAAGAAATTATGGCCTAGAATGAAGATGCACACAAATCCCACAATCCTCTGCTTCCTGTGGGTGTTTAACAAATGTGAAAGTTGAACCCCTATAGTGATAGCAACATTTTTAGTCCTTAGATGTCGCTTCATTCATTAGCATGCAAGAACCAGTCATACGTGTACTCACAAAGCATGCACATGCACACGCACAGGCAGAGGCACACACTGTCAAGGGGTCGTTGCCTGACAGAGGTCAACCCCTGTCTTGGAAAAAGAGGGTGCGGAGGGGGGAGGAAGGGGAGGCAGGAGAGAGAGAGAGAGAGAAAAGCGAGAGACAGCCTTGTCGTTTACAGAGAGTGGAGGAGTAATTAGAGGGGTTGTTTGAAGAGGGAGTTTAACTGATTAACAAAGGAAGAGAGGGAGCGAGGGAGCGCCCTAAAGATGGGAAGGAGAAAGGAGGAGAAAGGCAGGGAGTCCCAGAGGAGGGGAGAGAGAGAAAGACAGGGGGGACGTAACTTGCATTTCAATGAGGCTCCATCCCTCTCTCTCTCTCCCTTGATGACTTTTCATTCTAACGAGAAGGAAAGCCCCACTTTCCATTTCAGATGAAAACTCAGGGATGCTCGGAAGGAAAGGATGGCTATCTGATATTAAACCAGCATGGAGCCGGGGGATTTGTCCCTGCACGCCTCTTTGCCATGTTTGTATAGAGACAAGCTGCATCTTCTTTAATTTAGGAATGAAATTTAGTTTTTTCACACCTTCACTCTGACTACAAAAGCACTTAATGCATGCTTTATGGACGCAAAAACCTGATGGTAAAAAAGAAGATCTCAGAAACGTTGGTCCAAACTCTTCATAGATAACATTTTAAATCATTTACACGAGATCCCCAGCTGAAAAACGTGACTTTATAACCAGCTAAATCCACTGCCACCATTATCTACTTCATGCTGGCTTAAATATATGCAGCCGATACCTGCTTGTGTGTGTGTGAGTGTGTTGTACGAGTGTGTGTGAGAGTGTTTGTGTGATGGCAGAGAGTGTCGAGAAGAAAGGAGCCTATAATCAGAATCTAAACAGGCTCTCAGTCTAAATGATGCGGGCCCTGCCTCCGGGTCTTTGGGGACATGCAGGAAAGAGGGATAATTGAAAAAATGACAGAGGAGAAAGTAGGAGGAAGGGAGGCTGACACAGACCACCTCCCCCCCACCCCCCCTCCTGGTAAGAGCAAACCCCAGCGCTGTTTATCCTTGTCACTGAGCATTACCACCTCAACCCCTTGAAGGGACGTCTACCACTCTGTGTCTCAGCCTGTCTCACACACACAGACACATCTGAACACACACAGATCTAGATCCTCAAAAAGATCAGCGTCTGTAAGTGTTAAATCTTTCTAATATTTGAAAGAGAATTTGATACTTAAAAAGAAAGTTTATCTCTGGTTAAAAAAAACCAAATTTAAGTAGCAATGCCTGAAAAAGGAGAAATCTGTGCTCATGCATGTACATCTTAACTTTATGACTTTCCTCTGTCACCATACAGCAGCCTCCAGCAGGCTGAGGGAGTAAACCAGGGCCTCAGTGCGCTGTTTCTCAGTGTGCAAATGTCTTAATGCTTTGCGGTGAACTCCCTGTGTTCCTTCAGTTGTTTATTCACCAGCTATCATCACTATCGCTCCTTTTCTCCTTCGGTCTCTCCAGGTAAACAGCCTGTCTGTGCTCATCATGCCGAGTAATGAGAGGACAGCATGGAGAGGAGGGAGGGAAGGAGGAGTGGGGGGGGGAGCAAAGGGGGAAAAAAGAGATAATCAGAGGAGTGAAGGAGAGAAGCACTGGAGTGAGAAAGAGAAATAGTAGAGGCACCCACTGTGCTGAGAGCGTTGTTTGGAGCTCAGGGCTAGACCTCCAGTGGAAGTAAAAAGGGGCCCATTGTATGCTGTGAGTACCCCTCCTCCAGCTAATCTGCAGCAGGGCCAGGGTCCACATTATTCAAGGGGGTGGGGGGTGATGAGCGAAGCCAGGTGGGGTGGGTGGAAGATAGAGGCACCTTACTGCCTCGAACTTTTTGCTGAGTAATGCCTCTGTCTGAGTCATCATCTTGACGAGTCACATCCAAGTCTTCACGAAAAAGGGACTTCAGATTGTCTAAACTGAGACACATTTATTCTCTGACTGCTTCTTACAAAACTGTTTTTGAAAGGGATTGAACAATTGTAAAGGCACCTTAAAAACACCATCCATATCTTAATAAAGTATTGATTTTTAAAGGGGTTTAGTCAATATCACCTGATTCCTTAAGATATAAAATGTTGTCACTGCAGTCAATGTCCTCTAAAATCTGATGCTTGTGTCACGATCCCCCAGTCCAACTTTTTCATTCATTTTATCTCAGATGGAGACATTTTTGAACAGCACTGACAGACATACCTGTGTTTATTTTACAAAAACATTTATGTTGTTTTATTAGTCAAAGCATAAAATATGTGACAAATATGATGTTAGACTTTTTGATTTCTCAGCAACAATGCAGAGTTCAACCAAAGGGACGTACAGATACTTCAAGTCAGGATATTTATACCCCAAAGTTGTTCCACCTTTGATTCCCCCTCAGAGGTAGTAACAGAGGTGTAATGGGGTTAATAAGGTGGCAACAAGGACAGTGTATGTGTTTGTGCATGTCTGACTTTTTCTGTGTCATATCAGTGATCTGTTTTGCAGCAACATTATATATTGTGCAATCAGACATCAGGACACAAATATTTTACGCCCTCTTGGGTGGTACAAAGGGGTTATGATGGCAAACTCCACTCCAGTGCTGTTGCAGAACTGCAGCGAGTGACAGGTTCTTTTCTGTAAATATATATCAAAAAATATGCAAGCGATGCTAGCTTAAAAACTAATCTGGATGTGAAATTGATCTAACGGCACCGAGCAAATAGCAGTAAGTAGGGTACAGATATCTGCGGACTATGCGTCTGACCTGTTCTATTTGGATATCCTGCAAAGTCCTTGAAATTTCTTTCCATTGTTTGTTGCAAGGTTGGGGTTATTTGCCGTACACATGAGTGCATGCAACTCTTGAAATGTGTATTTTCACCATCCAGTTTTGCAGTGATATCTCTATTCCTGGGGAACAAAGATTGAAACTGGTGTGCCAAGCAAAAGTTAACACAGTGATTATAATTATAAGATTTCTGATTAATTTAAGTTGTGGATGGGGGAACAGATGACAGAGTGACATAAAAGAGGGGAAATGTGTTAGAAATGTGAAGATAGTAGTAAGTCTTAGGCCCACAGAGAAACTCTGTCTACAGAGGACTGAGCTGGGATCCCAACAGGCCAATCACTGAGCTGGGCCTCTCAGACAGCAACACATGCACGCACATACTCATACACATACATACACTATCCATTTGGAAGCACATAGCACTCAGCTCTTTCCCTGACAGAGGCCAGACAAATGAAAAAAAAAAAAAAAAAAAAAAAGACTTGAGAGGACAGTGAAAGACCAGTAAGTTCAAGTGGAAAATCCTCCTCCTCTCCTCCCTCTCTCCCCTCCTTTCTTCTCCCCTCGTCCACCCCCTCCCTCCATCTAACGCCCCAGTGCTTCAGAATAAAAATGACAACACATTTTCAGAAACACACACACGCACACACACACACACACAGACACACACACACACTCAGGGCATTTCATTGGGAAGTGTGAGAGGCCGTTATCGACCATATTTCATTACTGATTTCACTCATGTTTCAAATCACAAAATAAGAGTTTCACACTCCAGCGGGCAGATCCCAAACCTCTCCTCTCCATCTACCCCTCTGTCTGTCCAGCCCTCTGCCCGCAGCCAGACCCTTTCCACTGGCTACTCAACCCTCTCCCATACACCCTTCACAAACTGTCAGGACCTCAAACTACCCCCCCAAATGCACACAGCCCCCAATTCCCCCAACATCAAATAAGAGAAACTGCCAACTAAGCACTTTCATTGAGTGGACAAAAGGAGTGCTTTGGGAAAAACACTTTGAAAGGAATTAAAAGAGAACTGGAAAGAAGGAGTCGCTTCAGTACCTCTAGGGGGCTAAACACTCATCCTTCAACATACTTTTGTTGATTAGTTAAAAGACTTTCAACTCTGCCTCCGAGTCTTTATGTTCGGTGGTTTTTCATAAATCTGTAGTGGTTTCTTTACGGCAGCTCAGAAAGGCCTGAAAACAATCTAGCAACATATAGAAAACTGGTGAAGTGAAGCTGTAATATTGATTAAAAGTGTTTTCGCTGAGAGGAAATCTCTGCTTTAAGACTGACATGACTCAGTTTCTTCTTCCCGTATTTCCTGCAAGGCTTCCTCTCTCTTCCTCTGCCCTGATGCTGGTGCCAGCCCTCTCCAGAGAGCACAGAGCCAAGCTAATTAACATATCTCTAATGAGTCTTTTCATTTTTTTCCTAATTAAACGAGCTCCTCAATAATACATGAAAACAGGACACCACGCTATTCAATTACATACGTATGGGCCGCAGCCAAGCACGTGCCTTAATCTGTATGTGTGCATGCCAAGTGGCAGTGTGTTAAGTGTGCCAGGCGTGCGTCTGCCAAGTGGGCGTACATGTGTCTGCCTGTGCCCACCCTGGGTGTGAGCGCATGCCAAGTGTGGCCATTGTAGGGAACGCGTGGCGGGGTCATGCATGCATGCTGGGTAATCTGCCTCTCGCCATTCTGTCTGCCAACTGTGTGCCCATTGATTCACCCTGCCGCACGCATGCCACAACCAATTAAGGTAACTGTGGCCAATTAATGTCCGTTACCTTCAACAAACACACACACGCACATAGTGAGACATTATCCAAACGCCACAGCGAGTAGGCGCATCATTCAAGAGTTATTTCATACAAAGGAATGGACTCGTTCAGAGGTCTGCTCTTTCACACATCCATTTAGCATGCCTTGCTTAAGGGAACAAGAGCGCAGTTTCTTTAACTGGCTTTGAAAGGTTAACACTGTTAAAGCAATGGAGAAGACAACTTTAGAAAAGAGGTTCAAAAATAAAGAATGTGAAAGATGTATGTAGAACTGTTTCTATTCACTGAAAATGTCCACTTTCCCTGATTGTGTGCAGTTTTGAATAGACGTAGAAGAAAACCTGTTCGACTCTGACTGCTACATTTCTTATGATTGGTCATACTGCACATCACCCTTGTAGCTGGTGAGACTACACATCTTTTTCTATCATCATTCTATGGGTGGGTTTTTGTCTGTTTTTTCTTTATTCCTCTTTATCTATCTGATTGTCTTGGCCCAATCCACTCTGGCAGATGGCTGTTCGTCCATGACCTCTGGTTCTGCTGAAGGTTTCTGCTTATTCAAGGGGAGATTTTCTTTACTCTTGCTGCCCAGAACTTGCTAATTCGGGGAGAAATCTTCCCAACCAGTTTTCCCCTCAGCTCCTCCTCTCCCCTTCCTTTCTGCTCCAACAAGCCCCGCCCACAAACAGACGCTCCTGCATGCTTGCATCGTTTCAATTAAATTCAGATATAATGCAGATAAATACTTCAGATAATTACAAATGGGGCCCAGTCAACGTGAAAGTAAACAGCATTGGTGCTACTGCAGATGCCAACAGTCTACCAGCAAACACAATGTTTGCAGGACTTCCACAACTAGGATGAAGTGACATACTCCAGGACCCGAGGTAAACAGTTTAGCGGCGCTACGACACGCGGTAGGTCCCGTTTGTCAAGAAACACTTCTGTTACAGACACTTGGCTTACGTTGTTAAAGCAGTTTACCTGTCCAGCAGAAAGATTACAGGGTCCGTAAAATCCCAGAGTCTCCGGTATTTACTTTATTTTCTTGCTTGTGTTAGCAGTCGTGGCTAAAGGAGGATTCAGACATTTTTCCATACTTTCTGGTTGGTTTCTACTGTCCAATATTGTAGCACGCTAACTTTGTTTGGGTTCCTGAACGACACTGGGGGAGCAGCGTCTGCCTCACAACCAATCAGGTTGGGGGAGGTAGAGAACAAAAATTTTAAAATGTTGACAACACAGACGTAACAAAACAGCGATATTGTTGTTACCAAATGTCATCAATGACTAATAGCTATTGACTGATATTAAAAGCTTTTTTGTATATACACCACAAAAAAGATGCTTCTTTAACGAATTCCTGCCTACCCCACCTTTAATGTTTGACCCCAGTAAAAGCCCTGTTCTTGGTCTAACAGTCAGGATCTGCTCTCAGACATTTCTAGACCATCATTTAAAGTTGTATTTATCGTATTTATCAGACGTGATTTCCATCTATTGTAAATTAGTCTACTAAGTTGTAGAATTGAAATTCCTTCCATGTTCTGAATAATAAAACTCTTGATAAATCACTCACAGTTTTCTGATTATCGGTCTTCACAGCAACCGTGCTTACAATTTTTGGCACATAACCATTTTTTCCCCTGCAGTTGCCTGTCTGGAGACCCAAGCTTTTGTTGAGTTTCTCCTGAATGTGACACTTGGCAATGCGAGACACACACACACACACACACACACACACACACACACACACACACACACACACACACACACACACACGCAGTAGATTGATACCATCTCACACAGCCAGCCAAACACAGAGACCATCTCTGAACAACCAATCAAAACGCTGATATAATCTCAGAGTTTCTTTCGCTCTTCGCTCAGATCCTCCCCTCTATTATAAATAAAGAAGAAGAGAAATATGATGGGGAAGGAGCACAGGAGGAGGGGGGTACAGGAGGGGAGGGGGGCTTGTCAGTGCAGACCAAGGCTTCTCCAGAGAAGTCAAGACACGAATAGAAAGTCTTCCCGCTCTCCCTGTCTGCCTCTGTCGTTCTCCCTCAGAGAGAAGGGAAAAATCTAATTATCAAGCTCCTAAAGATCTCATTATTGGCTCCGACTCATTTGCATGTGTGAGAGAAGCGCAGCAGGAGCCAACCTGAGGACGGCCATTTTGTGCCTGATGTGAGCCACTGTGTCACCATACAGTTGCTTAATGCCACCTTTGTAAATGACCAGATTAAATGTCTAGCCTCGCTCACTTCATCGCTCATTCGCCTTCTATGTGGTCGACACATGATTGCTTCAATTACACAAAGCCGGGTGCAGGCACTGAAACTTCTAAAGAGTGATCATGAAGCTGGGAATTATAGTAATTAAGACATTTCTATGCATCACCTTGTTGTCAGGTTGTTGTGAGGTCTTATAAACAAGTTTGAGGATACTCGCACACACAGGTACACAAACAACGCTTTGTGCCTCTTTGTTTCTGACAGTGAGGTACAAGTACAAACTCACACACACACACACACAAATGTAAATCCAGGGTATGTGGGGCCGTGTGAGTTGACAGCTCAGACAACAGAGATGTCGCGTGGATGCCCTGGAGAGTACAGAGAGGCTACGCAGGCCAGGCACCAACAAACAAGACAAACAAGACAGAGATGGAGAGACTAGACGCTGGGTAGAGTGCCGTGTGTGTGAAGAAATAGAAGAAATGTGTATGTGTGTGTTCTGGGCAGAGCTAGAAGGATGACGGAGGAAGGTTATACTTCTTTCACAGAGGAGATGAAGTAAAAAGCAGGGTGTAAAGACCGTCACAGGTTAATCTCTGGTCAGCATCTACAGAGACCTGAAATTCTTTCTCTACATTCACAAAACAGATCCATAATCATTTTAACTTTCACTTTTAGTTCCCTTTATTGCCTCTCTTACTTCCTCTTTATTCAGTTTCTTTGTGTAACATCTGTACTTTAAATTCCCATCATCTAACACAAACAAGTTAAAAAAGCCAAAAGTGCATAGTTTTGTGTGATTAGCAGTATAAATGCAAATTGAAGCTCAATGGTATTTTAATAATTCACATTTAATACAGAAAAGTATTTATTTTACTCCTCCACCTCTTACGGTAACTGTGTAATTTCCCCGACTGACACGCTCTATCCAAGGTAAATAAAGTGATTCTGGTTTCAATTCAGGTTTTGATGAAAGTGTAATCCATTAGATCCCCTTCATTTTTAACTGTTCCTCCATTTGTGTCATCTGAAGTAATAAGCACTCATTAATTCTGTGGCAGTTTTGCCTTACCAGAGGTCGCTCTGCAATTACACAGTGTGGTCAACACCACCATTTTTTTTTTTTTTCCTAGGTCTCTAACACAACCCGTCCTTCTGTGTGGGTTTTTCTTCCTCTTCTCTGCCAAAAAAGCAGCAGTTTCTTTTCACAAAAGACGCAAATCAAATGAAATCAAAACAATTCAATAAAAAATGAATTTAAGGATTCATTGTTACTTGTTGTTCATTTCAATTCAAACAATTTAAGAAGAAATGTGACCTGATTCTTGATTTTGACTTTAAGCAGTATTTTATTTTGTCCTCGCTCAGATTCCTGTTTTTATGTTTGTCATCATCAGAGCCAATCGAACCACAGTGACAAATCGCACCTCTGCCTGCTCTCTGTACATCCCATAATGGTACAGAATTGCCAGAGGTTTTATCAGCATACAGCCATAATAATGTGTATGGTGTGTGTGTTGGTGTGTGTGTGTGTCTTCTTCGAGTGTTTTTCAGGGGGGAACCTGCACTCCAGCTAACCCCACTCTCTCTGCTTACTGTGGAATTCAGCTCTGAAAACAGCTCGCTGCCCAATCACTACAAAGGCCTTATTCACCCGCGCACACACACACATACACACCAACAATTACGCTAGACGCACTCACAGAAAGAGGAAGAAAGAAAGAGAGTAAGAGAGAGGGAGAGAGAGAGAGCGAGAGAGACGCCGACACATGGAAGAAAAGTATGTGTCCATATCACTCCTCTGTGTAGTTGATGTGGCAGATTGATAAAGAGAAAGCTTCAGGCTCTATAATGTACGGATTCTGACAAAGCAACTCTAGGGTGTGTGCATTTGTATGTGTTTTTGTGTATTTGTGTCAGTGCTCCGACCTGCACAGGGCTCTGTTTGACCTCGTTGCTGCCTGGGGAGTTGAGTCCAGTAGCCTGCTGGAGGAGGAACTGTCTGGCTGCCTGGAGCGCCTACAAGAGAGAAAGAGATGATTAGATGTTCACATACACACACGATCACAATCCCAGTGTGAAAGATCTGCAGTTTTCTACGACAACCCAAACACCGTAGACATTTTCGAGTGAAGACAGTTAAAAAGGAAAGTCTTAATTGATTCATAAACTTTTAAACCTCAAACTATCACCAGCTCCTCTTTCCATTCTTTGTTCCTCTGACCTCCCCTCTGGTCCACCCTCTCCTCCACACCCCTTCCCTTCTGCACCTCTCCCCTACTCCCCTCTCTTCTGAGGAAGGTGCAATGTGGGTTTTCCACATCCTTTGAGGCAGAAGTGTGTCAGCAAATCTGTGTGTGTGTGTGCGTGTGTGTGTGTGTGTGTGTGTGTGTTGTGTGTGTGTGTGCGCGCGCGTGTGTCACTGTGATGTAAGGAACCGTTTGCCCCGGCTGCACCCTGGAGAGCTGTGACTAACCACCACCCACCACTTCACCCACCCACCCACCCACCTCCTGCTGCTCCCATTTCTGCCCTCCAGTGCTGTCCATTCAAACCAGTGACACCATTGCTCCCTCTCTCTCTCTCTCTCTCTCTTTTTCTTCATTCCTTCAGTCTGCCCTCGAGTGTTTGCCGATTCATCTTACCAACACTGCAACCTCAGCTTTCCTCTCCCACTGTCTTTCCGGATTTCTCTGATTTGTTCTCACCCTTTTATGATGTTAAAAGCTGTACAAATGTGTATCTTTTGTGTGATTAATTTAGCCGCTTTCCGCCTGTTGTGGTGTTGTGTTGTGTTAAAGACTCACACTCTCTATCATCAAGACAAATCAGTCCCTGAGGAACAGAAATAATTGTTGGAATGTCTGAACTGCCCCTAAAACAAAACAAGAAAACACCCATCTGAAAACACAAGAGCCGCCTTGCTTTTACTGTAAGCACACACACACACACACACACACACGCACACACAAAAGCACACTCAAGCACAAACTCATGACAGAGGGTTAGAGAGGGGAGACAGCAGGATGCACATTTGCTTCCTCTGACTCAAAGGGGAAAGGTTCCTTAGTAAATATTGATTTATGAAAGTCTGTGTGTGTGTGTATGCAAGTGTGTGTGTGCGTGCGTGTGTTTGGACACCGCAAATTAACGGCCACAATGAGGGATGTTCTTTACCATGGAAGTTCTTACTCAACCATGCAGCTAAAAAAAAAAAAATCGGTTCTACTGCAGGATTTCACAACTGCGGATCAGTGTGAAGCCGTGACACAGAGCAGCGCACACTCACTGTATATACGGTCACATATTTAATGACTTGTCAAATTAAAAGCGCGGGTACATTAAGTAATGTTTAATTACAAAAACAGAGAGGGGAGATTAGAAGGAGACAGAAAGAGAGAAGAGTTCTCTGTGCAGCCGGATTGATGAAAACCATCTGCATGGTGCACACTTGCTACTTTTGCTGAGACCGCAATTAAAACACACACATACACGAGGCTGTGGACACACACTCGCTCACACACACACACATTGACTTTAACACTTATAACAAAAATTTTGGGAACCCCCTCCAATTTACTGGTTTGACCTCAGCAAAGAAGCAGGCAGACACGCATACACACATATGGAAACACACACACACACACACACACACAAAAAAAAAGAAAATCCCAAAAAAAACACAACCGCCCAGTTTGTTGGCATGTGGTGTGAATTACTCGTTGAACACCCTGTCTGCCCAAGAGTGAGTTTGTGTGCGTGTGTGTTTGTGCGTGTGTGAATATGTGTGTGTTGGCAGGAGTCGGAGAGGCAGGTCTGGCAACAATAAGGGACAATTCCACCCAAATTACCACCCTGATTACCACTATATTAAAGAGCCATTTATGGCTTTCATAAACGCTACAAGCAAGCAGAGGTGATGCCTGTCTCCTCTCCAACGCCTGTAGTCATACATGTGGGTGTATGTCAGCGACTAGTATGCTAATATGGAGGTAGTCTGTCTCAATCCTGATTCAATTAAAAGTGTCACAGCTGAGGGCAAGATCATGTGAAAGCTAGATTTTAAGTCAATGTTTGTAAACGGGTCGTTTAAATCTCATGAATAAATCAAGTATTTTTCTGAAACCAATATAGAGTAGAAAAAAAAACCGAATAAGCCATTTTAAAAGAATTCGAGTTAAATGCATTAAATGGTCCCACAAGTATGCATCTTCCTTGTATCCTAATAAAAGTCCATTTGTGGTGCTTCTACTCAACTTTACAACACCAGTTAACTCAGAGGTGAAACAAACTAAAAGTTAACCAATAATGGGCTTTTGCCAGTCCTGTGTTTAACAAAGTAAAAAATCTAAATAGAGATTATAATGGGCTGCTAAATCAAGAATAACAGACAGAAACCAATTTTTCATCATTTTCTTGTACAAAAACATCTTGGGCTGACTTCTGCGCTTGATATAATTTGATGCATTTGTAACATATTTACAAAAACTAATCCCTTTTCCTGTTTGGTTTGTTGATGTTCACTTTCCTCTATTAAGAGCCTTATTTTCACTGAATCTACGGCTTTATTATTATGTCTGGACCTCTTTAACCAGCACGGGTTGATTGGTAGGATTTGAATTTTCTAGGCTTAATTGCTTAACCTATTGAAACTGGGAGAATTAGTAGTCAGAAGGATGATCACTGGTTTTTGTTGTACACACTCACACTCACACACACTCACACACACACACACACACACAGCCAGAGGCGAAGTCTCATATCTACATTGTCAAGACGCACTCCACAACTTTGACCCTTCTCTTTCATTTATCTCTTCACACTTACTTCTTGCCTTTTTCTGTCTGTGACCTGGGTGAGCTGTAGCATTGTAAAGCACGCCCCCCTCGACACCAAGCCACACACACACACACACGCACACACACGCACACGCACATGCACCAGCTCCTCCAACCCCAACTCCCTGCTCCCCCTGTGGCATTCTTGGGGGCGCACTGCACCTTTAAAGAAAATATGAGGGAGGCCTGAGAGGGAGGCCCAACAACAGAGTCTTTGTGCTGCCGCAGAGCACATACACACACACACAAACACACACACACATGCATACACACACATCAGTGGTGTCAGACAGGTTTTATTAGAGTGAGAGCGGGAGGGAGGGAGGGAGAAGGAAGGGGAAGGAGGGGTGAGGAGGTCACTGCTCAGCTTGGAGGCCTGAGAGCGCAGTGTGTGTGTGTGTCAGCTCAGTGTGTGAGTTCTTCTGACTTGTCATCGCTACCCTCTGTAAATCATCGCCTCTGACACAGTCTTTAATAACAGTGCATTTTTTAATTCAGTAGGGTCACACACACACACACACACACACACACACACACACACACACACACACACACACACACACACACACACACACACACACACACACACACACACACACGAAGACTGGTTACTCTCCTTCACAAGATTCCCGAAAATGGCCGACAACAATGTTTATATTTTAGGAGGTGGGGTTGATGAGAGGTACCTGTACGAGAATAGGAGAGAACTTCAATTTTTTATGGTGTGTATGATGGTCTTTGTGTAAGTGTGCGTGTGTGTGTGTAAGTGTGGGTGTGTGTTTTTTGCATGTCTAAACTCTAGTCCTTCAACTATCATAGCTTTGATATATACAGATTATCTGATGAGGGCAAAAAGTAACAATCGATACAGAGCAAGTCCAGGCTTCTTAGGCTAGATTTTTGACTGCATGTGTGTGTGTGTGTGTGTGTGTGTGTGTGTGTGTGTGTGTGTGTGTGTTTGTGTGTGTGTTTGTGGCTATGCCTGATCCTGGCTCAGGTTGCTAAAGCAAACAGGTCTGTGTGTGTGATGAATCTGGCCTCTAATCCGCCCAGTGTGTTTGGGTGAGACGGGGAGAGGGGAACGCAGGAATAAGCAAAGAAATCTAAACAGAGACGTAGGGAAGGAAGACGGGAGGCAGAGAGGCAAAGAGGGGGAGAAAAAGAGAGAGAGAGAGAGAGAGAAAGACAGGTGGGTACCATATGTTAGAGTAGTCCGTCAGCACAAACTGAGGTCCATTGTTGACGGCCAAAACGAAACAAACCGACCCCCCCGCCCTCCCTTTACCCTGCCCTCTGCCTCGTCTCCCCCCGTAGATAAACAGCCCACGGGGCAGACAGTGGGCTGTCCTTGAGGGAAAAAGAGGAGGTGGAGGAGGAGGAGGAGGAGGGCAAGGGGAGAGGCAGGTGGTATCAGATTTCTTAGCTCTTAGACCAAGTCAAAAAAAAAAAAAAAAATTAAAATGAAGGAGCAGAGAGCGAGTGGGGAGCTCATTGTTTCATCTTTCCACGACAAAAGTAAAACAGGCAAGAAGTTGGACACATCAGCACCAAACAAGAATCTCATCAGCTCAAAGACCTGAGAGGAGAGGCTTCTGATGCACCAATCCTCCACTCCTAACCCCCCTTTTTTCTTCCCCAGGAGAAAGCAAGAGATGGCGAAGTAGTGGATAGATACAGGGTGAAGACGTAGAAAAGAGCTCGTCACACCCAGCTGCTTCTCTACAGGCCTGCACGCCTTCTGATTTTGGATCAGTGAGAGACACCAGGTTCAGGGACGAGCAGTGGATTCTCTCTTTCTACCTCTCTTATGCTCTATCTTCTTTCTCGGGCTGCTGTCATTGAAGCTGAAAGCCAAGCTAAAGCTGCACCGAAGCTACCATCCTCCTGGGTCACCCCCCTGTGATCCCCGGTATCCGTTTCTTCACTTTAGCACCAGGAAACACCTCCAAACTCCAGTAAAACCCACCTCCCACTTTAATTTACTCACTCTTTCTGGCTCTGTCTTTGCTACTCTCTCTACCAGTTTTTTTTTCTTTTCCCCTCTAAATCTCTCTTATCTCAGATTCTCTCTTTTTCTCCGGATACTCAAAGGGAATCATGATCAGGGAAGAAGATGAAACAAGAGGGAACAGATGTAACACAAACCTACAAAGCATGTTAATTTGTTGATGCTACCACCGTACGGGCAGCTCACCTGAGTTCAGAATCTGACCCTGTATTTAAATCACATAAAATGGGATTACTGAAGAGGTGACAGTTAGTGGGATTGCTGTATAACTTTGAGGCAGAGATGACTGAAGGCTTGGTTACAGCGGCTGTGGAATCTCACGTATCAAATGAATCACTGTCACTCACCACAAAACCCAGATTGCTTTCCCAGATCACTCGTGCTTTCTTTCTTTCGCTCTCTCAGTCTATATCACCCGATCTGTCTCTTGCCCCTCCATATAATGTATAACTCACAAAAAGTTTGCTGGCATTTCTCCAAGTAATTCCCCCCCTCCTCCTCCTCTTCTCTCCCTCTCTTTCTGCTCCTGCCCCTCCTCTCTCCTCTCTTTAGAAATCTGTTACCCATACCCTAACTTGCCACAGTAAATTCTGAGAGCAGATATGGGTTAGACAGAAGCCTAAAATAGATCGTCCAGACCAATGGAAACTGAGGCTTGAGAATGCAGCTGTTGGCCTTATGGGGGGGACCCTCAACTTCCCTCGACTGTCAGACAAAGAGTCACTACTGTGATGGCAGCTGTCAAAGTTCAAGGTAGAGATTACCACATCAACATTCAAGATGTGGCAGTTGTAAATTTAGTGAACTGAACGAGAAATACCTGAGATAGTTTTGTGTATTACTTTCAGTTGCCTCGATTCAAAGCTTCTTGTAGTTGTTAATCATCCGTCACCAAGGCCAAAGTCTGGAAGTTTTTATCCCGACCAAACATTACAGCATGCGGGTTTCACCGGCGCTCATGTTTTCCACCAGACGTTAAACTTAATGGGAAATTTGCAGGATTATGTTGGGGTAAAAAGTTAAGTTTCAGCGTAGCACAAAAAAGGGGGAGAAGTAGGTAGAAGTATTTTTTTTAAATAATGTAATGACTGAATGTAAAGTCTTATAGTAGCGAGAGAAAAAAACATCACAAAGAAAGCCTTTGTAATAAAAGGTTTACTCATCTTCCCAATTGTGGAGAAAGGAGAAGAGGAGGGTATCTATTGGGGGCAGATCAGGGGTTTTCAAGAGGTAAACATATAGGGGTAATGGGCAGTCTGTGCTAAAGCCGGCTAAAGCCCCCCAATTTCATGGTGGGTTAAAAAATGAACTATGCTCAACCAGGACTTCACCCCTTTTCTCCAAGTCTTCCTCACGTACTCCTTCTCTATTTCTGGTATTAATCAGGTCTTTCCGGCCTCCCCTTCACCAGCTTTCCTTGACATTTGTTTTCACTCATAGCAACGTGGACTTCAAACCAGCCTGTCCACCAATATAACTGAGCCTTTAACGGCACTGAGTACCTCAATCTGCTCAGGCTGCCGCTGAGCTGGAACTATCCGGGACACCTTCAGAAATGCCAGCCAGCCGCAATCCTGTTCAGCTATTTAATGTAATGTTTCCGCAATATAAAGGCACCGTTCGAGGGCTGAGGTTTTTAAAATGGCTGAAGCAAGCTTCTCCGGGCCCAGACTGACCATTAAAAGGGAGGAAAGACCGCGTTCAAGAGCCAACGTAATAAAAACTCACAAACTCCAAAAGAACGGCAGAATATGCCGTAATGTTTGAAAACCCAGGCCGATTTAGTTTAGAGTTTTTTTTACATCCTATTTTTCACAAAAGGGACCTGTTCGAAACTCTGGGGACCCTGCCGTTTTCCAGATGGTTCTCTTCAGTTCAGAACTGTTTGGCGAAACGAGAAAACCTCTCCCCTTCAACTACGTCCCTGCACTCATCTAATGTTTCTATTGATTCACAGGGGTATACGCAGAGTCGTAAAAAGGAGCTGACTGAATACCCAGGACTGCTTTATATCATGACACAATCCATCATCATATACACACATCTTTAACACACATACAGAGAGGGAAGAAAAAAAAGACGAGAGCTTCCTAAGGAGATGTTGTCAGCTTTTCTCTGTTAAGTGAAGGGAAAAGGGCATGGAGAGATAGACAATTAAGGATAATGATGAGGTGAGCAGGGACCGAAAAGAGAGGAACTCCCTTTCCTGAGAATATAAAAGCAGTTCCCTCTTTATTGTTGGCCTCATCTCAGCCCAGGCTGCTAATTGATGGCAAATAGCTCTACAGCAGTTTCCTTAAACACACACACACACAGACGCACACACAGACACGCACACAAGCACACGTCATACATTATATACACATATGCAGTTGCCCTGCGGTTTTCAACACAGCTCTTTTGGCAAGAGAGGAAGGTTTCGCTCCAGACAGACCCAGCCCACAGCGGAAAACACACACACACACAGACGCACAGACACACACAGACAGTATACTTTGTAATATTTAGCCCTTCAACTTGTATAAGGTAGGACAGTTTAGTGGCTGGGTCATGCTCCTGGGAAGACAAGGCCACTTAGGTGTCAGGTCTTAGCTGGGTGACCTCCAGAGTTTAAGCTGCTCCTCCTGCCCAGGAGGAGTGCAACTGTGCGAGTCCACAGCACATGATGAGGATAGCACTAGCCTGGCAACCAGGCCTCACATATGGAAACTGTTTAACTGTTATTATTAATATCCAAAAAAAAAAAAAAAATCAAACTAATAACACATGCAAGACACCGCCAAGACTCAGCTCAGGAGACAGAGGGAAAACACATACATACACAAACAGGGACTGTCTGCCATGTGCACATGCATATACACATGAGCAGGGACACACAGAGAAAGACACACACACAGACGCCTGTTGGTTAAACAGAAAAACATTATCTAAGTCAGTGGCCTGTAAAAGTATTAGCCAACCTGCCTGCTTTGATGGAAATAAAACCCTTTCATGTCTCTGGTTCAGAGGGTTTTTACACCTGGTTGTGGCTGTGTGTGGAGCTGGAGGTGGACACACCCTCACACCCACCCTTACCACACACATACACATACACATACATACACACACATGCACACACACACATTCATACAAACACCGGAAGTGGGTAGGCATAACAAAGGCTGGCTGCTGTGCTAGAAGTTCAACTTCTAAACAAGCACAAAATATTTTACTTCCCAAAATGAGAAAAAGGGGTGGGGTGTGTTTTAAAAAAGAGGAAATGGGAACTGTGTGTGTGTGTGTGTGTGTGTCTGTGTGTGTGCGTTAGGCTGTGTGATTTAGTGAGAGGGTCAGTCCAACCAGATGTGCACTGGCACATTTTTTCGATTTGAAAGACAAACCACTACAGTTTTATATTCTCTAAAGAAAAGGTCATGATTTTAAATATTCGGGCATCTCTTAATCTTTATATATCAAACATACTTGTAAACAAATGTATTCATAGTTCATTTATTATGATGACAAAAAAACTGTCTCAAATGAAAAAGTAAGCAAAACCTCAACACCTTAACTTTTTGGATGTAGAGAAAAATGTCAGCTCTTTGTTCTGTCAAGGTTTCCTTCCTTTAATGTTAATTTAAAAACATGTCTTAGAGTTAAAGTAGGCTTTAACTTGTCAAATATTAATACATCGAGTGGCTACAGTGAGCAAAATCTGAAGATTTCATCTGACAATTCTATCCTTGAGCGACTTTAAAGAGAATTCAACTTTAATTTAATTTCTAAAACTTCTGTGACAGTACAGTAAACTTGACTTTTATAAGGGTTAGTGGCTGAAGCACAGAGAAGAAAATCAGGTTGTAGGAGTTTGTCATTTGCTGGTGTCACTTTTTTGAAGATTTATGATATCCTCAAGGTGCTACCTGGCTTCATTTCACATGTAGTTACACTTTAAGTTGTCTGTCACATGTTTTCTTTTTCTTTTTAAGTGTTAAAAACTTCATTGACAAAGCAACAAATACATGTCAAGTGAAATAAAATAAATAAATAAAGGCTGTCACACACCAGCTGTAGAATTATAGAAGCAGAAACCAAATAAGAGTGTGAGGGAAAGACAGACAGAGAGAGAAAAGAAGAGAGAAGAGCTACATTCCTCTCCTCCTCCCTGTTGACTCTAATCTCTCCTTTAAAATGGCTCACACAAAGAGGCAGCGCAGACTAGCTAATTAGCAACACTTTAGGCCTCTGCAGCTATTGTGTGTACGCTGTGTGTGTGTGTGTGTGTGTGTGTGTGTGTGTGCGCGCATATGTGTGTACATTGTGTGCACTCTGGGCTCTCAACTGTTTCCAGGGTAACTACTTTGCCCAGCAGCCTTGTTAGCATTGCACATTTTGTCTTTACTCTTCACTTTCTCTCTGGTCCACCTCTCTGTGTCCATCTTTCTACATGTCCTGAGCAGGAAAATAAAAGAGGGAGGACTTTTACAACTAAGAGTAGAAGATTTTCTAACTTGTTTGGCTGGATGTTGGCTGTATCCAATGTTCTTTTTTGAATGCCTTAACAAACCTTAAAATGTTACATCTGCGAGTACTTCTTGGTCTAAACAGCTATGGCTGGTGCTTCTTGATTAGAAAGCACCAACCAGAAAGAAATATATTTATAATGCGTTATAATCGTGTTATAGCACTGTATAACTATAGTTATTAACACTCATAAAGGATCATAATGCTTTATAACAATAATCATAACACTTTATAAAGCATTTTATCATGGCTTACAAGGTCAGGTATTATAATGTGTTATAACTGTTAACAACTCACTGACAATACCCACATAGATAATGCAATGCAACTGTTGTTAACAGTTATAACACATTACAATACCTGACCTTGTAAGTCATGATAAAATGCTTTCTAATGTGTTATTATTGCTATAAAGCATTGTGATCATTTATGAGTGTTTATAACGGTTATAAAGTGTAATAACGTGATTATAACGCATTATACATATATTTATAATGCGTTATAATAACATAATTGTTACCACAAGTTTTTTTTAAATAGTTTATTTCCTCACAGCGTATCCTAATCTGCTATTACCATAGAAACAAATGTTCTTAGTGGACACTGACCAGTGTGAACAATCAACCCCCCCTCACATACACACACACACAGTCACACCCCTGTGTCACTGACCAGTAGTAGAAATGAGGTCATGCAGCTGACCTATGAACTCTTCAAAAGGCCTCTGTCACCATGGTGATACCTTCTGAAGTGCAAGAGTCAACAACTGACTTTTTCACCCTTGGATAGAAAAAAAAACTTCTTCATGAATGGTTTCTGACCACCTAAGCTCTCGTGTGCCTGTGTGTGTGTGCGTGCGTGTTTCTGTGTGTGTGTGCATACATGTGTGTATTTACCTGTCAGCACAGCTAGGCCTACTCATTGTAAAGTGCTTCCAAACACTCCCATGGCAACCAAGCCCAACCTAACCCCTTCAGGTGCCCAAAGGATGTGTGTATAAGTCAGTCTCCACAACAGAGACAGGACAAACACACACATACACACACACACACACTTCCTTTCTTCTGCTGGTATCTGTCTATTCTTGTCTCAGAGCCTCTCGGCTGGTCAGGTCACCCAAGCATGACTGCATCCATGCTGGCTGATCCGGCCTGCTGGACCATGTCTACTGTCCATGTACGCTTTATCCACAACACTTGGAGCCTTTTTTGGCAGCACATACGAGAAAAAAAAATGTCTCAATGAGATTTTAACAGGGAAGTCAGAGTAAATGCCATGATTTATCAGCCAGGATTTCTGAATGTTATGGAACATGCAGTTAAATCAAAAGTTTAAGAATATGTGTGGCCCCATAAAGCAGATGTGTACAAAGAAAAATAATGAAATGATGTCAATAATGAGAACAGAATTCAGATCCTAAAATCTCCCTTTGTGGATTCTCCAACTTTCATATCCCTGGCTGGAAAAAGCAGTAAAAATATTTTATGGACGCTCATAAATACGACATCTCTGCATCTCAGAATTAAAGTCTTAATGTGTGAAAAAATAATCCCTGAATGAGAATTAGGCGTCGTGTGAAATACATCACAGGTTATGAGATTAGCAGGTGTGTTTCTAGGGTTCTGTTTGAGTTAAATGTGGACGAAATAAAGCGTGAGCAAGTCGCAAACTTTTTATAACCCGAAATCCATATTTGAAGTTTAGAAAAGAAATCAAAGTGCATCATTTGAGTATCAGCATGTAATAGCTTTCATTAATTGAAACACGCGGGCTTTGGTGTAAAGACATCGACAGTGCAGGAAAGGGGAAGTGAAAGTCAAAGATGGCACATATAAAGGGAGCTGCTGGTGCTTTTGAGACTCCTGGAGGAAGTCCCTCTTCTATAGGTTTCTTTGTATCGCCCTGGTAACAGCAGTGGGTGTTCTGTGACGCTAGGCAACCCTACTCACCCCTCCTCTGTCTCAGCACGACCCTCGGTGACCTGTGAACTACACTGACCTCAGACATAAAGAGGAAGGCCCCGACCCAGACCAGCAGAAGGCTTTTAGGAGGTGACAGCACTCAGAGAGAGGTCCTGGGCTGATTTACTGGCCCGCACACACGACGCACTGACAGACACATGGACACATGCATGCACGCACATGAAGACGGACATACAGACAGGAAGTGACACATGCAAACACTCATGGGAAATAGCCTGTCAGAGAGAGGCACAAAACTCCACCCTGATGTAATTAAATTAAGTCCCGCTGCTCTAACCGACTGGAAAATGTGTCTGAAAATGTCTTTTTTTTCACCTCCTCCTCCTCCTCTTCTTCTTTACTCACCCCTTCACCTCCGTCTCCTCTACACCTCTGACCTGAAAGTGAACTCGATTTGGAGAGTTGGGGGTCAAACACGACATAAATGTCCCAGTGACCAACATTCACCTCCCATAACTTAGCAAAAGGCTGAACTGATGGCCAACACTTGCCTAAAAAACCTCCCCACCTCCATCCATACGAGCCGTAATTATAGAGTCAGGAAGCCATACGTTATCTAAATCATCCTGCATCATCTGTTAACACACACACACACACACACACACACACACACTGATCTCATACATCTGTCCACACAGCACTCCCAGCATCAAACCCCGATGCACGCTCTTGCACATGTGTGCGCACACTAACCAGCTATCTTTCATCAGTGTTTGTGTGTATCTGAGATCTGTATCGGTTCCCCCTGATCTCCAGTCATCACTGTGGCTCCTTAATTACACCCTTCATTAACTCACATTGGCTCAGTGCGTGTGTGTAACTGCATGTGCACGAGTACGAATATGTGTGAGAAAGAGGAAAATAAAGATTGTCAGAATGTGTGAGAGAGCAAATAGGGGGAAAAATCAGATTAAGACAAATGGAAGTGAGGATCCGAGCTCCAAGCCAATTTTTGAAACTGCCTTTTTTCTCCACCAATGTTCCTTTCTTAACCCTCAGGGAAGAATGGCCGCTACAGTCTGCTTCTCACTTTCTATTTGAGAGGGCAAGGAAGAGAGAAAGGCAGGAAGAAAAAGAGGGAAAACCCTCCCTGGCAGATTTAGCTGGCCGATGAGTGGCACTCCTAAGAGGAAACTGCACCTTTTTGTCACTTTCCCCTCTCTTTTTCCTCTCCCTCCTACTTTCACCTCCTCTCTTCCCCCGTCATCACCATCCACGACTTCTGTAGCTGCAGGAAAACCAGAAGCGATTAATTGACGGTGAGAGAGAAGAGGAGGAGACAGCAATTGGTGGGAAAAGGAGGGGTGTGACGGCGCTTAAAGTGCAGACTCACATCTGCTTTAAAAAAAGGAAGAGGGATGAGAGACGTAAAGAAAAGGAAAGAATTGGAGACACCTGGTTCTCGTCAGAGCACCCTCCACCCAGCCACACACACACACACCCCTACACACACACACACACACACACACACTTTGAGGTTTGTTAGGATTTATCCTGCTTACATTTCTCCTCTGCTATGCATCATTTCATGTCTACACCCGTGCCCTGCACCTCAACAAAGTGCCACACACTCTCCACCGCACTCTCACTTTTCCACCTCTCTGTCCTCTGGCCCTATAACTCCTCTCTTTGTTCTCTCTCTCTCTCTCTCTCTCTTTCTCTCTTTTTCTCCTCTGGATGATGGGGCAGAACTGGTCACCCCCTCTTCTTTTTCTCCGTTCTTCTCTTTCTCTCTCTCTCTCTCTCTCTCTCTTGCTGTTCTTTCTGGGGAGGCAGACAGGCCACATTCCACAGGGAGGCCCAGGCGCCCTTTTCTGACACGTCTCAGCATTACACCCCTCCCTCTCATCCCTCTATTCCTCCTCTCTGGCCCACCAGTGCACCCCTGTCTCCCACCTACCCCAATGTACTGCCTCTTTGCCCCTCCTTTCACCTCACTTTACTGGCTGGATGTTCGGTCTCTCAAGCTGTCTCAACCACTTGCTCATTTCTCTGATTGACTACATACCTGTGTCCCTCCTCTTCATATCAATCTATCTTTAACGAGAACTAATAAAAAAGACAGAAAAAAAACAGAGACACTGGACAGGCAGATGACAGTGGAAAGCCAGTGGAGAGGTCTGACGGCTGGAGATGGCTTTGGTTTCTCATAGATTCCCAAGGGGCGACGAGAAAAAAGGACGGTTTTGTCTTCTGACAACACGGCACTCTTCCTCTGTGTGTAAGAGTGTCTTTTCTGCTCCACTGCGCACTGGCACTGGTGTTTAAGTACCAGCACTGGTCTTCACCACACCTTCAGGTGAGGGACTCAAGCATGAAAAGGAGAGGAACAGAGAAATCCAATCCAAGACTTTCAAGACGTAGAGTAAAAGCAGGTTCACATACGGCCCTATCAAGAGACCTGTGTCAGTCCAGAGGCTGTCTGGATCACGTCATAGTGATATAAGGAGCAGTGGATTATAGCTGTAAAGCAGCTTCTGTTGTCAGATAACACTCTTACACCAAAACTTTATCAAGTCAATATTGGTGATTGAATCTGTGTGTTGTTGTAAAAGCACTCTTAAAAAAACGTGTTTATTTTGTCTTGTGTGTGTTTGTGCACATGCAGATTATAGCCCCCTGAGCAATAGACGATTATTAGATATGTAGGGTTTTTTTTTTAGACCTAATTTCAACCGTCTAGATTCTCTATATTTTAGTCGGAATTTAGACGTTGCACTTTAAATCATTATTTGATAACTATTTATTTAAAAAAGTAACTGTGAGTTGCATAACTGATCTCCGAGTTCTTAACCACAATAATTATGAGAGTTGTTGAGCAATATACAGTGTAGTATAGACATAGCCCAGATTTAGTCTAGTCTAAACTTGGTCTAAATTTAGACCTGTGGTAGCCTGATTTTAGACCAGTCTTCTAGGCTACATTTAGACATCTATTAGACTTTTTTTAGACCAATAAATGCTCAATGGGAGATAACAGGTCAGGAACCCTAAATTTAACAACCTGTGTTTATGTTTGAATGTTGAATGGGCTGATGCAGAGTAAATTATTAAATATATCTTGAATCAAATTGACATGCTCCTGAAGTCATTCTTACTTACTTTTTAACACTTGTTTGTTTAGTGATTGTTTTTACTCTCTATTCAGTCCATTAAGTTCCTTTTTTTATTTGAAACAGATAAAAAGTCAATGAATCCAAGTCTGATGCAGCAAACTTTACAAATTTTCAAACTTAATTTTAAGAGTTTTTTTTTTTTTTTTCAGTTCAAATCCATTTTCCCATAAAAGCTGAGAATGTAGTTTTGTATGATTGAACTTGGCTGATAGAAATTCTGAAAGGATAAATAATTTTTGTGGAAAATGAGAATAACAGTGTTCAGGGATGTGTTGTGCTGAAGAGGTGGGCGTGGTGAATAAATATTCTTTTTCAGGCTTGGTCTATTTCCTGGGCCTTGAATTTAGAGGACAAGAGGGAAAAAAGATCTTTTGAATGTTTCTGTTTCGTTTTTTGCTTTTCTTTGGGAAATTTGGATTTTTTTGTATTTTTGAAATATGGAAACAGGGACAATAAAAAGAGATGAGTGAAGGAAAGTTGGTTAACTGTGTAAAAAGCAGTCAAATAATAGTTTTCAATAACTCCAAACTCATGTCTTAACTGAGTGAGGGGGAATATGTGGTGAGAGAGATGTATGATGACCATAACTAGGAAGTAATACTGAAATTAGATGAGCAAGATACACAATCTCACACACGCACAGATAACTACTTTACTTTACAATACTCAATAATAGAGAAGAAGAAAATAAAAACTGACACTGACAAATTTTGCCTGTATTCTTCTTGTCACTGCAGAGGAAGGACACCAATGAGCTCAATGTACACAGAAATCAATCATTTACTTATCATACACTTACTTACTGACTTCACTGTACAGTAAAACAGCCATAAACTGGCACAGAGCAGAGAGTGCAACAGTGTCAGAGTTATAAAAAGATATCTCCGGTTCAAGAAGGACACACCTCTGACTCATGACAACTCCAATCTGTTCAATCCGTGCAAATCGGGCCCTGAATAAAAAGTAGCTACTATAACTGCCTGTGTATTTTCTGCTTCATATGTGGGTCCGACATTTTTCTGCAGAGGTGAGGGCTGGGATCTGGAGGAAAGGTTGTGCTTGTCTTTCATGGTCCATGGCGGATAGAAGGAAAAAAAAGAAGTACAGTGAGAGAGGGGAAGAGAGAAAGATGGAAAGTGAGAGGGAGGTATGTTTGTGGTTGGTAACCCGCTCAAGAGAGGAAATACCAGCGTGCACACACACATACACATATGCACACACACGCATATATCCACACACACAGGTGCAAAAACATCGAGAGCAGAGACGCGTCCGAGAGAATAAAGAGCTGCTTTGTGTGAGCTGCAGGTTTGGTGTTTATGTGTGTGTGTGTGTGTGTGTGTGAGTGTGTGTCCTCCGATGAAGGTTGCTGAGGAAGCAGGGTGAGGATGCAGTCAGGAGAAGGAGGAGGGAGAGAGCAGGGCAGAAATGAAGGGCCTTGAGTGTTCTTCATTCACCTAAGGCTCCATCATGATAATTAGTGGGAATAATTTTAGCAGCAGGGAGGAAACCCTGATTTTTTTTCTCTCTTCTGGGTTTCCTCAACTACAAACTCAGCTGCTCGAACCCACACTGACCCTTTGTGACAGGCAGACACAATACAGCACATGCATGCAAACATACACGCTCAAGATAAGTAGCTCACACAATATAATCATTGTGTTTTTTTTCCATTTAAAGCGAAAGAGAAATCAAACATGAGTCTCCTTCATTAGGCGACAACACTCAGTGGACATTAAACTTCATTTCTGGTCAAATGACTCATTTAGGGGCTTTTGGTTTAAAAAAAGCCTTTTAAAAAGAGTTGGTGTATTATGTGTGAAGGCTGGGGAGCAATCAGAAAATAGTCATGTGCATTTCTGAGGGAATGAGAAATAAAAATGTCGAATTTCATCCAAGGAGTTCCGGGAAGTTTGGAAATTCCATTTGAGACAGTGGCCAGTGTGAGTGTGAGTGTGTGTACGTGTGTGTGTGTGTGTGTGTGTGTGTGTGTATGGGGGAGTGACGCACAAGAGGCAAGATAAATAGAATAACTGGAGACGCTACACGCTGACGTGTCAAACACACATAAACAGCTCTCCATGGATCAGTGAAAAAATATAACCTACACCCACACACACACACTCTTTGAGCGTTCAAGTCCTATACGAAAACATATGTTCCCTTTGCCATTAAAAGTGCACGTACGACTGCCAAAAAAAAATGGCTTCTCTTTAACAAGCAGGTATTTTTGTTTTGGCGTTCTCCTCCAAGTAACTGAGAAATATTAACAATCAGAGGGAACCTCGTGAGAAGAAGTTGTTATGATGAACTTTGTCCCAGTGGATTTAGTTGGCACATTATGAACGGCGGATAATTAAAGCACCGACAAGTCAACCTGTCAAACTTTTCACAGCTCACACATGTAAACCTGACAATTACCAGAGTCTGTCCAACTACGTTCTGTCACATCTGTACGTTATGTAATGTCCCTGTGTGTACATGCTGTTCTTGACGATGTACTGTACATATGCACCAGTTGCACAAGTGGCAAGTGTTGCAAAACTAGTTTCACAAGCACACATATACAGGTAGGTCTGTAAACACACACACACACACACACACACCTGTTGCTGTTGCAGGTGCAGTAAGTCCACCGGGCTGATCTCTCCATTGGCGTCTCCGTTAGACCCGCCCTCTCTACCTCCCCCTCCGTCCGATTGGCTGCTGAGGCTGCTGACTCCGTTCTGGTTGGACGGCGTTGTTCGAATGGTCTCCGAGGCTGATTCCACCATCATCACTGGCACCTGAGAGGGGGAGAGTAGAGGAGGGAGGAGGAGGAGGAGGTGTGTAGGGGGGGAGAGAGACAAAACACACAGAGTGAACAAAAGTGACCTGGGCAGTTGGAGCAGAAAGCCAGCTCCCATCTGAGTGAACAAACAAGGCAAGAAACCAAAGTAAACACACGCAGAGATACAGAAGTGAATTGTGTGGGCTTATGTGTGGTGCATGTGTGTGTGTGTGTGTGCACGTGTACTTTGAGAAAAAAAAAGGGCTTTTTTGGCCATGAACCGCCCACACACAAACATGCACAAGTGGCCACAAAGCAACACCTGAAGCAGACACTTTTTTGTCTGCATGTAGATGTGTGTCTGCGAGCGTACGCATGGCTTAGGATCAGACGTGCAGCAAATCTAAACTGACAAGGCTGTTAATACTCGGCTATATAGTTAAATAACACAGACATTTCACCAATAATCAGAGGTGGCATGTGTGCGCCGTGTGAGAGCCCTGAGCAGGTTGCGCTTTGAGAAAGATCTGTTTGATGCACCTTCATAGGGCCTCTCTAATTAGAGCGTGTTCCCTCCACAAAACCCCGACAAAACGAGCCGTTCCTGGATGTGTTGTTGTTTTTTGAGAAACAACGCCTCGCAAACACACAGGCGCATTTGCCATCGTTAGGAGCCCGAGCGTGGGAGAGAGAGAGAGGAGACGCAGACACACACACTGGCGCGCAGAACACACACAAGGCAAGCTAATACAAAACAAAACAAACCTTCAGACAAGCACGCAAGGCTGTGAACTCCTAATGACAAGCTCAATCTCGTCTTTCTGCCTCATCCAGTTTTAGAAATTAACACACACAAGCGCCTAGTTTTTAAGGGGAAAGTTCTGATGCTTTTTATTTCAGCAAGCCGGAGTGGGTACACAAAACGCCATCGAGGCATCGTGCACCCGCTGTCTGTGTGCAGCTGCGTGCGTGTATGTGTGCGTTTTTCTGAAGCTTACAACCCATGCCTTCTGGGGAAACTATAAAAGGCATTTCATGAGAGAATCTAACTTTTCTTTTCCTCCGAGGCAAGAGCAGGTGAACCTCCGTGTGTATGTGTGTGCACTAGATATGCGTGTGTGTGTGTGTTTTGGGGGTGGGGGGTATTTTTTTTTCCCTCTGGCAGCAGGTGAGGGTGTGAGAGAGTGCTGGTGGCTTTGTTAATGGAATGCTGCCAGATGCTTGCAGAGGGATGGGGACCAGAGCATGTACGAGTGTGTGCAGGTGGATGGGCTGCTGCTGGGTGCGCTTGTTAAAGGACAGATTCACCAAAACCTCACAAAAGTATCATTCTTACACAAGTGCTGTCTAGCTAAGTGGCGAGTTTGGTTTTGTTTTCCCAAGTTTTAACAACACTGCCTCTACATTTTTTAGTCGTTACACTTTTAGGATGGTGTTGAAAAGATACACCAAGACTGGTATGGGCATTTGCTACTGCTGCCAAATATATCCTATTTATTTTCATGAAAACCTATAGCAAAGATGTGTTCACATGAAAAAGACATTATAAAACAGGCTTTTGTATGAACTAAACCTTTACAAATCTACAAATCTCCCATATGACTTTCTCTCCTTTCCATTCTGGCAGCTGTCCTCTTATGTAGTTACGACTGAGAAGCAGAGCGTTGTTATGACATTTAAAGCTAGTCACTTAATCTCCAACCCTCTTCCTTTCTCCCTTCCTCCATTCCCCATTCCCTTCTATCTCCTTCCAGACCCCTTGCTGGGTCAAACTGCTCCCTGAGGTAGCATTATGAAGCCAGGCAATGTGCAGAGTGATCAACAGATCCGGGCCCCACACTCCACTGACTTTGCGCTGCGGTAGAAACTCCTCACATCATCACACGTCCCACTAAGCATGAATCACCGGTCTACTATCCGGCCGACACTATACTGAGCTATGCAGTAATGTACTGTACTGTACACCCATCTGCTTCTAACTTTTCCTCATTGACCTTATTAGCAATGAGGGGAGGAGGAGAGATAAAGACAGACGGGGAGATGGAGCTCGCAGGTGGACAAGGACCTAATGGGAAAGTGTGGAGTTTGTAAAAGACGTAAGCGCATGCCCTCTCTTCTACACACACACACAAGCAGTGTGGTATGCTCGTCTAAAGGGTGTGTACTCTGTCATATCCTGTAATGGGTGTATATAAGCGAGTGTAATGGAGGTCGGGAAAAAGGCACGAGCATAAATCTACCCTGAAGTCTCTGATTAGGGCTCTGATACACATACACACTCATACACACACACAGCTTTAAATTCTCTCTCTCTCTCACACACACACTGCTTTAAGTTTAAGTGTTTCTGGCAGTGAAGAGGATCTGCCCGTGCAGAGGCCTGCCTCAACCCGCCACTTACTTCTCTATGTGAGTCTCCTCCATCGCTCTACATGCTCAGACCCCCTCCAGCTGAACCCCTGACCTGAGAGTGTGTTGGGAGAGACATTCCCACTACCCCGAGGGGACGAGGGAGCAAGGGAGGGAGGGAGAGAGAAGCGTAGATCAGAGAGATAAAGAATGCGTTTGCAGTAGAGGGAAATAAAAGGCCTGCTTTGCCTTTTAATTGGGATGGAGGAGAGAGGAGGGGAAATGGGACTCAACATGTTCCTGATGACTCTAGTGTACAAGTGTGTGTGTGTGTGTGTGTGTGTTTGTCTAAGAGGCTGACACCTACCTTTGTACTGTAATGGATTAGCTCACAGCAATCGTTGGCTGCATGTGTTTATGTGTGTGTCGGTTGTGATTGATGAGAAGAGAGGAGCCCGGGATGAGTCTTGTTTCGACACGTAGCTTTACTCAGATGTTCCCGAAAAGTTTAGCACTAATAACAATCAAAACCCTCCCTCCTTTGGTTCCTTCCCCCTTTTTTTCTGGGTGTGTGGAGTTCAAACGAGCCGAGCCAAATGCCCAGTGAGCTGGCTCGCAACTGCTGACTCTCAAGCTTTGTCCGGGGGATTGGCTCTGTCAGATTCCTCCTGGTCACAGCTCGTCAGGGCCGTAAAGCTGGACCTTGTTCCCCCTTTTTTTCTGCGAATGTGTGTGTGTGTGTGTTTGTGAGTGAGGGAGTTGTGTACAGTGTGTATTTATGTGTGCATCTGTGTTTACAGCAGCTTAGTGAGATAATAAGTCTTTATCATGTTATGCCTCATGTGGGAATATTTGCAGCGGTCCCAGAACGCCTGTTCTGTTTCCTCCGCCTTGCATCAGCTCGCAGGAACGCTGCTTATTAGGCAAAGAACTGAGGGAATAAGAGTGGGAGGGGGAGGAGGAGGAGGAGGAGGGAGTGAGCGGGAGGGAGTGGATGAGGAAAAAAAAAAAATGTCTGTACCAGTATCTACACTCCATCATCTATCTGCTTTCATCTGACTCTTGAATTATCTGTCTTTCTCCCACTCTCTCTATGCTGTCTTTCTCCCTCTGGTTATGCCTGGTAACTAGTGGCAGGTTCAACCCTGGAAAACATTAAAGTTTGCTCCCTGAAATAGAATCCAGCATCAGTTTGTTTCTGTGATCCTTCATAGTTCAATCAATATTTGTGAGTTAGAGAAACACTCCTCCCGAAGACAGATATCTGAGGGGTTGGAAGCTGTAACCTGTTTTGTAATCAGGAAACTGAATTTGTAGGAGCGACTGTTGACAATGAGCCGCTGTGTGTGGATTCATAAAATATTTGTTTTAGCTTTGACACCCAAAGGGGCTTTATTTTATTACAACTGACTGTCAGTAGCTTGAAAACACACATGAGAAAAATTACCCTGGGTTGCTGTCACGATGTCCACAAAAGAATCTATTTTCTGACAGTGGAGCAGCTAAAGGAATCATCTCTTAAAAGTCTGACAAAATGTTCAATTTCTTAATTTCAAGGGTTACAAGAACACTGATTATCATAACTTAGTTAACACCCACGCACGTATTTGTCTCAATCTCACCCTGCAAGCTCTTCTACATAAACCATGAACCTTGCCCGTAGGAAATCTTCTTTAACCCCAAACCCCAGAACAAACCAAACTATCAGGTCTGGCCTCTAATGTCTTCATTAATCATTCCTTAGGTGTGTGAAAGATGCAACCAAAAGCAAAACAAAACATAAATTATCTGCTACAACCAAGCGCCTAATGGCACTGTCAGCTCAGGTACAAAATAGAAATGATGGAATCTAGTTGTACAGCAAACTGCAGGAGATGGGAGAGTTTCAGGGCAGATTTCACTCCTCTCATTTATCCTGAGACTGAAGCAACGTCCTTTTGAACTTTCCCTGCAAATATTTCAACATTAAACCAAAGAGGCATGTAGAGACAAGCTAAAACGACACTATCTTGTATGCAATTCAACAAATAACCAACAGTTTATCATTTTTATATGTTTGAATTGCATCTGCATGACCACACTTCGAGTACTGCAAGAATTTCAGTAAGTTTTGGTGCTTCTGTCAGACACCAATGAGTTCAAAATTTAGTAATCCAGGTTAAAAAAGGAATACACACAAAGTATTGCTAACAACTACACTCATCTCTCCTGGCTCCAGAGGAATGACAAATATGGGAAGGAGAAGAGAGTATAGGAGGGATATCTGCGTGGCATTTCTGAGCTGACGTGTAGCCCTGTTAGCTTCAATAAAAGAGAATGAGGTCACAGGAAAGCTAAGAAAAAATCACACACACACACACACACACACACACACACACACACACACACACACACACACACACACACACTCCTTCCACAGGCGAGCACACACTTCAAAAACAAACGGCACAAACTCTTTTTCCACCTCTCCCTCTGTCCAAGTTTGGTTGTTTCCTCAGCAGCTGGCAGTTTCTGCATGCCGGCCAGATTTTGTATCAGGATACTAGAGTAAATCAACCAGGTATGGTCTTCCACGCAGCGCTAAAGCTAGCAGCTAAAACTGCACTGCTCCAGGCTACTCTGGCTGGCAGCCAGCGCTAACAGGTTGGCTAACAGCGAAAGGGCTAATGCTAGATGTCTGCGGCTGCCCTGGCCCTGCTCCAGAGCTAACAGGTGAACTCCATTATCCCACAGACAGATAGTCAGTCAGATGTGGGCCAATATCTACTACAGGCTGGCTGGCTGGCTTCAAAGAGCATCGTGAACCCGAGAGAAAAGCTAGCAGCACTGGCCTGCAGTCTGACCTGCAGCGTGCTGTGCAGCTGGCTAATGGAGAAGCCAGTGCTGTTGTTGGGGAGCAGAGAGAGAAGAGAAACAGACTCAGAGTGCAGATGATAAGACAAACCCCTGCTATATAAACATGAGGAATTCTTCTATACATCTGCAGGAGTGTCTGCCATATGGCCATCAGTCTGTCTGACAATTTAACTGAGTTTCGTGTGCGCACACAGCCTCCGCACGTGCATGTATCGACCGTACAGTTTGTAACCTGCCATATATGTTCTTTCCCCCTCTTCTCGGTCCATGTGTGCGCGCGTCCATGTGTGAATTGTGTGTCTGCTTGCCCGCCTGTGAAGACAAAGTCCCTGTTTACAGAGCCCATAAAGATTAGCCTCCCTCGGTCAGGTGGGTTCTGGAGCCATAGGTAAACACACAGCACATTCCGCACCGATGAGATCGCTCCGTATGTGTGTATGACCGGGGCAAACATACACTCCTGCCTTCACCTCGACCCTTCCTTTTAGAGTGCAGTAAGTGATTTACCAGCTCGCAGACCTGGTGTCTGTTCGAAAATACTGGAGACGCAGACACAAAGACACACATACACACACACACACACAAATATTTGTAGAGGGAGCAGACTTCATGCACACCTCATTTATCTGAGCCTAAAATCACGGGTTGTACATTCCTAAAGAGGTAAGGCCGGAGCGCGTGTGCATGTGCGCGCTCCACTGTGCCAGTTGGAAATCATCCTGTGATCATGAGGATGAAAAATCCCCACTCTGCTCCTTCATCCCCACCAGCACCCTACACCCTCTGTCCTGAGAGGTAATGGAGGCCCGGGTCAGGTTATGACAGTCCACACAGCTAATACTCAGATTGTATTTAACATGGTGGAACAGAGGTGAAGAGGGGAGGCGCTGGAATGGAGGGCAAGAGGGGAGAGGAGCCTGGTGAAAAAAAAAAGAAAAGGCAACGTGCCTTTATTTGGATCTGAAACCAGCTAGAGCGCCGCGGAGCAATTAGCAGCTCTGTCCTATGAGAGCTCTTTATTAGAATGACCTTCAGTGTGAGAGGGGATGGAGAGAGGAGGGGGAGGTGGAGTGGAAAGGAGGGAGAGGGAGTGGATTGGAGAAGAAGAAAGAAATTTGAAAGGGGCAGATAAAAAGGTGTCAGTGGGGAAATGGACAAATGACATGAAGGTGGAACAGATGAGTAAACCGAGTCTTAAGTACATTGAGATTTAATTTTCGTGTTTGCGCAACAGATGTGTCAAGCAGACGGTGTGTTGGTGAATTTGATCTGTTTGACCCTCAGGCCAACCCATACCAAAACCAGGCTGACATGGGGCGGCGAGAATTCTGAAACACGCGCAAGCAAACACCATTTTGAGTCTTCTCAGGTCTGACCTGTGAAGAATAAATGTGAACATCAATTAATCTTAAAAAATGTGGATTGCCATTCAAGCCATTTTTAGAGGACCCTTTCTTTTCTAAAATTCCCCTGCATCCTTGACTCTGACTATTTTTACCTTCACCAAATTAATTACTACCTATTCAACTTTGATTGAAGGGACATTGGATTTGTTGTATTTGCCTCCAGGTGGGACATCATTTTATGTACAATTAAAAATTAACATTACAAGACTGATAGAAGTCAAAGATTTAATTTTACCTGAGAATAGGCAACAACGCCTTAATATAGTATAGAAGGGTTACAACGGATGGATGAAAAAATGCTGATTAAAAATATAAATAAATAAATATCAAAGTGGACATGATATAATTTTATACATCGGCTTTCAAGTTGGGCACTTTGCATTTCCAAGTTAATTAATAGATTGGATCAGAGCGAGTTTAATCAAATATAATTGAATAAGTCCATAGTAAAAAGAAAAAGAAAAAAAAAAAAACAGGCCAGACTTTAAAGGAGACATGCAGGGAAAATGATAGCATGTCCACTTTCCAAATTAATTGAATTTTGGTACTTCTGAACTTGGTCCAAGCTGTTACAGAGGTAATTAATTCACATCATTTCCAAAAGTGCTAAAACAAGATGATATTATCCTTGAGCATTCAGTATGGATGCACACACACACACACACACACACACACACACATGCACACTTACATTTTGCCTTTAAAAAAGCCAAATAAAAACCCACACTGTTGCACTCCAGTGACAGTCTCTAATGTATTCCATGTAATTGTTAGTTTTCAGTTCTTCTTGCTCTTTTCTCTGTACTTTTGTCTTACAGGCCAATACTAAAATATTAATAATTTCTAAGGCAGTTCTCATTGTATTAAAAAATGTCTCCTTTATAATTTATCAGAGAAAGAAAAATCTTTGTTATAGTGACAAGCATGCTAATTAATAGAAGGAGAAGGCACATTGAGAGAAGTCATACTAATTTGGAGCGTGCTAATATTAATAGAATAATTTATGGCACAGTATAAATAAATTAATAGAGTATTTCGTTTGAAAAAGGGATGCCTTCAATTCAATTTAGGAGAAATGAGCAAAAAAAAAAAGTCTGCCTCTTGGACAAGGACATTAATAACAGTGCTTTATCACTAGAAGAGAAAAGGAAGAGACAAACTAAACATGCACTGTTCACTTTTAAAACACATCAATATTTCAGTCTGCTAATGAAATTTGGATGAGCAACACTTGTATTTTCCTGCCTTGCTATTTTCATTTGCTATTTAAGGACTCTCTTACAGGGAAATGTGTGCAGAATTAGCGAAAGGCTGAACATTATTACCCCTTATTAAGTAAAAAAGAGAGGCCTCTAACTCTTTTGGTAAACTAAACTGAACTGGTTTCATGTAAACTAACAGCTGAGCGTGTTTGGTAGGGGATGAGAGACACAGGGAAAGAGATGGAGAGAGAGAGAGAGTGTAACAAAGGCGAAGAGTGAGACGGAGAGAGAAGTGGACTGGGTCATTACCATCCTTATTACTCCTCATTAAAATACACCCATCACAAAGACATGCTGCTGCTGCTGTGTGTGTGTGTGAATGTGTGTGTGTGTGTGCGCATATGCATGTGACCGAGCGCACACGCACGTTTTCTGGAGTTCCTGTCGCGCACATGTGCGTCCTTATGCAAAAGTGACAAAAAAAGAACAATATAATTGGAGAAATGTACGCAGTAATAATAGGTATTCAGAAAATGATAATTCATATTAAACAGGGTGCACAAAGTCAGCCTCATTTGCATGTTTTAGATTATATGCATTTCAAAAGTAATTTCCGCAGGGCATATGAATGACATTAATTCCCGGGCGGGTTCTGCTATAGACCTCAAACTATCAAACACTCAAACATTTAACAGATGAAAAAAAAAAGAGGTAGCTGGTGCCTTGGCAAGGGGAGATTTCAAGGTTAAAGTATTTGAATGTGAATTTTTAAACTTCTGTCTTGGTTTGTTTAAAGTTGCACCACTGTGAGACCAAGAGTTGCATTAATTTGGAGATTCAGTGAGCCACAGATTTTTTTTTTTCTTACTCAGCTGTATATGTGTGTGTTCCTGTACCAGTCCGAGAAAGACACCTCCTCTCCTAATCCACCACCATTTCCTCAGCAATAAGCCTGAATCGCTCTGACTCACTTTTATGTGAGTCATGTGCTTGTGTCACTCCAGAACCAGACTAGGTCCAACAAAGAGAACGAAAAGACAGAGCTGCAAAAGCCCACGGTAATTGACCCCAACTGGTGGGGTGTGAGTGTGTGTGTGTGTGTGTTTGGTGGGGAGATGAAAAGGGAGAGAAAAGGCAAAAAAAAAAAAGTGCAAAGGATGACGGGAAGCAAGTTTAGAGGGAGGAGAACACGGGGAGAGCGAGACAGAGGGTTCCCTCTCCTCGGGAGGAAGACCCAGGGGCAGGAAACAGGCAGGATGAATGTGTGGAAAACTCTGGATGCCACGGACAACATTCCTCTCTTATTAGGGAATCTGGGCTGCGGCCACATTATAGCACTTGACTCATTACTGCGTTTATGTGTGTGTCTATCACGCAGACACACACAGCATCAATATGTTCTCCACCTGTTATTCTCGCCATGATTTGGCGAACGCACAAAGTCACAGCGTGAGGAGGAGAAACATCGGCGAGAGGGGAAAACTCCAGCGTTTAGTATGTCTGTGTCTTGTTTGTGGTTTGTCGTCATCTGTAAACAGAGCTGCTGCTGCGAGTATGTTAACATGTCATTATCTCATTAAGAATTGATGGCTTCTGCGCAGAGGGTTCAAGCTGTTTTGTATGTGAGCGTTTCGGCGACTGATGTTGTACAAACACAACAACCGCAAAGCACACAAGTCCTACAGCGCAGCTGTGGCAGACAGAAAGGAGGTAAAGTTCGTGTTGCTTTAAAGCACATTCAAACACCATGAAGATACAGTGATGGGAAAAGGTGGCACATCTACATTCCCATATCTACCCCCCTCTTCTGTCACCATGTCCTCCTGCACACCTTCATTCTTTCTGATGTTTAAGCACCCTCTCTGATGTCAAGCAGACTTCAGAGAGAGAAAAGAAGGGAGTGAGGAGGGTTACTCAGGAGCATATCTAGGGGTAATAAACGAGGACTAATTGGGGCCTGGGAAACATGTTTGTTTCTTCCCTCTTTTTCATTTTTTCCCACCCAGTCACAGCAGATCTGTTCATCTGCAGAGGAAGAGCTGGGCCAGCAAAGAGGATTAGGTTCTGTAGGACACAAATCGTTGCACGAACATGCACGTATAGATGTGTACTCACATGGATAGATTTAGCATGCCACAAGGCAGCTGAGGCTTGTGTGTGTGTGTGTGTGTGTGTGTGTGTGTGTGTATCGAACAAGATCTGTCTGTCTTCACCAACTGACCATCAGGGTGCAGGGCCCTCTGTTGGTCCATTCTGCTTTATTGATACACCGCTGCTCAACCTATTCAGCGGCAAAAAGATCTCCTACGGCTGCAGCTCAACATCCGATCAATGTTATGGGCAATGCAGACAAACTGCTGCTAAACAGACCAGCTCCTGCCCTAAAAAGCCCACCGCCACACCGGCTCCCCTAGGCTCAGATCGTTCGCCTAATGGAGGTCTCTGCTGGGGCCCCTGAAGGCCTCCTAACCACCAAACAGGCCCCTGAGGATTCAAACACTCTGCTCTCTATCCTTGAATAGTTTCACCATCAACGCCTTCTTCTTTAATCAGGATACCGCCTTGTCTGCATGTTTGTGTGTGTCTACAACATTTAAGCTGATATGGAGTGTATTATGTTTCAACTACTGTCTGTAAAAAGTCCACTTTGACTAATTCAGGTAGCGAGAAAGGCAGAAAGAACCCCTCCCAACACACACATCCTGTGAACTTTGTAACTGGGATCCCTCACCACATGAATCCAGACCAGTCATTCTCCTCGCCTCTGCATTTGTCTACTTTAATAACAGTGAAAATAGCAAGAAAAGAGGAAAAAAAGGTGGGCAATGGAAAAGAACCTGCATATTTGTCATTTCCGATTGTTTACGTTTTTCACGGCAAATTGATTTTTACATCTCCTGTTACTGGAAGCTCTCTAGGCTCAGCTGCCAGGCCTGTCTGGCTCTGGCCTCGGCTGCCAAGCCCCGTCTCTGCACAGGCTTTATGACCTGGCTCAGGGGAGGACTTTTAAGGCTTTCAACTCACAAGTCATTTCAATGATACAATACTGCTTTTGTCCTAACCACCTTTGTTGTTTTCTTTCTCTCTCCCTCTCTCTGCCGCCTCTCACTCTCTCTTTTCTTTTCTTCTCTTTTCATCTCTCACTCCCTTAATCCTCTCTGCAAGTGTGAGCGGCCTTTCTTTTTTCTTGTCCAAACCTGCTTGTTTGCTGAAGAGGTGGACTTGTTGCATCACGACAATAAAACAGAAAAGGCGTGCTTGTAGGAAGCACATATATTGAAACAGTTCAGCTGACATTTAAGGCTTTCTGTGGGGTGAGCCTGCTTGAAGCAGGATAGAGTTTCTCTGTGGTGGCAGGGCGGTGCGCTGTGGTTCAGATCTTCCTGGGTTTTGGTAGGGCTGAGGTTTGCCTGCAGGACCTCCAGTGAGCCCGGCAGCAGGTCTGAGCTAAACCAAGGCCGGAGCCAAAAATAGTCCTCGGGCCCTAATGGTGTGTTTGTAAGGGCGAACCCAAACAAACAACCTGTAGTTTGAACTGTAGGACCGAGTGAAGCTCAGACCAGATGCTGTCCAACAGGAGAAACACACACAAACACACAGCGTGTATGTATACAGAGGAGCTGGGGCTGAAATAGACTTGTGGCAAAAAGACGTGCACACCACTAGTGTATCTCCAAGACCGGAGTCAGGACTTCTGCGCACATGTCTGGCCTTCTGCCTTGCACACAGCAGCTCTGTGAAAGTGGGTCTAAGGGATTTCTCTCCATATTCATACTAATGAGAGAAAACGGCCAGAAAACCTCTTCTGTAATTACTCCCTGAGGAGCAAGGTTTCAGCACCGCCATGGTGCATAAACAAATACACATTCACACACCCACACTTATGTGCCCACACACACTTACACGTACAGTAACGGCACGAGGCTGACATTTTAATGCGCTCACCTGTTGAAAAGTGTGTGTGTGTGTGTCACAGACTGTGTGAAAGTGAATGTGAGAATAATACCGGTGAAAATATCATTTAATGACAGAAGGTAAGGACATGTGCTAATTAGAGCTCTGCCCAACAGGTAATGTGTGTGTGTGTGTGTGTGAGTAGAAAAGGGCATTTCATAAACAACATTAACACTATTCACCTCACAATTAGACTCTTTTCATCTCCACCCACACACAGTGGTTGATCTTAGTCTGATCTCTAGTATCCACAAATCTGAATGGAGCTTTGACATCAAAATATGAGCCCTGTTTTATTTGAGAGTGTGTGTCTGGGTGTGTGTTTGTGTCAGAGCAAGAAAGAAGGAGACAGACAGACAGAGTGAGAGATAATGCATCGCACATAAGGTCAGTGTTTTTATGAATTTGCAGTCTTTGTCACACTGCATCAGTTCTGACTTTTCTGGGTTTAATAGAGCTTTTAATTCATCCAGTGTTAGCCTGCAGCAGCTTTCAACAACTACAATAGTCGTATTCAGCACACACACACACACACATACACACACACTCTCTCTCGCACATACTCACATTATTTGAAATCCTGCTAACGCTCAACCAAAAGATATACGACAAAATCAGGCAATCATTTTTTTCCGTATGAGTGAATAGTTAGTCAGGAAAAGGAGCCTTTGTGGCGCACACACATACACGCACACATACACTCCCTGCCCAGTGTTTGTGGTGGCGGAGCACAGCTGGTAACATCTGGATGTATTTTAGCAGTGTTTACATTTCCAAAATGCTGAAAAACTACACAGAAAGAGAATAAGAGACAGAGACAGGATTCTGAAAAACACTGCAGGTGCCAGAAGAGTAATAAACCAAGGAGTGAGTCTCAAAAGAAGATTGTTTCAACTCTATCGCAACCACACACACAGGCTCATAACCATTGGCCAATTTCAGTTATTGCCATAATCCTGGTCCAACAATAACTGACATCTGGTGCACTAATTGGCAGACTACAGCTTCTCTGTCTGAGTTTGTCCCTTCAAGCTTCCCATACTGAAGCTGCGAGGATAAAATCAGAGATTTTTTCACATTGGCTTCCCTACGCGCTAATCAGCTGACAACCCCGCACACACAACACAGGAGTTTTTCCTGACGCACACGCAGACATACAGATGCAGGACTCCAGACACACACACACTCACACTCAGAGTCACAAAACAGCTGCGTTTTCATTCAACTTTCCCTAAATGACGAAAACACAAAAACAGTTGGACTTCATTCAGCCTAATCAAAGCTGACATCGTGTACATCTGTAACATGACGTCAACAGTGACACAAACACACACATGCACAGCTTGCAAACACACACACACACACACACTCTGGAGGATGTTATTTCAGTGATTGGGTGTAATTTACTAGCGTAAGTTGAAACCAGACAGGGCAACTGGAGGGATCCCTGCTAGATCAAAAACAAATCATTCACGTAGAGGATTGGTGGAGGTACACAAAGTCTGGCACACACACTCGCAGGGGTATTAACAGCGCTCATTTGTGTGCTTTTGTGTGGAAACATAGGTTCAGATAGGTTGCTTGAGGTGTTACAAAATGGCAATCTGTGATGAGTTTTTGAATATTATCCCACGCAGAGTGTCCTTGGGATCACTCTAATCCTCTCAGGTATGCCACTTTCCCATGGTCCAACCTAACCCCCGCACATACACACTCGTGCACACACACATACACACACATACACACACACACAGGGGAGATTATTAAAGCAACCTCGTGGCACACAGAGGTTCCTGATGGATTTAACATCAGGGATGATTGTTAACTTTTAGGACTAAAAAGGACTTGGAGTGACTCCTGAGAAAAACCGAGCTCTTAGCCAGGCACACGGATCACATGACAGCGAGGCCGCAGCAGCAGCAGCAACAGCAGCAGCAAGGGCCCCTGGGAAAAACTGTGCGGTGCCATCTCTCCGATCACACGGACACGGGAGCTGAGCCATAATGACTCTGTGCCGCTTTATCATATTTACGTATGAATACATACCGTCCACGTGTGCAGAAGGTTGAAGTGGTTTCTGACATGAATGTGTGCATCAGAGTCAAGTAGAGGAAGAAGAAAAAAGATAATCAGCGTGAAATAAATTAAACCTATTAAGAGGAACATATGCTCAAGGTGACAGAAGAAATTAATTTGGCTTAACTATTGAGACCCATACCTCCACCCTGCTATAGGATTTCTACCAAACTAATTATCACGCTCCACTTTCAGAAATAATAAGGAAAGTACTTAATAGGTTCGGATTCACCCCTGCATTCATATGTCCATTTAACATCCCTGCTTTCATGCTCGCACACTCTCTTCTTAATGCAATTTCACATCAGTGATTTAAAATAGGGAAAGGAATTATATTTCAAGTGGTGTCAGGATTAGAATATACAAGCAGTGATATTAAAATACTGTAAGGTCTTATTGTGTGTGTGCCCAGCCTTTCTGAGTGGCTGAAGCGGAGGTAAAGATGTTAAATACTGTTTTTGTCACACTTTAAGACGGCTGAGGAATTACAATGAAACCACAGATCTCTGATTAGTCGTCTCTCGCTGTATATTAATTTGGTTTCCTCTCTGCTTAATGCTGGTTAGGAGTTTAATTTTTAAACAGTGCACAGATATGAAAAGACCCCCAAGTGTGTGCTCCGGCTCCAGCGAGCGAAGTCTGTTTATCTAGTCAGCCATTCCTTCCAATTATAACAACATCCAAATGCAACTATTGTTTCATTTCAAACATTCTTTAAAATTAAAATCACTTTTTTTTGTGTTTTTATGCCCTTGTTGCGCATCCACTGGATTAGCATTTCAGCGCCTCAGGCTATGGAGAAAGTGCGAGGCAAAATGCAGGTTGGGCCAGTTTTTGTTCATTATCAGTGCAACAAAAGTTAAGAAGAAAATAAATGTATTAAAGACCTTTAGATGAGCTTGATCAAAATTGTTTTTCATTACTGTTTTTTCCAAAGAATTAAAATGCAATGAACATGAATCATGTATCATTGGATCTTTGCTACTTCAGCTCGCTTTTATTTAAAAATGCACTCTCCTGTCCTATTCTTATTTGACTACATTTCACACCAAATAACGCTGACATGACCCACACATCTCCTCAAGTCTCTGGAGGCATCATCAGCTGAGCTGCTGTCAGACATCTTTAAAAACTCAACAGAAAAAGACTTATAAACATACGGAGACACTTGTAGGGAGAGGTCTGTAAAGTGCTTTGGTGGTTTTCTATTAAACTCTCAATGAGGCGGGGGAGAAAAGGGGAAGAGGAGTTCACATTATCTAAGAGAATTCCAATTAACACTCTCCCCCTCAGTAATTAGCTACTAAAATAGCTAACGAACAAACCCAAAATCCCAACCCTGACGCCACCGTGTTTCCTAATTAAATCTGAAATCAGGAGCATCTGATCCAGAGGAGAACGTGAGTGTCAATGACAGACCAGCTGGTCAAAATAAGCCAGAAAAATAGACGCGTTCTTCCAGTTCTTAATTCAGAAAGAAGAAAAAATTCGGCCTTCCCGTTTGTTATAATCCCTTATGCTACTTTTCGGTTTCACTTTTGGACTTGTAACTGCGATCTATTGAAAAAGAAAGCTTGCAGTAAAAGAACTACAGTAGGGCTAATCGATAGCGAGGAAAAGCTTATACCATGTACCTCAATGAGGCATAAAACTCAGACAAAAAAGGAAAGTTTAAAGATAAAAGATTTCTGAGAGAGATCGAGGTAAAAAAAAAAAAAAATTCAAGAATAAAAGATTACAAAAAGTTGAAGTGCAGGACCAGAGAGGCAGATATCTTTAAGCCGCCTGCTGCTCATTTGCTCCTTTAACTCACTGGTCAGTTCTTCCACTGTTTTATGCAAACAGATGAGGCCTTTTCTTGTTCTTTTTCCAAAGCTTTTTTCTTTGGAAAACGGTGGCTTCTTGGCCTCTGCTGTAGCGTCAGCAAAGCGTCTATTAAAACAGCATGTGTCCCAGTCTGCAGCACACACACACACACACACACACCCTCAGAAACACACACACACACACTCTCTTAGCACTTTGACATTCGCTGGTGAACTTTTAACCTCTCTGCTGGGGCATCTTGGTTAAGGTGTGCTATAAAAGGTCCACATATACATCAGATATGTGGATAAAACAAATACAGTCAGTGGAAGCTATCAATGTGAGCTGCATTAAGATGTTATATATCTTGAACTACCATCAGTGAAAGGTGCTGATGGGTAACAAGGCTGAGATAAACCCAGCAAACATCCCACCTGGCCATAAGGTGGGCTGTAAGATCGCATTTTAATAAAACCAGCATAATTCATCTGCTTTTCAATATACACATGGCAGCCCGGTGACAATATGGCTGCTTCAGCAATAGCTTTTAATATACTGAGATACCCATCAGGTAGATTTTACACTGATTTTTTTAAAGGCAGCACCGCCCCCCTCGAACACACACATTCTCAGTCACACACACACAAAAGACACAGTGGCACATAATAAAAAACACATGCTGTCACACACTGATCTGTATCTGGACAAGTCAAACTGTGATAAAGTCACTCTTCAACTCCAGCAATCGATGGAAGTAATTTATTTACCTCACCAGGCAATTTCTGCTCTGTCTTCAGAGAGGAGGAGAGGGAGAAAAGGAGAGTGAGAGAGAGGGAGATTTGGCAAGCATGTGTGAGTGGTGTGTAAATTAATCCAGCAGCAGTGTGATCCAGAGTCATGTTTAAGTCCATAAAACAAGAGGAGGTTAAAGCAGCTCACATCAGACATACACACATCAGGCAAAGGTCCAACACCAAAAAGGAGAACACCTCTCCCACAACTAGAAAGGACTTCAAGCGTCATCTCAGTTCCATTAATATGACGTGATATCCCCGGATGCCACTAAAAAAAAGGGAAAAGGAACAGTTAAGAGTTCCATCTTCTCCATTTTTCTTTTCTCTTTTGCTCTCTTTCCATTCAAAAGCAACAGAAAGAGAGAGAGAGAGAGAGGCCTGTCCACGGTGCTTAACTTTACCTCAATGAAATAAAAGGCACTTAACTAAGCCTCAATGATCGATACAAACACCACTGCTGCTGCTGCTCACACACACACACACACACAATGGTACACGCACACACACAAATACACACTTATCCTGCCTCCTCAGATGCTCATGCATATGCATGTCCATTGTGATTTATGCATCCTGGCGGGGGTGTGAGCCTATCTGAGAGCAAGGCCAACACACAGGTCAGCTCATTTGTAAATCAGTTGCCTATTTATGGATGCGTATGTGTGAGTGTTTGTGTGTGTGTGGATGTTTGTGCCAAAAAATTAGAGTGTATGGGTAGAGGTCAGTGATGGAAACAGGCTCATAATCACTTTAGCAGCTCCATTCATTATATTTATTGAATTCTCTGCAGCTTATGGTCTCAGGGATTATAAATCAGACAAGTCCTACACTAGGAGTTGGTATCTGTTTCTGTGTGTGTGTGTGTGTGTGTGTGTGTGTGTGTGTGTGTGTGTGTGTGTGTGTGTGTGTGTGTGTGTGTGTGTGTGTGTGTGTGCAGTGTGTGTTTAGTCATGTTCATTGACTGCTGACTAATCCTGCCAACCCTGGCGTTCTGACCCTGCTCTCCGCTTAAGGAAGTCACCAAACTTTCTGACCCCCGCTATTATTCCCAAGAAGGTTGTGGAAAAGCCTTGCGAAAAAAAAAGCCTCACCACTAGAGTGGCTGACAGTTAACAGCGTCTGTTCTTGTGCATTGGATTATGGGTAAATGAAAAGACAAAATCAATGTCCACAGCGGTGTTGGGGGTTTTAAAGTGTGTAAATGTACACCATAATCCCAGAATACAGCAACACAGAGTAAAGAAAACTGAGTGCGCTCTCGTTTGTGGAGGTTCAGTCGTGTTGCTCCACCCTCCCACCCGCCTCCTTCTCTGAACAACAGATTTGGGCTAATAGGGCAGCTGCTTGTCCCCCCCCCCCACCCTCCCTCATCTCCACCCTTCCCTCAAACCCGGCTATGCTGCTCCCCCTGCAACCCTTCCCAAAAAAAGCCCAGGAGGAAGCCTGTTGTTTTCAACTTGTTTTTGACACGGCTGCAAGTGGAAAAGTTCCAACTGTTGGAAAGCTCATCCAAGAAAAAAGTTGTTTTTAATTTGTCTGCTGTGTTTTTCCTTGAGTGTTGCATGGGATATATTTTCCCAGATGATTGAAAAGATAGCGATAATGGGGGAAAACTAAATGTACCAAAAGGCTGTCTGTTTATCCATCTATCCATTTACTCCACTCTCCGTCTTCGCTTCTCTGTTTTTTTCTGCGTTGTCAACACAGGCAACTGTATCCTAGAAATAAACCCAGCATTAGGCCAGCCAGCAGCCATGGTTTGTAACGTCATCACTCACAAACACAACAGTCTGTACGCCCAATAATGCAAAAACCGGAGAGCTCAAGACGGGAAACACCTACAAAAAAAGGAAAAAATGAAAATATTGCAAGCTATTGCAACACAAAAAAATAACACCAGGAAAAACTCGACTCAGACAAAAAACCCTTTAAACACACAATCAATCCCTCTCGGCGTGTGTAAGTGAGCTCACAGAGATGTTTCAATGCATTAAAAATTACAGCGAGCGCACGCCCAATCACATCACATCAGACAGCAGGGCCTGACCTCCGTGTGTGAGTGTTAGTGTGTGTGTAATTGTGTGTACGGCGGTGTTTGGTGTAGGGTGTGCTCGTGTGTGTAACTGGAGCCAAACTGTAAGCCATATGACACTTTAATGCCCCCACCACCGCCACTCACCCCCTCGCATATACATACACAAACAATCGCACGCACACATGCACTCAAGAACACCCTTACTGCGAGCACGCACACACACACACACATATACACATGTACGCACGCACACACAGGCTCCTCTGTACAAAAAAAAAAAAGCCCCTCCACTTCATTAGGAAAGTAAACACAAGTGCTGTCTGAAGTGGCTAATTAGGGACTAATTACTCCCTGCTCGTTACTAATGCAAATTAGATTACGCTGCTTAACTTCCTCGTGTCCACAACGCTGCTGTTAATTGAGGCCTTTTGAAATTAAATTACCCGCTAATTAGCATATCAAAACCATTAATTCTGAGCAAGGAGGGGGGGAAAACAACAACAAATGCCAAGTTTTGCTAATGCGTTTTGCTAATTGAATATGTACGCTCAATACACTGGGTTTGTGCCAGGAATACCTATTCAGCTGATCAGCTCACTGATGTATGTGTATACGCGTGTGTGTATTTGTGCTATGTGTTTGTGTGCGTGTGTGTAGGCAGGCAGACTGAAACAGCACGCATCATAAGAGCAGCGTATAATTAAAGGAACTATTCCATCTCTCCAAACGCTTTGTCAATATTTCCCTCTGAAGGCACGACTCCACTGATGTTCAGCGCGCGGGGAGCAAGGGATACAGCTGAGTATGAGAGGGGATGGATATTCATCTCATGAGAGGCAGCATCTGAATGTGGAGTGTGTGTGTGTGTGTCTGTGTGTGTATGTGTGTGAGGTTGTTGGTGTTTGTCCAGCTCTCTTTGAAGTAAGGAACTCTGTCTCTCTGCTGCCCCCCTAAAGCCCTGGACCCCCTGCTCGTTTTTTTTTTCTCCACACCCCTTTCTATCTCTTTAACTGGACCCTCATCACCTCCGCCACAATACCTGTCCAATTAGAGCAACACACACACACGCACACACATCCGCATACACTCATAGAGATTTTGCAGCCACTACTAGGTGAGCTATCTTACCTTTCCCTCAATCAGAGCTGAAACAGATTTTTTTTTTTTGCTCCTATTTCTAACTGAATAGATGATTTGAAACTTTGCGGATTGGAAATGGTGAGCATATTCATTCTCCTGCTTATGAATAAGAGAGGAGACACAGCGAGCAGCCAGGAGCTATTAGCTACTTTAATCTGCTGACGAAATAAAAGAATCACACATCTAAGAGATCCATCTCAGCTTTGCATGTAAAACCAGCAGAAATAATGTCATTCTGAACAACTCCCCTTTCCCTTCTTCCTAAATATCTATCCAATCAGGCAGCGTGAAAAGCCCCATTCAGGTAGGCCCTTATAAAAAGTTTCATCTTATTACGCTTTCCAACTTCTCGTTTCATTATCCATATAATGGCAAATGAAAAAAAACCAGTGGTAAAAATTGAGAAGTAGCCATACAAAAAAATTAAATAACCATGATAATTAGATGTAAAGATATTATAATTCCTTTAACAGGATGCATAGAAACTGCTGCTCGACAATATTTGCCCTAATTGCCAGAATTATCATATTAACCAGTTACCATTTGAGTAAGTTGATTAAAAAATTGATTATTCGTCTATTTCTTTTAGGAGTTTCTTAATCAAAATCTTACATCCTTGAAAAATTAATTTGAAGCCGTTTCTTATCAGTTAATTAAATCGGGTTGGAAGTCATTTTTTTCCGCGCGGCATGATTAGAACGGTTCTGTTCTCTTCTGTTCAGACACCATGACGTTAGAGGGGGAACTTTTCACTGTCTCATCAAACATTCACAACCACAAGAATAGGACTTCTTTGAAGGGCCCGCCGCCTTTTTTTCTCTCTCTCTCCCTTCCAAACCTCTGCCTTTCTGATAAATTGTGCTACACCCAATAGATCTTTCTTTCTCGTTAACACATTCTCATTAACGGACAGAGAAAGCAGAAAGGGAGGGGGGGGGCAGAGGAAGGGATAAAGGGGGAGGTGGGGGGGGGGGCAAGAGGTGGGAAAAAACAGGGCAGGAAAAAAAACAGAACCAGTGGAAGAGATAAAGTCAACGGGAGAAATGAATACACTGACAAATTTTTACCACACAATGAGAAAACCAAATAATATAAAGACAACACAGGCGCACACATACAGTGTTGCCTGGGTGACGGCCTTGGGGTGGCCTGAGCTCAGACTAAACAACTAAGCCAGAAGCTAAAACAAAACCTGCCGTCTCTACAGAAACTATCCTCTGACCACTTCTCAACACTTTCTTTGCTTTTTCATTGTGAAAAACAATAAACACAGAAAACTATAAGGCAGGTGAGAATTGATTTTTCTTGTCATATAATAGATTTTACTACGCTCTGTATCAATTCAAATGTGCAGCTTTGCAGCCTACTCATCAGAGAGTGACTTCACCTCAGAAAACTAGTTTTCTATTTCTGGAAGAAGACTAATTATAAAGCTGTGCCCCCTGGGAGAGAAAAGCCCCTCTTGAAGGAGAGAGAGAAAGAGAGAGAAAGAGAGAGAGAGAGAGTGAGAGAGGAGGCAGAGAGTCCATTCAGCTCAGCTCCAGCATCAGTGAAATAGAAGTTTGTCTCTTTCTCTCTACTTCAGTGAGCAGCTGAGCAGAACCGAACAGATACAGTGTGCTCCACTCATCTGTCCATCCTCTCCGGCTCCTTGGGGAGGTATGGGAGGATTGGAGAGAGGGTAGGAGGAATGAAAAGAGGGAGGGGGTTCAGGAGGAGAATTAAGAGGAGAATGAGTGAGGATACAGAGCAGGATGGTGAGTTGCTCTGATTGGATAATAAATGATTATTAGAGCCCGAGTAGTAAAGTTACATACACGAATCTCAGCACGTCATCAGCCAATCAACGCACTTGCTCATCAACCAATCAAAGACATCAACCCAGGGGTGCTGGGGTAGAGGTGTGGGGGCTTTTCCCCTTCGATCAGCTTCTCTCTTAATGTATTTCTCTCTCTCTTTCTCTCTCTCTCTTTTTCTCTTACAAAACGTCATCCTGCCCTCATCTTTCTCCGTGGGAGACAGAGAATTCTCAAAGCCACAATTACCACACAGAACTATCAATTTCCTCTTCTATTAACCCTGTGGGGAGAGAGGAGACGAGAGAGAGAAGAAAATGGGATGAGAGATTCAAATTTGGGGATGAAGAGGGCCCACCTCAGGCCTACTCGTCCTCCTCCCCCCCCCCTCTCTCCCCCCAAAAAGATGCAGTCATGCATTTGGGCTGGGGAGAATTGCACCTCATAGGGATGAACTTGACCCCACCAATGAGGGTCAAATAAGTTACTATACAGAAAAGCCCCCCTCCCTTCCCCCCGATCCTCATTACCAGCAAATAGGCCTGGCCACTGCTCCTCTGATGCGGGCTGTATGTTAAAACCACAGCGCAGAGCTCTGGGAGAGATCGGCAGAGAGTAAGGAAAGGAGGATGGAGGGAAAAGAGAGGAGAGAAAAGAAGGAGGAAGGATAAGGAGGGGGCGTAAGCCAGGAGTTGTGTTTCTTAGATCAGCAACTATAAGGGCCTGAACGCTGTAACAACAGACGACCGTGACGGCATGCCTGCTCTTTGTGCTCCGCTTCCCTCTCCTCCTCTTCTTCTTCTTCTTTGCTTTCTCGCTCGCACACCCACCTCCTCCCTCTCCTTCCACCAATGCCTCCACCCACTCTCCGAGCCAGCCCCAGGGGTAGCCGCTCAAACCATGCCCCAGCCTTCAGCAAAAAGTTTCGAAGGCAAACTTTTCACAAAGCCCCCAAGAAGCCGAACGCCTGCCTGCCTGACACCATGAAGCATGGCAGGGTTTCATTGTCACTCACACTCCACACTTCTGTCCTCACTTTTTGCACTTTGAGTCCTTCTTTCCTCTCTCGAGTTCACTCCCTGGTTTGTGCTGACTCTTTTCCCAGGCTAGCGCACTGATTCTGACTGACCTTTAGACAACGGAAACCTGCAGCAGGAGAAGTTACCGATTAGGGCTACAGGTCGCATGTGGCAGTGCTGACCTTCACTGGGGGACTGGCATTGTGGTGTCCGCTATAAAAACAAACCAAAAGCTGCTTTTTAGTTTGATAACAGAGCGCTTTAAACTGGAGCAAAAGTTATTTTCCCAACACCTGCTGATTTGGACAAAAAACAAGCATATGAACCTTTTTTGTATCATTTCACGTTGGTTTTGTTTTTAATATTTTTTATAAGCGTATTATTTTTAGATGGTGTTTTCCCCTCATGTTTCTATGTGACTGCAGTTATTTTTATTTTAAAAGTCTTGTCTTTTAAAATTTGACAAATTCCACTGTTACTGCCCTGTTCTCTAACTGTACAAAAAAATAAATGGACTTCTAGTCATTTAAATTCTGTTTTAATGCGATCATTTTTCAGGGAGAATAAAGTTTCCTTCAGACATTTTAACACTAAATGAAACTAAGAGTGTTGAGAGGGTTATTGATCAGTCCCGAACTAAGTCTTTCCATTTAGGTCATAAAGAATAAATGATTTTTATCGATATGAGGCCTGAGAAGAGGCAGCAAATGTTAGAGGTAAACTGTGATGACAGCTTGGTTGTAATGAAGAGGCTGAGGGAACGCAGAGCTGCGATAATTAGAGACAACAGGCATGACAAGGAGAGGAGGAGAGAGGGGAGGAAGAAGGTAGTTGAGAGGAGGGGAACGATGGACAGGAGAAAGTGCAATAAAAGAAGAAGAGAGAAAAAAAAAAGGGAGAGAGACGGCGTTGAGTCCCTCGGAGTGAGCGAGTACTGAAGCTCCGACAGGGAAAAGCACACCTCCCTGCCAACCACAGACCAGATCTAAAAGCATATGTGCGTGTGTTTGTGAGTACTCCTTTGAGTGACGCATAAACACTTCTTTCTGATACTTTTTTTTTTTATATTACTCATGTAAAAAGGACTGATGTTTTTTTTTCGTTTTTTAATAGATCTGTACGTCTCTTTATGAGTTTTCTTCTCGAGGAGGGAAAATGTGTGTTGAAACACAGTGTTGTGCCTTTGTAGATACAGTGTAAAAGTGAACAGTGACAGCAGTGTATTCGAATGATGTTTTTTTCTCCTTTAATCCAGGAAAAATAATTTTAATTAATTGTTAAAAGAAATACTAATGGTGTTTTTTATTTCAAAACTTCAATTGATGCACTGAAGTTGAAAATGAAGAACTGTGGAAAAATGGTAACTTTAATTTTTCAATTAACCTGAATCTGATACCAGTAAATATATTTGAAGGGTATCATGTGCAGCTTGTTGGAGCGATTTGAAAATGACCTCAGCTTCAATTTGATGTAAAAAAAAAAACTGAGAGCATTTTTAGGATGACAGATGCACACAACTTTTCCCACTTTTTTAACTGCTCGTTTTGACTTTTCCTTTTCTCTCACCCCCTGACCAGAATTCAGCCAGCGCACAGCTAACGCTTCTTCAAAGGCCAACAGCACACAACACAAACACACACCCACACAAATACACACACTCTGTCTCCTCTCTCCTCAGGAACATGAGAGCCGGCTCTGATTCTCAGGCTGGTAAAGCTGTGGTGGACAGCAATCTTGATCTGGCAGGATTAGGCTACTTTTATTTCCCTGAGAGCCATGGGGAGGACGAGAGAAGGAGGAAGGGGGGTGGAGAGTGCATGTTGAGGGAGGCGAAGAAGAAGAAGAAGAAGAAGGTGGGGCTGGGTGGGGAGGGGGTTGGGAGGGTGAAATCCTTCGACAAATGTCAGACAATGACCGGTGACCGCAGATACACACACATACCAGCTCAAACAGCCGTCAACACGAGAGGAGAAAGCTAAAAAAGTGCCACCCAGAAAAGAGACTCATCACTCTCCATCTCATCAGCGTGAGGAAGATGAGATGAGGGGCAAGACGGGAGCAAAGGAGGAAGAGGGGAAGGGAGGGAGGAAGGAAAAGAGGGAGGGAGTGAGGGGGGATTACACAATTATTCAGATAACAGCTGGGTATAATCTAGTGGCAGATGTCTCTCGGTCAACAATGCCCACCACACACACACACAAGCGTGTATGTGTGCGCACACACACACCAACAGAGTCTCAGAGTGGAAAAACGGCCACTGATGAAGCAGAAAACAACCAGCTAACAACACACGCGGAAAAGTTTTTTTTCTTTTCAAAATCAAGTGAAAGAATCTGTAAAAATACGGCCCGCTTTCTCCACAACGATGAAATGTCTTCAAAAATACACACAGGTTCGGAAAGAGACGACCTGTTTGCTTTTCTTCTCCTCCGACAGCCGTGTGAAAAACAGAACCTAAAACCTGAGGAATTCTGCGCGAGGAGGAGAGAGGTGCGGGGGTCAGGCGCTGATTGACAGTTAATTGTAGTTGCACGGGAACACACATATATGCACAATAAGCGCACACACACTCACATGAAAAACAGCATCCCTCTCTCTCTCAACTGTTAGCGATCTCCAAGACTCCTGATAGTGGCTTTACATCCCCCCCCCCTTCCTCGCCTCCTCCCTCCTTTACTCCCCTCTCACAAAAGGCCACTATAGAAGCCATAGTGTCTGCACCCCACTGGGCAAAGCCTGAGCAGTCTCTTCACCTTCAGAGCTGCGACACAAGAAAGAAGAGAAGAAGAAAGGGATGAGGAGGAGGAGTGGCACAGTAGTTGACAATGACAGACAGGCGGACACATTGCAAATTTGTATTCATTATATCCACTCTTTAAATCATCTTTCTCACAGAGTTTTGGGAAACTGGATTTTTCTGCGTCTTTTTCCAACAAATCTCTATCTTAGTGGAGGAGCGGAAGAAGGCGCAGACCGAGGGAGCGAGCGGCAAGAGCGAGCTGTGTCAATCTGTCATCCCAGGCAGTCCATTGTGATTTGGTTAAACACTGGTTAACAGCTCGTCCTGTCAGGGGATGGATCATCCCGCGGCGCCTCACATGCTAATAGCTTAAGTAGGCATCCCATGTCCCCCGGAACTAATACCATAAATACTAATACCATAAAAGAGCAGTGCAAGGCAGCGCTCCAGCCTCACTTTCGCCTGTGTTAGCCAACATCCCAATACTTTACGGATTAGAACCCATAATGAGGTACATTTAAATGGTTATTACCTTGCCGGTTCAGGAAGAGATACAAGGGGAAATGCTGCATTGCTAATTTGCTTTCATCGTATGCTAATGTAAAGTCATACTCATTGATGAAAGTCAAACAGTCTGACGCAGAGAGAAATCAGATTAACAGCAGATCTGATAAGTAAAGTTAAAAATCAGGAAACTAGGAAAAGAGCAGTGTTGTCAGCAAAGAAATGTATATTTTAAAAGATTTCGCCAAATTTCCTGTCAGCGGTTCTTTAGGGAACAAGGTGTCGAACTGCCTTTGCACAGTCTTTTAAGTTCAAGGAGCTGCATATCTTCACCTGTGTGCTTCTCCTTTTCCTCCCCGGCAGATTTTCACTGAGGACAAACATGCTCTCAAGCTGTGTAACGCATCTAGACTGTCAGATTCAAACTACGTGTGCGCGTCAAAATGAGAGTATCCATAAGACGTAGAGTCTTGCGCCTCACAGCTGTCACCTACTCGTCACAGCCATCCTTTTCAACACACATGAAAGCAGAGCTGAAGAAAGTTTAGTCATATTGTTGTTCCGAGTGAGGCTTTACCACTGATCTACTCCCCCCCCACCCCTCCACTCCCCTGATTGACGGCTGCCCTGTCAGTTTGTCGCGGCGCTTTAGAAAACACCAACGGCTCTCTGATGAAGTGCTTACAAAAGGTCAGAGGGTGGAGGCGATGGAGAGAAGAGAGAGAAGAAGAAGAAAGGAGGAAGGGGAGAAGGAAAGGGAGACGGGACAGAGTGAAGGAAAATCTATAACACAAATACAGCTGTCAGGAGCAATGCGGAGTTAGCAGGGGACGCAGCGAGCGAGCGAGCAACCGGGGCTCTCTTGAAAAGATGCTCTGCTTGTTCACAACAGGCGTTCACTCTCTCTCTCTCTCTTTCTCTCTTTTATTTTTCTGCTTCCACTGACCATCTCTTGCTCTCTACCTGCCTGTGCCACTGACCTAATGATCCTGAGGGACCTTTTTTTTTTATCTGTTTTCTATAAAAATCAAACTTGATGGCTCTTGCTTCCTCCCTTCTTCACCAGCCACTCTCTTCTTCGCTGCCACACTCCTCCCGTTCAGCTCCAGCCATGGCCTCAGGTACCAAGCCCACTGTGGAGAGGCTGATCTAATGCTTCCTCCTTCACTATAATGACCCGAGCCCTAAACCGCCCCCCCTCCACCCCCTCCACCCTTTCACTCATATATTCTATCTCTTCCTCTGGCTGCCTTTCCCACCTGCCTATAAGGAAACAGCCTTTTCCTCTCTGAGCTGTTAGGTCACTCCTTCTCACATCCATCAGCTGGTAATGGGGCTGAAGCTGCCGTGAAGCATGAGGACCATCTCCCAGTCATCCTCACACACATAAGAATATTGGAAAAGTCATCCAGATCGTATGGACCACAGGCTACACCTCCATGTCATTCTGAAAACGATTATCTTATCAGTGAGAGGAAGAAACAGCGCGTCAATTTGAAAGAATTGAGTTTGAGCGCGGCTGCTGTCAACACATACGCGGTGACATCTCTTTCAAAAGACACAAAAGGGAGAAAGAGAAAGACAGCAAAAGACGACAACTGTTAACTCTCTTCTTCTCACAGGTGGTCAACTTTCAAAAAAAAAAAAAAAAAAACAGAAACACACGAGGAGTCTTCCTTCACTTTCCTTCTTCGCTAACCTGTGAGACACTGGCTTCTGACCCATCATGAAAACACATCTCATCTTTGAAAAATGTGCGGGATGTTATATGAACACACACACATATATACACAGACAGATATACACACACACACGCAGCCCTCAACTTCTCCTAAATAACAGGTTCAATTAGAACCACATGTATAATCAGGCCTCGGTCTGAAGCTCTGTGGCGGCAGTTTCACTGCGCAGTCAATCACTTCAATACACAACCAGAACATTCCCCCACTTACTCGCCGCCCATGAAGAATAACACAGTGATTTAATCAATTAATTTGTCGATTATATTTCATTAACATACTTTAAAAGAGGGAACAAGCCTATGATTGCTGATAAAATAGTAATCTGTGAATACACACAGAGGTGTGCTGATTTCATTTTCAGTCTTTTTGCTTCACTGAAAAAGGGACGGCACCTTCCCTAAAATTCAGCCAAACACCACATTTAAATCTCTTTTATCCTACAAGTTAATTATACAGTTGAATCAACCTGTAGAAAGTCCTATTTTGCAGTGTTTCTATATTTTAAAAGCTCTAAAAAATATTCCGAGCTCACACCCTAAAATAACAGCAGCTTCAGGACCAGCACTTGAATTGATTCCATTTGAAAACGTGCTTCGGCTCCCTTCACAGATACATTTTTTTTTTTTTTTGCTTTTCCTCAAAGCCCATCTAAAGGATATTGAAAATTTAACCATTTCAGCTTTTAACACAAAGTGCTGCAATTGAAGTAAAGCTGTGAGTATCCATGACAGGTCAAACCCTACATGTATAGCAGAGTCGTATACGGGTGCTCTTCAACATCACTTTGAAGCCAAAAGCCCACTCAGACTTGTGGGTTTGGGAAAGCAGGAGGGCTTTAATGAAGAGAGCGTCACAGATGTAGAGATGGACAGGCGAGCCATCAGCGCTACCGACGCACAGGACATTTAAAAACTTCAAATACTGGCCATTTTCACTCAAGCAGGACAGGTGAATTGAGAAAAAAGCACTCAGATATATACACTCTTCCACACGTAGCTTCACGCGTGCTCATGCTGGAGGTAAGGACCCTCTGAGTGAGTTTATGGACTAACACAATCATACTGGTGGCTTTTAATCCTGCTGAAGAGCTTCTAAAGCGCATGAGATTCACAGCCATTATTACTCGTCTGAAGTCTCACACCGGCACATGTGGTGCCGGGGCAAAAAAAAAAAAAAAAAAGAGAAGAAAAATCATCCTTTAAGTAATGTGTCAGTTAGAAAAACAGAAACAATCGTCTGCTGGAGAACAGAGTGTGAGAGTGATAAAAATCAGCAGTACATGAGCAAACAATGAAGCAAAACAGGACATGGAAGAGACACAGCTGTCGACAGGAGAGGGGAAAAAAAAGCAAAGGAGGAAAAGTGTTGAGGCGAGTCAGATGAAAAAAGGTGGCAAACACACAGACGTGGATGCACAATAGCCGGCAGAGAGAGTCAATCTGTCTCTGACACCTCAGGTTTCCTGCACACGTACTCTCGATTTTTACTCAAATAACTACTTTTGCTTCTCAGATTGTCTTTTGTTCATCGGGTCCTGATAGATTTCCAAGAAGAGTCTATCAGCACCGTGCAGAGAGGATAACTTTACAGAGTTTTTACACCTTTAATGAGTGCTGCAGGGTTTAAAAAGAAAGCACAACACTATGTTTTTCTTTCTTACAGCAGTGTCCAACAATTTTCCCTCAACTCAGATCAAGCTGTTGTTGATGGTTTGCTGATGCAGAAATTTTGGATGAAATAATGGCCTATAGCTCAGTCATGACGAGTGTTTTATTTTATGGAAATTGAAGACTCAGGTTGCTAAACCCAGAGTGAAAAAGAGATATTTATTCACTGACAGGACATGCCAAACAAAAACAAAAAAAAGCTCTTTCAAAAAGAATTAAAAATCGTGAAACTGGCCAAATGAACACATAACACATATAATATTGCATATTAAACAGATCTCTAAAGAGGAATAACTCAATATGTATCCAAGCAAAATGCCTGCAAACACTTGTTTAAATAACTTATACTCTATTAAAATGCTACAGGTGCTGGTATGCAAATAAAATATGCTCAGCTACTTATGTCAGAGTGCATTTGAAAAATTCAAGGTTTAAAAATTTAGATCTAGTTTTGCTTAATTAAATTATCTGCATAATGAGCCTGTTTTGGATATATTTTTTACATTACAATAACAAATGTGCATCTTGTTATGCATGCAGCAATATGTTATGTGTAATTTATCCAAGTGGGCTGAAGTTTTTTTGTTTTTATGCTGCACACATTTTACACACAGGAGCCCTGAACACACAATACCTGCTTTCCTGTCTGACACCAACAAACGTGACAAGGTCTTAAAACGTGATGAAGAGCTTTTTCATTCCCGCTGGATCTTCGATTAAAGTGCAATTAAAAGTGTGTCATCGCGTCGCGAAAATGCCAGCACAGAGGACAGGAGGAGAGGAGGGGTGGAGGGGGGTGGAGTTGAGGGGGGGCACAACAGGAGAGAGAGGACACAGTAAATAAAATTAATTATGCCAAATGCCCTCGCGCCCATCAATCATGGGGCAATAATGCCCGCGTCACAGAGAGCACCAACACGGCCTCTCTGCTTTTTTCCCTCAATGACAGACAACTAACAGCAATTAATTGTCATTTCATCTCTGCCTGCGTTTTGTCCACAGCCCTCCATCACGCGCGAGCTGACACGCGGGAATGTCCTGGATGATGACTGAGATTTGATGAGGGAAATTTTATTTTGAAAGGAAAACTATATAGACAAACTGAATTCTGAGAGCAATTTAATCTGTCATGAAAATTAAAGATATGTTACCACTGTTCATCTTGATAAACAGTGTAATTTAAAATAGGATAACCCTTTATAAATGATTTGGTCTTTCTCATAAGGCAGTTGAAATATTTTTCCTCTTTTTTTAGTTTGGGCCTTTCCTTTCGGTCGGTTTGTGACAGCGAGCAGGAGGAAAAACATGGGTCATGCTGAGGTTCACTTACAGTTTCCACCCACGATAAATTTTCAAATTTATGAGAGTCGATGCCAACGATAAAAATAAGCGAATATTTTTACATTTTAGTGTCAGGAGTATAACAAGTTTTCAAGCAAAAAAAGTTTCACGTCAAAATGAACAAAAAAAGCCCACGACGTTTCCCTGATATCAAACATGAATAAGAACTGTCCTCGCATTCATTTTCCCCCACATGTAAAAACTTTAACACCATTTTACAAACTTTTCCTCCGCGCCCTGCTGTTGGACACTCAGCTGTATGTGGTTATTTATTTACTAAGTCATGAGATAATATGGAAAATGTACAACATGCAAACTCAGAGAGGTCACATAACGCGGTTCAAATTTCAAAAGTCAAAATGCTCTGAAAAGAAAGTCCTCTGACCTATTGGCCAAATCCATAAGAAGCTTTTCCTTTCTTCTCAAAGACAAGGGCTCTTTTATCTCCTGTCAGCGCTGGGATCTGATAGTATCGTTTCGGTCGAAGTTTCATTTTTATTTATTTTTTAATCTAAATGAGACAAAGAAGTAAATCAATCTGATTTAACATAAAGTTTTGAAGTTTGACGGCTATTATAACGCGATGGCAAAGCATTCAGAGCACTCTCACACGGCTGCGTAAAATTATCACCACATAACCCACGTCGGTGTTTATTATCAAATCCTTTTAACAAGAGTTATTAACAGGGACGCGAATGGGGTTGAAAGGATCCATTCCGACATTTTTGATCGTCCGAACCTGCGAGGATAAACTTTTTGTTGTCTCGTGGAGAGCGAAGACTTCGGACAATGGGCACCGGTCCTCTCACACCACGTTGAGAAAAAAAATAAGAATATAGCTCAGAAAAATAAAATAATGAAGCCATCAGACCCCATTAAAAATGTACGGGGAGTGAAGTGAACTCAGTTTGGACTCTGCTAACACGTGTGAAACGTGGGCTCCAACTTTCTCTTCGACGACTTCTCCCGATCTTCTGAAGGATTGGAAAGGATGAAAAAGTTCAAAAAGAGGTTTAAAACGTGGCTCGAAGTTTTGCGCACAGCACGCAGGAGAAAAGAGTCAAAGTTAAAAAACGACACATGAACGGAGGGAAAGTCTGAAAGAGCCAAAAACTACAAGTGGGTCCCGTACTACAATCCCCAATAACAGCCTATCTGCTTATTTATCACAGCGAAGTTGAAGAAGTTTGAGGCTAAAGTGCGATGAGAAGTTGAGGTTTTTTGGTAGACTAATGTGTGAGTTTGAATGGAAAGCACAGAGCGAAGAGACAGAGTGTGAGAGAGATAAAATAAAAAAGGGGGAAGAGAAAGTGTAGATAATGCATCAACCTGTTCTCTTGTGTTCTGAAGAAGTCAACTTTCACGCCAGTGGTTGGACCATGTGGACAGCCCCGCTTCTGCTCCTCGAGCCCCCGGCGCGTCCACTCTGCCGCGGCGACAAATAGAGAGGGGGGACACCAACCGACCGACGGGACGAAAAGATTAAAAAAAAAAAAAAAACAATGTAAAGAAACAGACAGGAGAGGAGAGAGAGAGACAGAGGAAATCTAGGACCTAAGACCGCAGGACCATTACTTTGAACGACAAAGCGTGCTCGTTAGTCCTTTCCTTTTCCCTTTTGTGTGCGTCCTCTCTCCTCGGAGTGGCCCCTCTGGAGTGAAGTCAGAACAATACTGCCGCTAAAACTCTGCCACTGTGTGCGCAAGTTGCCGCGGAGAACGAGCGCAGCCTTTTTCGTCTTGTTTTGACGCGTCTGCTTTCCCCACGCTTTCTCTCTCCCTTCCCCTTCAACGAGGCTGCTTCTTCTCTCAGCGCAAGGAAGCTCTCTGTCGGTCCTCACTTTTTGGCATCCCGTCTGTTGCTTGCTCGCTCGCAAGAAAATCAGGGTTGAATCACTTAGAGGGCTGAGTGTGTGAGTACACGAGTGTGGAGTGTGTGTGTGTGTGTGTGTGTGTTGCAGGAGGGGGACAGTTTGCTGCGCTACCGTAATGCCTCTAAAGCAGGTGCGCGTTTTTCATAGCTTGCCCTATCCTCGCAAAGCCCTGGCGCACAATAGGAAAACAGCAGCCGGTGAGAGGCATCTCTCTCTCTCTCTCCCTCCCTCTCTCTCCCTGTGTGTGTGTGTGTGTGTGTGTGTGTGTGTGTGTGTGTGTACGGGGAAGGCACTGATCTTTTGACCTCTCTTTGCATCCCGGCTGAGTTGTGCTATTGTGGAGGCAGAGAGGAACAGATGTTAGCCTGCACAGAGTTTGAGCTCAGAAACAAAGCAAGATCACAAAAACAGAGCTAGCCCACTCCTAAACCTTGAATTTTTTTGCACTAGAGTACTGATAAATAAATACAAAATTGAACAAAACAGCACAAAAATGAAGTTTATGAGTATAAATACACACTTTTCTAAAGATTTTTATCAATGTTAACGAAAAAATCTGCTCTATTCATTGAAAAAATAAGTAAAATCAGTTCCAGAGGGTTCACTCGAGTTATACACTTACCTTGCAAACAGGCAGTTATATTGTGATTGGACACTATTTTACCGTCTGCCTCCCTCACTATGTCCTTTATGTATTTTGGAAGCTTGTCAACTCCTCTCCGCAGAGTTATGACCACCTTTTTCCTCTCCCCCCTCCGCCACATTCATTTACTAATTGACAGCATAATCAGTGCCGAGGTTACTGTCTGTGATGAAATTTGGAAATTACATCATACCTGTCGCTGCATTAAGAAGAAAAAAAAAAGTGATGAAAAAAAAGTGTCATAACTCAAAAAGGAAGATCTTGCAATAATTTTTGCATCGGCCGTTAAATGGGATTGCGCCCTCCTGCCATTTTTTCCCCTCTATCAAAGCTTTTACCATTGGAAAATGATGGCGGTCCATCACAGCAGCACCCAACAATGGGCCACGGCTGCAGTAAATCAAAACATATTCATTAGCACGATCAATAGCTCTCAAAATATGTGTGTCTGTGGGAGCGTATTTGGGTGTGTGTTTGTAATTTTTTTTATTAATCCACCTATTTTAAACCTGACTTTTTTTTTTTTTTTGCCAAGAACACTTTGTTATATTTCCTCAATAAATCTCTTAGGAGGTGACAGGTGCTTATGTGAGCGTCTGGATGGTGATGAGTGATGCTCTTTTAAGTGGCTGTTAGCATGAAGGTGCACTTTGGAAGTTTAATCCGCAAAATAAAGACAGTGTGGTTTGGAAAAAGTTGGGAACAGAAACCCTAGGAGGTTAGATCAAATCTTAATAGCCACAAAAGTGCGGTATCTTATAACTTTTAATACGCAAGAAGAACAATAGAGTGATTCATCCCGCTGCTTATTGTTGTGTAACTGTTGACATTTTGGCTGAAGATATCAATCACCACCGTCTGTTTGGAGAATGAGGATTTGTTGCTTGTTTGTCTGTTTTGGCATGAAATTAAAGATGAAACCAAGCACAGAGAGCCCTGTAAGACGAAGAGTTTGAGACCAGGACTAAAGTGAGCCAAGTATGACACCAGATCAAAATAGTCCTCGGCTGGACATCCTAAGTCAACACCCTCGTTCTTGTTCTTGGTGCTGAATAGGAGATTGTTTGGCCACTCTCCCCTGTCTCTTATTCCCATTTAAGAAGGCTTCTCTCCCTGTTAATCAGAGGGAATAATTATCAAAGTGGACAGGTAATTAAATTAAAACATAAGTGGCTACATGAGCTGGGTTGGCTGTACTACAAGGTTTTCCCTGGCTTAATTAAAGAGAAATATGGGCGCGCTCACCCACAGTGTCACAGAGCTGGTGAAAATGAGAAAAAAGCTGTCTCTAACTTGAATAACTCAATCTGATGCTTTGAACACTGACTTTTTTTTTTTTTTTTTTTTTAAAGGAAGACTAAAAAAAAGAGGCGAGTCCAGCCTGTGAGACTTTGTGCAGGAGGAAGAAACCCTCTTCTTCTTCTTCTCCTCTCATTCCTGAACACATCAGTTCCACAGGCCGTGTTGTTTGTTTGCATTTGAGAGTAAAAGCATATGTGTGGCGGGTGAGCGTGAGGCGAGAGAGTGCAGAATGTGTGGCAGGCGCACTACAAAAAAAAAAAAAAGGACAAAAAAAAAAAACTGCCAGCTTTAGCAGACATCTGGGAATAATGTCATAAAAATAAAGCTACAATAAAATAAAACTTACTGCTGTTGATGTTGACAAACAACCCCCACAAAAGCCCCACAATGCCTTGAGAGTGAAAACCCAGAGAGGCCCAAAACACACACACTTACACACACACATATAAAGACACACATATATACATGCACACAAATAAACAAACGCAGAGCTGGAAAAAGAAGCAGAGCACAGAGCAAATTAACCAAACACTCAAAAACATACTCATATGTGCCCACACCCACTTTGGTACACATATGTGTGCGCCTGTTTACAAACACAGACAAAGTGGGAAGGCTGCAGACACACACATGCATAAACAAATAAAAACACGCACACATACAAACACTCGCATAAACATAGAAAAGTACACACTGCTGCCTTTGTGGTTATGAAAAGAAAACAGACAAACTGCTGCTCAAAAAAACACAACTGCTATCTCATGGCTGGTTATATTACAATAACACATGAGTGAGTGCACCCACACACAACTTAACATGATCCCTTGTAGTACAAATTGTGTGTGTGTGCATGTGTGTGTGTATGAGACAGAGAGAGAGAGAAGCACATGTGGCCTTGGTGTAGACATTTGCATCTGCGTTACTCACCCAATACACAGTGATTGTGGGGAGGATCACAGTCAATCAACACCTGCTTTCTATTAGCATGTTCATAAACATGTTTACTGTCGCAGCTGCTTCACATCACACAACCGCACTCACACCAAAGTGAACACAGAGAGAGAGAGAGAGAGACAGAGAGAGAGAAGGAGACATCTTTATCACTCCTCTCCCCTTGTCTTGGCCTTTAGTATGAAGGGAATAATTAGGGAGTCCTGGCCAAGTCAGCGGTGTACGTGTTAACAAGCTGTTTTAACACACACACTCACACACGTCTAAGTGGTGGCAGGAGAAAGTGAGACAGAGGATCTTATTCTATGCCTCAAGGTTTCAGTTCTTTTTAAAGCACCTGTCTACTGGCAGTTAAGTATATGAATGAGTCTGAAGCTGGGGTTGGAGTGTGTAAAATCAGTCATACAAGCAACAGCAAGTAAGTACAACAACAAAAGAGTTAAGGCTGCACATGATGATAAAGGCATTATCTCCAAAGATAAAAAAAGAAAAAAACATCCTTTTCAATACAGTTAAAGTACAGTTAAAGACAGAAGGGTTTAGGATGCACATTAACTTATTTCCACTTCGGTGTCAATAGTGGGATCAATAGGTTTGAACTTTATTCACTCCACTGTCAGTAAACTGCGTTAACATCTTAATAAGTTGCACTTTACATTATTTACATTATTTAAACAAGCAAAGTGTAAAGTAAGGTGTAAACTTGTGCTTGTTTCCTGATATGTTTGCTTTAAAGCAATTTAAAGCTCCTGTGTGGAATTTTTTTGACATTTATGAAATAAGACTATAATTCATATTGATGTTATACAAAAAGGCAAACAAGACCATCAGCAACAACACTAACTGTTTTTATAAAGTAGTTTTTGATAACTAAAACCAAAGCGAGGAGATAAATCAAGCCAGACCAAAAGTTCCTCAGGGGAGCTTTAATTACACTAGATCCAAGGTTGTGAAACACCAGTGTACACGCAAACGTGATGCACTTTTGCAAATACATTTAAACATTCAGGACATTTTTAAAAAATGGTTTAAGAAGGAGGAGAAAAATATAGAAGCTTCCTGATATAATAACTCAAGACAGAATCTTGAGTTATTTTATTTATTTAGATTTGTTTATCTTGTTCATCATATCATTACAACATTAGACTAAATCTAATTCTCACATGTGAGCCTGCAGGCACTTATGAGGTAAATTAAGTCTATTTCTATGATGCTTTTGAAGCTCAGGGAATACGAGTTATGGTCATGTGATGTGAAGACCTCAAGAAAACAGTGAAGGAGGTCATTTCTTCCACAACAATTATAAGTTTTTGCAAAGGGCCTGTTTTCCATGCCAAAGGTGATCTAGAAATACAACAGTTTGTTTTTCTTTTTTCTTCAATAATGAGCAGAGATGGGGCTAAAATGAGAATCATTCATTTAGAACCTATTCCCAGAGTGTTCATCTCATCCGTCTAAATACAAGTAAGGCATTTCTGTAGCTGGCTGGATTTGTTTAGGGGCACAGTGTTACATTTGCCGCTTTTCTGCAACAAGTGTGCTGCAGGTACAAATTGGCACTGCCATCACGGACCTTTCTTGTTTTCATAGATGATTTATTTTCCTGATCCATGTCAGTGACACAGCCTCAACCAGCCACCATGTGACATCAATTTAATAGTTAGAGTTGGCAGGTTTTGCTGCTGTTAACTTTCATGGCTCTTAAGCCTTAATTCATACCAGTCTGTGGTGTATTAGGAGAGCACATTCTGTACAGGTGTCTCAGTTTTGATCAACTCATGCAGCTGAGAGCGCAGTGACCTGAAGGTCTGCTCAGCACTCCTGTCACTGCACACAAAGTTAGGGATAGTCTGAAGAGTGCAATCCAGCTCTTTTCTTCCTGAAAACACGTGGGAATTCATAGAGTATTCATTTTAAGATGGCAGGTTGTTCTGACCAAGCAGAGGTTGTGTATTGTTTTTAATTTCTGAAGGTGGGTAGGTAACACTTTATTTGACGCCTATCTCTATAACGCATTATAAATATATGTATAATGCATTATAATCACCTTAAAGCACTGTATAACTATAATTATAAACAGTCATAAATGATCATAATGCTTTAAAGCAATAATCATGATATACCATGACACATTATAAAGCATTTTATCATGACTTACAAGGTCAGGTATTATAAT